TAAAGGGTTTTCCAATAAGAGGTGTTATTTTGAATAGCCCGTTATTTCGGTAGATGTCACTTTTGAAGCTGTCATTTTTTGACATTTGACAAGTAGAAAGTACGCCATTAATAAAAATGGAACGATACACGCTTCAACAACGCATTGAAATTATTAAAATTCACTATAAAAATGGTGAAATTTTGGCAGAGACGGTTCGTAAAACTCGAACATTTTTGGGTCGTCGTGAAGCACCTTGTCGGACCGCAATACAGAAATTGGTGGAAAAATTCGAGCTGTTGGGACAAGTTAGTGATGTGAAGAATAAAACCCGTGCACGTCGCTCAAGAACAGCCGAGAATATTGCTGCTGTAGCCGAAAGTGTTGAAGAAAACCCAGGTTTGTCCATTCCTCGTCGTTCTTTGGAATTAGGCATTCCACAAACGTCATTACACCGTATTTTGCATAAAGATTTGGGTCTTAAGGCTTATAAACTTCAGTTAACACAAGAACTCAAGCCGTCCGATCATCAACAACGTCGTGTCTTTGCTGATTGGGTCGCTGAAATGCATGAAAATGATCCGGAATTCCATCGAAAAATCATCTTGAGTGATGAGGCCCATTTCCACCTCGGCGGCTTCGTCAACAAGCAAAATTGTCGCATCTGGGGCTCGAAAAACCCAAGAGTTATTGTTGACAAGCCTCTCTATCCTCAACGTGTGACTGTTTGGTGCGGTTTATGGTCCGACGGAGTCATTGGACCTTACTTTTTCGAAAATGAGGCTGGAGCAACAGTTACGGTGAATGGATTGCGCTATCGAGAGATGATTAATGATTTTTTATGGCCGGAATTGGATGGTATTGATGTGGACAACGTTTACTTTCAACAAGACGGCGCTACGTGCCACACAAGCAATGAAACCATTTATCTTTTACGGGAAAAGTTTCCGGACCGTGTTATCTCTCGAAGAGGTGATCACAATTGGCCACCGAGATCTTGTGATTTAACACCTTGCGACTTCTTCCTTTGGGGCCACGTGAAAGAGAAGGTGTACGCCAACAGCCCAGCGTCGATTCAAGACCTCAAAGATGGAATTCGTGAGGCTATTGAGGACATAGGGCTGCCACTTTGCAATTTGGTTATGGAAAATTTCATGGAAAGGATATTGTCCTGTAAGCGTGGTCGTGGTGGTCATTTGCCTAACGTTATTTTCCACTATTAACGGCATAAACATCCGATCATTTATACTAAAAAATGGCATTTTTCTTTGAATATCAAAATAACACCTCTTATTGGAAAACCCTGTATTATTTTTTTTTATTTTGATTCTGTATTGAAATATTTTCTTGTAGATCATTGTGGTCCTTATCTTGTGCAGTTATAGCTTATGAATGTATGATTAAATTGAAATATCTAGGTTGGGTCATCAGAATTTTTGCTGATGCGAAAGCTGTTTTTGGTTCTGCCCTAACCTGCACCACACTCCGTTCTTCCCCTGACAAACCGTTTCCAATTTTGCATCTTTGCTTCCAAAATTTATTGCACTTGCAACATCAGGCTCCTAATTCACGCCGAATGGCGTCATTAAAACATTACATATCTGCTCGCTTTCTGCAGTATCCTTGATTTCGGCATTCTGACTTCTTATAACTATTTGAGAATCTTCTCCATATTCTATCTTGTTTTTCAAAACTTACTTCATTCGCACTTATTACTTTCTTACCAATTTATTTTGGTCGGTTAAACACGTGATTAATCCAAAATTGCAAAAATTTTGTTTCCATTCTTCTAAATTTACCTTTTGTCATCGGAATGTGGTTAATGTGGATAGTTTTCATTAAACAATCTGCAAGTCATTATGCACACTATGCATCAATATGATATGTGTGCATTTCTTAAAATACCCTAATTATCTCACAAACTATTAATGTTAGGTATAGGACGTATGGGATATAAAAGATGTAAAATGAAACGGTGAAGACGACTAAGTAATAAAATATGGGGGTTGCCATGTAAACAAATGAAGTTATGGTACTTCCAAATTTCGAAAAATTAACGTGCCATAGTAAAGTGACCAAACGATATAGACAGCCCTTCTCGGCACCAAAACTGATTGTACTTAAATTTTTATTTTGGCCAGAACCCCATAAACGTCTAATAAACGGTCTTGCTGAGACATCGTGTATAATCAGTGGCGTAATCTGGGCCCGTCGATCCTGAGAGCCCTTGGGCCCTCAAACGATTTTGGAAAAATTTAAAGATTTTAATTAGAAGTACAAAAACTGTTGTTAAAAGTATAAATTAATAAAATTTTGTGTTTAAAACTTTTTAAAATTCACAAGAACGGGTAAAAATCTTTTTTTTTTTCAATATACAGAAGTTTGACACAGTTTGAATTCAATATACAGGGTGATTCAAAACTAAAGCACCAAACTGGAAGCCCGTGTAGAACTTCTGATTTCAAGTCGAAATGAAACCATTTTTTCCGATCGGTCTTTGTTTTCGAGATAATCGACTTCAAAGTTTTATTTTCAGTGTTGTAGGTAACAACTGAAAGTTTTATAAAAGCAAAACGTAGCTGAAGTTTGGTGCTCTACTTTTAAATAGCCCTGTATTTACATTACTTTAATATTGTATAACTGTATAATACTGTTAATACTGTATATGGATATGTTCATAAATATGTGCTTACAAAATTACAAAATGTATGTATTTGTTTTAGTCCATAAAATACAATGGAGAAAAAAGTTGCCAGTGGGGCACAAAAGCGAAAGATAAAAAGAGAAAAGGATGAAAAAAGAAAAAAGTTACCAAAAATAGATACATTCCTCCAAAAATTGAAAAGAGTAGAAAGTGTGGAGACACAGGAAAATCTTTCCACTCCAGAAGTAGAAATAAGTGCTTTTGGTTCAAGTACTGCTGGTTTAATAAATACAACACAACATCAAAAATCACAAGTGCTGCACTTCCTAAATGAAAATGAGGAAAACAACGACGAAGAAAACTCAGAATTTAGAGATCCGGATTTGGGTTATTATGTACAAAATAACATCAATTTAACAGATAAACTTAGACGATTTTTAGTGGGTCTAGACGATACAATAAACAAACCACAAGGACCATTTCCCAGAGATCCGATGCAGAATAATCGTTGCTTTTCTGCAAAATTTTTCACATGCATTACTAAATATGGTCCAGTTCCTCGATCTTGGTTACACTATTCGAAAATTCTTGATGCAGCTTACTGTAAACCATGTTGATTATTCTCTGGCCAAAAATATCAATGGTGTACTGGTATGCGTGATTGGCAAAGTTTTTCCAATAAGTTGAACACTCATTCTCTTACAAAGCATCATATTGAAGCGTTGGCAGTGCATAAAATTTGGCAAGAAAATAAGACAATAGACAAATGCTCAGAGGAGCTTATTCGCCAAAATGAAATCTTTTGGAGAAAGGTTCTAAAGCGTTTGTTTGATATTACTTTAAAGTTGGCAAGAAATCGTACTTCATTTCGTGGCCATTCAGAAAATATCGGAGATGATTATAACGGCAATTTTATAGCAGAAGTTGAATTATTGGCTAAATATGACAATATTTTAAAACAAGTAATTGACATGCCAAATGGATCAGTTAGATACTTAAGTCCCAAAATTCAAAACAAACTAATTCAATGTGCAGGGCAAAATCTTAGAGGAAATTTAATAAGTGAAATTAACAATAGTTTATGTTATTCGCTTTTATTGGATACTACCCAAGATATAGTGAAAAAGGACCAATTAAGTGTAATGATTAGACATGTGCATATTCTAAGAAATGATCGCTTAGAATCTCAAGGGTTTCAAATTAAAGAAACTTTTTTTAGGATTTTTGATCAAACAGATCTTACTGCTGAGGGAATGAAAAATAAAATTCTATCTATATTAGACGAAATGAAGATACCAATTGAAAAATGTATTGGTCAAGGATACGACGGAGCGAATGTAATGAGTGGTATATACAATGGTCTGAACAAAAAATAAAGAACATTCAACAAAATGCAGAGTACGTTCATTGTGCAAGCCATAATTTAAATCTTGTCAATAAAGATGTGTCCGCATTTTTCGTTACACTCCAAGAAATATATTCATTTTTTGGAAATTCTATTAATAGATGGGATTTGCTTTCAAAGTTCACAGGCGAATCAAATGTAACTTTAAAAAAATTAAATCCTACTCGATGGTCTGGAAGATTGACTTCTCTACTAGCTGTGAAACTACGTTATTTAGATATTATAAAATCTTTAACACACTTGATGTTGACAGAGAAAAAAGAAATTCGTGATGAAGCTCAAAACATAAAAGATAGAATGGAAAAATTTGAGTTTATTTTTATGTGCGTCTTTTTGCATAAAATTCTAGCAGATATTAATTTAGCTTGAAAAGTTCTACAAAAGAAAAATGTAGATTTAGATGAAGCCAAAACTGTTTTGAACCAAGCTTATAATAAAGTTTCAGAACGTAGATCAAAATTTACTGAAATAAAAGGTGAGGCTGCAGAAATTGCAAGAACTTGGAATGTTCCCCTTGAGTTTCAAAAGAAACGACAGCCTAAAGTGAAACACCATTTTGATGAATTGGCGAAAAATTATCACTTTTCTTCAAGAGAAGATATGTTTAGAGTTGGAATATTTAATGTTGTCATAGATACTATTTCACATCAACTACATGAAAGATTTAAAAGCATGGAAAAATTAAGAAATTATTTTGGATTTCTGGATCCACAAAGATTATCAACGTTAAAAGACAAAGATATTTTAAAAGAATGTGAAAAATTACAAAAGAAGTATTCAACTTTTTTAAGTGAACAATTTTCATTGCAATTTATACAAGTTAAAAGAATTGCAAAGTGTAAAAGATTTTGCTAACTTAGTAATGACCAAATATAATTGCTTAGAAACTGATATATCGGATGTATTTTCTGTTTTTATATTGTTCTTCACACTCCCTGTAACAGTTGCTTCTGTAGAAAGATCATTTAGCAAGTTAAAAATAATAAAGGACTATAGAAGAAATAGTATGGGACAATCGCGGCTGAATAATCTTTCTATATTAGCAATTGAAAGCAGTGAGGCTAAGAAAATGGATTTAAAAAATTTAATAAGTATATTTGCAGCGATGAAATCTAGAAGAAAACAACTTATGTAATAATTTAGTTCTTAGTTCTTGGTTTTTTGTTAGTAAATTTGAAAATAAATAAGTATTTTCAACTTAATTTGTGTTTTTTTTTCTGTATACCATAATATGTATACATAGTATTACTACCTTTGCTATAAAGACATATTTGGGCCCATATTTTCTAGTTACGCCACTGTGTATAATGACTTACATTCTACTTGTACTGGCTTACATTTTTTTTTATTTTGGTTCTGTATTGAAATATTTTCTTGTAGATCATTGTGGTCCTTATCTTGTGCAGTTATAGCTTATGAATGTATGATTAAATTGAGATTTCTAGGTTGAGTAATCAGAATTTTTGCTGATGCGAAAGCTGTTTTTGGTTCTGCCCTAACCTGCACCACACTCCGTTCTTTCCCTGACAAACCATTTCCAATTTTTCATCTTTGCTTCCAAAATTTATTGCATCATTAAAACATTACATATCTGCTCGCTTTCTGCAGTATTCTTGATTTCGGCATTCTGACTTCTTATAACTATTTGGGAATCTTCTCCATATTCTATCTTATTTTTCAAAACTTACTTCATTCGCACTTATTACTTTTTTCTGATTTCTGGATTCTTCTTCAGGATCTTAGTTTCTTCTTGTGTTCTTGAATCATAGCACATCGAAACTGGTGAGACTCAATCGTTGTGGAACTCGACATGGTTGTCGTGAACCTCGAGGTTATTTCACTAAAACACCAGTTGTTAAGAAAATGTTGGATGAATCCGTTCTGGACACATCATCCCGATAAGTCTTACTTGAACGATATTTACAAGGTGCAAGATTGCACCAAAAGAAATTGAAACTCCCAAATAAAAACAACATGATTTTTTAAGACAAATTTTGATGATTGTTTTTAAAAGGTGTTTGTAAACCCACCTATTACACCCAAAATATATAAAAGACGTTAGGCTGTTATTAGGTCGTCGGTGAGTTAGTAAGAAATTCGAAGGGGTAAGAATTGTTCGAACGCGAGACACGCCCCAAAAAAAAACACCGGAAACGCACGTCGCGATCGCAAAACTTCCATTCCGCAGCTGTTTGTGTTAAACACGCGTTTCGATTGATTTACAAGCGAAATCTCAAATTATGTCCGCCTCGAAAATAATCAAACTCACCTTGATATAAGCGTTCGCCGGTTTTCCATCCGATCTGAATAAATTACCACACCGGAAAACTGAAAAAAAAAATAAATTTAAGGATTAAAATTATCTAATAATGATACTCAATGACAATAATTACTAACCTGTTAATAATAATTCGTTGTTTCGAAATTTAATTTCTAAATCCATCCAACCGGAAATTGAGTTATTTTTTTGGTTAGGTGGTGAATCGAAGAGTAAACACCTCCTAATTCCCGTGCCATTATTAAAACAAGGAGTCGTTTCGATTAAATCCTTTTTATTTCCTAAATCTTTCTCCATAACACTCGAATCAAACGAATTATCATCGTTAACATCATCGTTAATTGAAAAAGTTGCGTTTAAATCTTGATGTAATCTTTGCGGTGTCCAACCGGAACTTGGTTTTGCTTCGTCATCAGTAAACCTTCTTCTTCTAACACATTTTTGCCTTTTTAATGTAAATAAGCTAGCATCATCTTGAGATAAACTCCTCTTTCTACTTCTAGGTCTAATATCATCAACACATCTCTCATTAAAAGTTTCCTCGAGGTTAATGATGGTTTTATCACAGTTAATTATCTCAGGTAATTTACAGATTTCATCAAAGTTCGATCGAAATCCAGAATCCATCGAACTTTTATCGGAAAAACTAATACGTTTTTCTTGTTTAGCGTTTAATAAGTTTTCTTCGCGAGATTCGTTAAGTTCATTTTCAAGCTCGATCATTCTAGTTTTTTTAACCGGATGTTTTTTATCATCATTCGTCCCAGAATTATCTAATATAACATTTACAAGTTCATCTAAAGACAGCTCATTTATGTATGATGAGTTTTCGTGTTGATCTTTTTTCGAAAATCGTAAATCTAAAAATCTTTGTACTAAAGGTGAAACTTTTAAATCTTTTTCATCAATATCTATCGTACCTTTATCTTCAGGCGATTGAATAAAAGCTATTTGATTTAAAAAATCATTAACGTGATCAATTTTCGGTTTTTTATATGGAGGATCATCGTTATTTGTTGTTGGCAAAATTCTCGATAACAACGGAATTCTATTAACAACATCATTCTTGATATTTTCGTGCACATTTTTATTCAAATCATCGTTACATAAACAATTATCCCCTCTAATATGCGAATCAACTGATTCGAAAGCTTTAAAATAATTAATCGGGCAATCTTTATGATTTGGATCTAAACACCGTTTTTTCTTTTTATATTTTACATGTTTCGGCGAAAACAATTTTTCCCCATCAACACTTAAAACTTTCGTTTTCGTTTCTTTCGGCGTTATATTACTAACATCTCTTAAAGCTTCAACTTGAAAATAATCATTCGATTTAATCGGTGTCGAAGTAAACCGATTTTCTTTATCATGGCTCAAATTTAAACTCCTTCTGTTATGATTATTATTCGATCGTTTCGTCGTTGATGATCTTCTAGAAGTACTCGAACGTCGTCTTTTAGGTTTTTCCGATGATTTTGGTTGTTGTGGCGATTGAAGATCGTCTTTATCGGTCGCTCGTTTATTAATTACGGTCCATTTTAACATTTTGAAAGATTTCTTTAATTGTTTCTGAAAAGAAATTTTAAATTGTTTTTTAATTTTAATTGTAAGGGACGGTTAACGTATGTTATTTCAAGAGAACGAATTCTTTAAGGGGTGGTTAAGTTTCTGTGACGAATTTTAAGTCGTCATGTGGTTGGATCAATTGCCTGTGAAGTTTGTGGGTTTTTATTTTTAAATTGTTGGGTTTTTATGAGTTTCTCAATGATTTATAATTTAGAAACTATCCCGATTCTCTATTTTAAGTTTAGCCGAGGCGTAGAAATGCATTGAATCAATTTTGAGGTAATATGAAATAATTATAAAGCTTTGGCAGCAAGCAACTTAGAAATCCCACATTTTTCTAAATTTAGCCGAGGTAGCTATTGGCTAAAACATTACACACTCTTTATCTTAAATTATCTTAACCCTTTGTGTCCCGACGGTACTTTAAAGTACCGGTAATTTTAAACTGTAGTTATCTATTCTGCGCATTTAGAGCTGTCTGTACTTTCTACTATACAAGTGTATACAAGAAATAATCTGTATAAAAAACGTCGCAATCCGCACTGTAGGATTTTTAGGTACACTTTAAACTTATTCATCCAGATGTGAGGTTAGAAGTTTAGTGAAAAGTGGTGCTGTTGAATTTTGTTGTTCAAGAAGGTATTTCTTTGATAAATGGTTATTAAGTGTGATTATTACAGATCATTTTAAAAAGAAATAAATTTAAAATAAGTCTCATTCCTTAATTTCAATAAACATTGTTTCTAAGAATTTTTAAATTAGCATCTTTTTTGACTCTTTTAAATGTAAGTGTTGTTTCAACATTTTTGTTCTTAATATTTTTCCAATCAAACCCAACAATTATTATACATCATTTTAAAGAGAAAGCTTTGAGCTTTAATTTAAAATAAGTTTCATTCCTTAATTTCAATAAATACGGCTTACAGGAATTTTTAATTTAGCATCTTTTTAACATTTTTAGGTTATTCGAAAATGTAAGTTTTGTTTCAAAATTTTTTTTCTCTATATTTTTCCAATCCAACCCAACAATTATTATACATCATTTTAAAGAGAAAGCTTTGAGCTTTAATTTAAAATAAGTTTCATTCCTTAATTTCAATAAATACGGCTTCCAGGAATTTTTAAATTAGCATCTTTTTTGACACTTTTAGGTTATACGAAAATGTAAGCTTTGTTTCAACATTTTTTTCTCAATATTTTTCCAATCCAACCCAACAATTATTATACATCATTTTAAAGAGAAAGCTTTGAGCTTTAATTTAGAATAAGTCTCATTCCTTAATTTCAATAAATACGGCTTCCAGGAATTTTTAAATTAGCATCTTTTTTGACACTTTTAGGTTATACGAAAATGTAAGTTTTGTTTCAACATTTTTTTTCTCAATATTTTTCCAATCCAACCCAACAATTATTATACATCATTTTAAAGAGAAAGCTTTGAGCTTTAATTTAGAATAAGTCTCATTCCTTAATTTCAATAAATACGGCTTCCAGGAATTTTTAAATTAGCATCTTTTTTGACACTTTTAGGTTATACGAAAATGTAAGTTTTGTTTCAACATTTTTTTTCTCAATATTTTTCCAATCCAACCCAACAATTATTATACATCATTTTAAAGAGAAAGCTTTGAGCTTTAATTTAGAATAAGTCTCATTCCTTAATTTCAATAAATACGGCTTCCAGGAATTTTTAAATTAGCATCTTTTTTGACACTTTTAGGTTATACGAAAATGTAAGTTTTGTTTCAACATTTTTTTTCTCAATATTTTTCCAATCCAACCCAACAATTATTATACATCATTTTAAAGAGAAAGCTTTGAGCTTTAATTTAGAATAAGTCTCATTCCTTAATTTCAATAAATACGGCTTCCAGGAATTTTTAAATTAGCATCTTTTTTGACACTTTTAGGTTATACGAAAATGTTAGTTTTAACTCAATACTCTTTTTCTCAATATTTTTTTAATTCAACCCATCGATTGTTATACATCGATTTAAACAGAAAGTTTCAAGCTTGAATTTAAAATAAGTTTTATTTCTTAATTTCAATAAACACGGTTTCCAGAAATTTTTTAATTAGCATCTTTTTTTACACTTAGACTATGCGAAAATAGGGGGATTGCATATTTTGCCTTTACCGAGTGTATTTTGATAGCGTTTTAATTCTGTTTGATTCTGTCACAAAGTTTCAAAATGTTTGACTTCTTGGGACACAAAGGGTTAAACAGTTATGATGTCTTACTCGCAAGCGACCTCGGCCTAATGAGGCAGAACCACAACATTCTAAGTTCAGCTAAGGTCTTGAAAGCAAGCAACCTGGAAATCCCAATTTTTTTTGTAAATTTAGCCGAGGTTGCTTTCTGCTGAAGCAGTGCAGAATGTGATAACCTGGTGGATTCCTTGACTTAATTAGATGAAGTTCTAGACTATTTGGCCAAAACATGAAATTTCTCTTCTAAGTTCAACTTAGGTTGCTTGCGGCCGAGGATTAGCATCTTGTTCACCAGTTGTGGGATGATATGATACAATTGTATAGCATCTACCACAAGAAACGGAGGCTTTATCAAATAAAATTCTTTATTTTTTCTTCAGAATTCGGAGGTTGCATGCGATATTCTCTTCTTTGAGTTTGGCAGAGGTGCAGTAATCTATTAACCAACCCAATCCTAAGCTTAGCTGTTCATTTGCAGCTGAGATGTGTTGACTAATGCAACTTCGAGATAATCACGAAAAATCTCTGTTAAGCTGTTTTTTTTTGCTATTAAATTCACAAAATTTCTTGTAATAATAATCAGAAGTCTTGTAATGTTTGTAAAACCTTTCAAGATGTAAGGAAATGTTTCTTTCTTTAAGGAAATTCTTTAAAGACTTAAAATGAAATTTAATTTTTGCAACTTTATCATAGATCTAAAATGATACCGTGAGGGTGAGATCTTAGATAAAACGGCAGACGTCAATAATTTAAAGTCATTATCGTTGTCATTTGATAATAAAGCCACCTGTATAATAATAAAAGATCCGTTACCCGTATCCCTTTTCTTATTCCTCTTTCGTTTTTCGTGTTTAGTTGATTTTAAATTGAATGGTGGGTGCAGGTGAATACAAGAAGGACAACCGTTTATGATGGTATAATGGGTCACCTGCCACGTGCCACAAGACATTCCTTGTAAGAGTACTAAAAATCTAATTAATTCTAGCTTTATTTAAAAAAAAAATTGGGTATTACTCATAGGAATAAATAAAAAAGTCACCCTCTCTTATTTTACTAGAGCACATATGTTGCCGATAAATATTGAATTTGAAATGTATCTTGATCGTCCGAGTCTAATTTAAATACGCTGATCCGCCAAGCGTACACAACCAGGTGAGAGTACGTTATGGTTCTACTATATCTACATAAAAGTACAGCTACCAAAAAAGGCCATATGGTTTTAGCTCATGATTGACATATGCTGGTACTTGAACCGTGTTGACTTTTAAAGAGTCACGCGATCGCCGAAAAATTAATATATTAAGAGATATCAACAAATTAATAATTTTTTTTAAATTGTATAAAATGTTGAACCCCTATTTTATATCCCCAATTCGTGAGAAAACTATAGGTTTTGGTCGAACTGCCTGCGAGCACCTTTAGGTCCGGGAGTCATTGTGTTATTCAAAAATTAGATCGCGTATTGTACCCAAGAGGGTCCCGAAGGTTAGGTCAGGTTTACCTCGACAACTTTCAGCTGGTGTTGTTGGGTACTTTCCCCTGGTTTTAGCGGTTCCATGGGTACACTATACGGGATTTCGCGCTTTTTGACGTTCCCTCCGATCGGAAGAGAAGAATAAGATCGAAGGTACAAAAAAAAGGGCCTTCGGAAACTGTAACGGATCTAGACCCGGATTTCTTATTATCATCTTTTTAATTTTTTTTATTCTTACCTGAAACAAACCCTCGAATAAGATAAAAAATGTGATGTTACATTTTTTTTTATAATTTAAACGTACACATTTTAATGTTTCAAATTGGATATGATTTATAGAACATCATAAAACAAGTCTTACTTGAACCCTTCAAGAAAAATGACCTGAAGCATGACACAACAAACCTTTTCCTATTACAAATAGATCCCTTATCCAGAAACGGGCCGTTAAAGGGTGTTTTCAAACCAGTCTGATTAGAATCTTTGTGGGAAACAAGGATTAACTTGCATTATAAATCAAATAAAAATCAATACTTTAATTATAATATTAAAAAAATATTAATAACTAAAAGTTGTCATAAAAATTATATCTTACTAATTCATTTGATGATACTCCAGAAAAGTTCCGCACTAAAATCACAAAACACAAGTTCAATTTCAACACTGAAATTTAAAACACGAGCGAAGTGAAACCGGCAAGTGTCCGAGAACGTGTGAGCCTCTCTTACCTGAGCTTATACCTGGAGCCCTTTTGTATCCTCGAAGGGTTCTTCAGTAGTTGACCCCCACCGCTCAATCCCGCCTTGAACTGGTAAAAGACTCCGAATCGTGCTCTTAGTGAGTACGAACTTACAGGAAAGAAAGAACGAAAAGAAGGAAGGAGAAGGAACGAAAATCAGGAAGCAAATGTAAGATAAAGTTGATTTTATCTTTGCGGTGTTGATGGCTGCATTGCAACATAATATATGAGGATCTTTTAATCTTTTCAAAATATCTCCAAAATGAATTTAAATACAAACGTAAATTATAATTCGAATATTTAACACAAACTTTAAGAAATCGTGTAAATCGCATTTATGGGAATTCAAAAATGGTTTATGGTGCAAATTAAACTTTAAAATCTCTTCTTTAATTTGATATAAAAATCGTTTATTAAATCGTATAATTAAATTAGTTATCATTTTTTTAAGATTGCGATGATTTAGTTACTTAATTTCAAACACAACTTTAAAAATGTACCAAGACTGCATTTATGGGAACTAAGAATTAATTCATGCACCAAATTAAAGCTTGAAATCTCCTCTTTAATTCGATATAAGAAGCTTTTTTCAGATGATATTAATCGAGGAGATACATCATTTTTAAGATTACGTTGAACCTCGAATTAACCAAGAAGTATTAATTTCAAACACAAACTTTGTAATATTTATGGGAATTCAAAAATGGTTTATGGTGCAAATTAAAGTTTAAAATCTCTTCTTTAATTTGATATAAAAATCGTTTATTAAATCGTATAATTAAATTAGTTATCATTTTTTTAAGATTGCGATGATTTAGTTACTTAATTTCAAACACAACTTTAAAAATGTACCAAGACTGCATTTATGGGAACTAAGAATTAATTCATGCGCCAAATTAAAGCTTGAAATCTCCTCTTTAATTCGATATAAGAAGCTTTTTTCAGATGATATTAATCGAGGAGATACATCATTTTTAAGATTACGTTGAACCTCGAATTAACCAAGAAGTATTAATTTCAAACACAAACTTTGTAATATTTATGGGAATTCAAAAATGGTTTATGGTGCAAATTAAAGTTTAAAATCTCTTCTTTAATTTGATATAAAAATCGTTTATTAAATCGTATAATTAAATTAGTTATCATTTTTTTAAGATTGCGATGATTTAGTTACTTAATTTCAAACACAACTTTAAAAATGTACCAAGACTGCATTTATGGGAACTAAGAATTAATTCATGCACCAAATTAAAGCTTGAAATCTCCTCTTTAATTCGATATAAGAAGCTTTTTTCAGATGATATTAATCGGGGAGATACATCATATTTAAGATTACGTTGAAATTCGAATTAACCAAGAAGTATTATATAACACAAACTTTTTAACGTTTATGATGCAAATTAAATTTTAAAATGTCTTCTTTTATTTCGTATAAAAATCATTTCTTAAACCTCATAATTAAATTAGTTATCATTTTTTAAAGATTGATTGGGTTGGGGAGAAAAATTAAGTCAAATCGAGATCTTTGTAATTGTTCGGTTTATGAAAATCTTTTATGGTAGAAATAAACTTTAATTTCGTATAAAAGATAACTTTACGACCCATTTTCTCAGTCCACAAATAAAATTAACGGTTCCGCGAGGAGATTTGACGTGACGCGTCAGGTGAACTTTTCGATGGAGATCAAAGAAAATCTTTTTCTTTAGCGTTGAGATGACAACCGGAAGTAGTAGAAATGTTTTGTAAATTTGGGTTAAACACTGACAAAGTACCTCTACTAAAGAGGTACTTAAATAACTCAATATTTCTGTGTTTTAACGAGCGTAGCTTTTTTTAACCCCCTCTAAGTTATAAATATAAAATTAAATTGGATCTTGTTTGAATATTTTTTATGAAATGTATTAATCCTCGAGTGAATGAGTGAACGAAGCAACGTTCCGTACGATGATCGCGTTATCAAAAGAAGTTCATCGATAATTAGGTTTAAAGGGGGTTCTCCTTGTGGCTGGGCCCTTTCCGCTCCCGATTTTCACACGATCCTTTCCGTAATCTGAAGGATTCCATGGAAACTAATGAGGAGGTTTTTATATAAAAAAAAATTGGGGTGTCTCTTTTGTTGGATTTCTAACGAGTTAAAGTTCTAATTTTTGTTGTAAATAATGAAATAAAATTGCTTCTTCTAAATCTGAATGAGTCCTCAATCGAAATCTTTTTATTTTTTAGCCGCTTGAGCCGAAGGAGTCAGAAGATCGTAAAACCAAAGTGCGGAGGGTGCGATTTTCAGAGTGGTACAGACATCCATCCTTTTGTACTTGTTCAACAATTGAAAACCGTCTTCTTCCCCGACCCCGTATTAGACCAGGTGTGTATTCGATGCCCTCTCTCTTTCTTACTTTTAGTTCTCTTCATTGCGATTCTTGAGGGGTGAAGTTTGCAGACGCGGAATAGGAAGAAGACAATGCCGCAACGATTTCGGGTCCAGACGTCGTCGTCTCGGTTCTGGGCTTCCGCACAAAGCCCACCTAATTATAAAGAGATCAACGTCGAGCCAAACTGCCTCGATTGACATCCGTCGCGTTCCTTCCGACATTTACAGCTGTCCTTAAGAATTCTCCGTGTCATTGCGACCCTGTGGGAGCCTCGTAAGTTACCAATAAGCGTTGACACATCTCCCAATGGGGTACTTTCTTGTCGAAAATAAATCGAAGTATTTTTGAAATTTTATTGGATAAAAAAATTTCGAATTCTAGAAATAACTTGAATGTTTGGAATGACAGTTACAGATGCGGTGTTTAACTGTTTGTAAAAGACTTACGAGCAACGTCGGAAGATGAACGACATCGTCGATTGGCACAAATTGCGTAAGGGTTCTATGAAGGGGGCGGAACGTTCCCCTAAATCATAACCTAATGAGCGATTGCCATACCAACGTTAATTTACCGGACCATGTCTTGATATTAATGCGGGTGCTTAAGTTAAATTCGGCTCATTTCCGGTCTTGAATTCAGGTGATAAAACCAACACGAGTTAATTTTCACGACTTTATTTTTATATCATCAATTTTATTTTCACGTCAAAATCAATTCAATGATTATGATTGAAAAAATTGAAAGAAAAAGGCTTCATCATGTAGGAGTAACTTCCGCAAGTGGTACACTGATGATGACAATCAGTAATGTAGCGAGTTTACACCTACTTATTGTTGTTGAATTTATTGTGTGTAAGCATTGTGCTTCACTCCCCAACGTGAAAAACCCGCTGTTGCCATCATTATTGTCAATACGCGCGTTAAAATGAATGGGTACTGAGGTAGCTTCCCCTAATTTTGCGCTATCGGGACGATCATCTACCGAGGACGATGATTTTTATTTAATATATTATGACCGGCTAACCTCGGTTCATTACGTTTGCATTGAAAATTGCACCGTAACGACGATGGCACGTGGGCTGTTGGTACCCGCACGTGGTTGCTTATTAAATTGGTCTTTGAATACATTTACAATTGAATTTGCTAACTGGACATCTGCCCAATAACGAATATCCACCTTAATTTTCTCATCTCATATTCATCTTTGAATCAATGTTTTAAAATGATGTGGTTGTTGAAAGAACCATACATTGACGCGTCAACACGGAACCACGTTAAAGAAAGTTCTTAATGAAAAATTACGAGCAACCAATTATAACCAATTAGTGAGACCATATTTTTTGAAAACCTGAACCACGTCGTCATCCCTTCTCTTTCGGCAAAAGTCAAAACCTCCAAAACTTCTTTGGACCGATCGCGTTTCTAAGTCATCTCAATCTCCGCCTCTTTTCGTCAATTTAAGGCATTTTGAGTGGGGACTAAGCCAGCCCCCGTCGGCGTCACGACGACGACGACGTCGGGCGACGTTTCAGCTCCTGAAATCCCGTGCCAGTTTTGCCTCAACGTGGCGTCTGGGCCTTGATTAGATTAACTCCATTCGTAAACAAGCATTAATATCAATTTAAAGTTGACTTTGGACGAGTTGAATCGAATTAGAGTCTCTTCGGATTTTATTAACCAACGGGAAAGAGTGGGAGAGGCATTTTTCTGCACTGAAAAGATGCTGGGTTATGGGTATAATGCGATGATTGATGGGAACGAGAAGAAATTTTCGGAAAATTCGGAAAATAGTAAACAGTTTTCGGTTAGTAATTTATTGAGGGGGAGTAATAAGAAGAATTTATCTGATGGAGAATCCAATGAAGGTACTTCAAAAAATTGTATTTATGAACTAACAATTAAATATTCTTTAATAATATAATTTGTTGGTTAGATTAGAATAAAAGCATGAATTAAAAAATTACTAAGATTTTTTTTTAATATTAGTTATATCGAATTAACCTTATTACACTTTGAATCAAGCTGTTTAATTCAAAACTCCATCAAGAAATATTGAATATATGTGTTAAAATGTAACTCTTCATTTTTGAGTAAATAATAAAAAATTCTTCAATTTAAAAAAAATTGTATAAATATTAATGATTGAGAATAAGCAATGATGACCACATCAAATTAAAGCTTAAAGTGTGTTCTTTAATATAAAGTATTCAAAATCGAAATCCGTCGGAAAGTTTTGGTGAAAATTCTTAAAGTTTGAAGCTCTGTTTTTGTCAAAATCAGTTTAAGTAATAACTCGTCAACTTTAAGAAATCCCACATGTCTTGTTTATGGAATGTAAGATATTCTGTTTATGTCAGCTTAAAGTTAAAACTGGCCATTTTGAATCAAAAATCCATCAAGAAATGTTGAGTGTAAGTGTCAAAATGTAATTCTTCATTTTTGAGTAAATAACAAAAAATTCTTCAATTTTAAAAAACCGTAAAAAATTTAATGATTGAGAATAAGGAATGAGGACCACATCAAATTAAAGCTTAAAGTGTGTTCTTTAATATAAATTATTCAAAATTGAAATCCGTCGGAAAATTTTGGTGAAAATTCTTAAAGTTTGAAACTCTATTTTTGTCAAAATCAGTTTGAATAATAATTCGTCAATTTTAACAAATCGCACATGTCTTGTTTATGGAATGTAAGAAATTGTGTTTATATCAGCTTAAAGTTTAAAGTGTCCACTTTGAATCAAGGTGGTTAAATCAAAAATCCATCAAGAAATATTGAGTGTAAGTGTCAAAATTTAATTCTTCATTTTTAAGTAAATAACAAAAAATTCTTCAATTTTAAAAAACCGTAAAAACTTTAATGATTGAGAATAAGCAATGATGACCACATCAAATTAAAGCTTAAAGTGTGCTCTTTAATATAAATTATTCAAAATCAAAATCCGTCGGAAAATTTTGGTGAAAATTCTTAAAGTTTGAAACTCTGTTTTTGTCAAAATCAGTTTGAATAATAATTCGTCAATTTTAACAAATCGCACATGTCTTGTTTATGGAAAATAAGAAATTCTGTTTATATCAGCTTAAAGTTTAAAGTGTCCACTTTGAATCAAGGTGTTTAAATCAAAAATCCATCAAGAAATATTGAGTGTAAGTGTCAAAATGTAATTCTTCCTTTTTGAATAAATAACAAAAAATTCTTCAATTTTAAAAAACCGTAAAAACTTTAATGATTGAGAATAAGTAATGAGGACCACATCAAATTAAAGCTGAAAGTGTACTCTTTAATATAAATTATTCAAAATCAAAATCCGTCGGAAAATTTTGGTGAAAATCCATAAAGTTTGAAACTCTGTTTTTGTCTAAATCAGTTTGAGTAATAATTCGTCAATTTTAAGAAATCGCACATGTCTTATTTATGGAATGTAAGAAATTCTGTTTATATCAGCTTAAAGTTTAAAGTGTTCACTTTGAATCAAGATGTTTAAATCAAAAATCCATCAAGAAATATTAAGTGTAAGTGTCAAAATGTTCACTTAAAATTCTTCAATTTTAAAAAACCGTAAAAACTTTAATGATTGAGAATAAGCAATGATGACCACATCCAATTAAAGCTTAAAGTGTGTCCTTTAATATAAAGTATTCAAAATCAAAATCCGTCGGAAAATTTTGGTGAAAATCCTTAAAGTTGAAAACTCAAAATCAATTTGAATAACAACTTAAAAAAATCGCACATATCGTATTTGTGGAAAGTAAGCGATAACTGTTCATATCAGTTTAAAGCTGAAATAATCCTTTTTGAGCTAAAGTATTTAAACTAGCAACTTATGTAGAAAATTGCCTACTTAATATTGATTACACTTAATTTCTTTTTTGTTTTTTATTAATGTTAAAGCAGTAATTTTCATTTGAGAGCAATTAAGAGGTAAATTAACATTAACTTTCGGTCGGCGCCGGGACAAATTCCTTCTGAAGATGGCGTGACGGAGATATATTTCCTGGAGAGAAGCAGTTCACGTATCACATTACCGCCGGTTGACGGACGCGAACAGTAATTCATTGAGTATAAGACAGACCGTCCTTTGATCTCGCCTCTTTTGACGCTCCGGTGCCGAGATGCACTCCAATTCGGACTCAAAAAGGAGGCCGACCGAACTCTGCCGACGTTCATCATCACTAATTGCTTGATATATCGAGTTTTAAAAGCAAACTTACTCAAAACAAGTCAATTGGCAGTAAATTTAATTTTATTTAAAAGAATCTCACAAATATGAGTAATTAACGAATTCTTTTATTGTTTTCAAAATAGATTCTTGCATTGGGGACCAAGAAAAACTTAAAAAACCTAGAAGAAACCGCACAACATTTACAACGGCTCAATTAGCAGCGTTAGAACGAGTTTTTGAAAAAACTCATTATCCGGATGCTTTCGTTCGTGAAGATTTAGCTACAAAAGTGAGTTTAACTGAAGCTCGGGTTCAAGTTTGGTTTCAAAATCGCCGCGCTAAGTTTCGAAGAAACGAACGAAGCTTATCGTTACAACAACAATCGGCGGCGAAATCATCATCAAAATCACCATTTCCATCATCAAGACAAGAAAGCGTTGAACAGCCTCTGTATCCGCATCAAACAACGATTGGAATGAATAATTCCGATTTGCAATATGTTGTTCCTCCCTGGAAATTCCCTCATTATGGAAGTCAAGAGGAGTTCTATAATAATTCTAATCTAAATGCAATTACAAGTCAATCGTGTTCGTTTTTACCGACAACTTTTAATTATTGCAATCCAAATATCAATGCGAATAATATTTGTAATCGTTTGGAGTTCAGGTATAGAAGCCACGAATTTTCTTTGAGTCCTCCCATGTGATTTGAAATATTAAATATTAAAAAATAAGTATTTTTCTTTAGTTAATTAGAGTGCCATATTTATAGAAAATGTAAACCAAAGTTTTAAAATATAAATACAATAAAAATTGTTTTTGTTCTTTTTGAAATTCAACTTTAAATAACTAATTTTAGAAAATTTTTATAAAAATATTCAATTTTTAATGAAAGTAGGCAACCAAATATACTCAAATACCCAAATTGTTTAAATTATGATTTTGATCTTGTTTATTAAAATAAATAAATTATTATTTCGTCAAATTAAAGCAGTAACTTTTTTTATTAAGGTATAGTGTTAATTATTAATAAATTATTGTTTTAAAAAAAAATGCATTTGACATAAAATAATGATACATGTCAAATGTCAATATTTCATGTCTTAACCTTAAATTCAAAATTTGATTTATTAACGTTAAAAATTCATCTTATTTTTTAGCAAATTTTAAATAAATTTTAAATTATTTTCATATTTTAACCCCAACTGGTTAGACCACCAAAAGTCCGCGCCTTGCTTTGTTTAGGTTGGTTTAGGTTAGGTTCATTACCAAAGAAATATCGTACATTTTATCAAAAATGTCTCAATTAACTCTTGACGAAATGCTTATTAGATATCCTGAGTGCATTAGAAGTAATCTAAAAGAACTTGTTACAAATGGAATTGGTAAGAACACATTCAATAAGTTATAAAATATTTGATTCAAACTTTTGTAGGTTTAACAAAATCTTTGATTCAAATAAAACTTCCATCACTTAAATTGTTGGATAACTATGATATAAACTGCAATAATTCAATAATATTGGATTTACCTTATGCAGGCAAATTCCTTTCGGTGGAAATTATTTTCATTGATGAAGATTTAACATTTCCTCCCGATTTTGATATTTTGAATGATACATTTTTGGATGATCCGGATGTTGATTTGATTGAAAAGCATTTGCCTTCACTTACTGATTGGTCTTTGCAAAATCCCAAATCACTATTAAATTTTATTATTCAATTACGTGATTTGTATAAAAAACATCAAATCGAGAAGTTTTTGCAGGATCCAAAGTACTCCTTTCAACCTGACGATTATAATTTATTGAAAAGTCAGTGTAAACTAAATGATAATGATATGGAATTGCTCATTGGAAATAATACACTACACATTTTGATTTCTCTGAATTTAGATTTTACAACATTTCCAAAATATATTTATAAGTAATTGTTGTTTTAAGGTATAAATTTTATGTTAATTGCTTTAATTTTTAGGAAGTATTTTGATGATGGAAATTTGGAAAATCCTAGTAAAGATCAAGTAATTTTAAAAATTAATTTTGGTTATAGAACGAGCGTGAGCTTACAACTTTCACCATTAATTGATCGCTTTTTTTCTAATTTTTCTCCGTTAGATGTACCAAAACATAACGAAAGTATGACACTTCCAGAATATTTTGAAATAGTTCGAACAACTTTAGTAGTTAAGATGAAAAATATTGAAATGATGTTTAAGAAGAAAGAAAACTATATTTCTTTATTATTATCTGCATTGGGGGATAATATCATTGAATATGATAGTATTTCATTTACAGAAGCCACATTTTTGTTCGAAGCTGATTCATTTGCTTGTTTTGTGAAATTCTGTTTGAGTAAGTACTCAGAAAAAATAGTTTCTTTTTAAATTTGTTTTCATATATTTTAGGTGACAACTTTCCAACTACAAAACCCTCAATAACTTTTCGTTCCATTTACCATCAAATTTCTGGAATTCCCATAACTTTTATGCTTCAATCTTATCCTTATAGTCCAGGATGGGATGTGAAGCAGATGGTTGATAAAACATTGATAAAAATTCAGGAAAATATGCCACAATTTAAAACTTATTGTTTAAATAAAATGTCTTAACTTTAATTTCTTTTTGCACCAAATAAATTTTCTTTTGATTTATTTATTATTAGCAGTCTTTCTCAAAGTGAGTGATAACGCCCTCTGGTGATGAGGACATTGCACTTAGAGCAATTTCTCTTATTTTAGACAATTTCCAATTGACAATTCAAATTTCTATTTTCAATTTTTACGGTGTTACCAACTGCTACATACCTAGTTCCCTACATTATCATTTAATTTGTTTTTGTTAAAACGAAACGATAAAAACGCGAATTATAAAAAATAGCAGAAAAAACTGAAACTTGAATTTGTGCATTATTTATCTCAACAACTAATTGTGATATCGCTATGAAATGAAAAGCAATTAAAGCAAATTTACATAGTATTTAACATGTTACAGATCTTGGGCCTCTTTATGATTTGACAAATACTCTTAGAAATGCGAAAGAAATTATTAATTGGCCGAAAGAAAACATTGAATCGAAATACCACATAAGAATTGTTTTATTAAGATATTGTTATATATATATTATTATAACGAGTATTTTGTTAGTAAATTTGTTACAGCAATGCTGTTAATTAGAAAATATGAATGATGAGGAATATAGATAGAGATATTATAAATTGATCGTTAAAATGTAGCAGGAAGAGTTGAATTTAAAAAACCATAACAATTAAGTTTATGGAAATTAAGAAATTATTTTTGTTGGATTAAATCTGTATGAAATTTGCTTTAAAACGTTTTTTATTTCATGATGATATCTCCATTCGTTTTTGAGATACGATTTCTTAAACTTTATGTTTCATATCTACAACAATCAAACGTGCAGAGTTGGATTTTAAAAATCATAACACCGTTAATTATAGAAAATAAGAAATTATTTATGGTACATTAAATCTTTATCAAATTTGCTTTAAAATCTTCTTTATTTCATGACGTTATCTTAAGTAGTTCTTTCATGATAGANATTGGGGGATAATATCATTGAATATGATAGTATTTCATTTACAGAAGCCACATTTTTGTTCGAAGCTGATTCATTTGCTTGTTTTGTGAAATTCTGTTTGAGTAAGTACTCAGAAAAAATAGTTTCTTTTTAAACTTGTTTTCATATATTTTAGGTGACAACTTTCCAACTACAAAACCCTCAATAACTTTTCGTTCCATTTACCATCAAATTTCTGGAATTCCCATAACTTTTATGCTTCAATCTTATCCTTATAGTCCAGGATGGGATGTGAAGCAGATGGTTGATAAAACATTGATAAAAATTCAGGAAAATATGCCACAATTTAAAACTTATTGTTTAAATAAAATGTCTTAACTTTAATTTCTTTTTGCACCAAATAAATTTTCTTTTGATTTATTTATTATTAGCAGTCTTTCTCAAAGTGAGTGATAACACCCTCTTGTGGCCACTAGAGCCCTACAGGGAGCAATTTCTCTTATTTTAGATAATTCAAATTTCTATTTTCAATTTTGACGGTGTTACCAACTGCTACATACCTAGTTCCCTACATTGTCAAAATTTATTTTGTTTTTGTTAAAAAGAAACGTTAAAAATGCGAATTACAAAAAATAGCATAAAAAACTTGAATTTGTGCATTTCAAGCGTGTCTTACGAAACTAGTTTTTTAATATACTATTATTTATCTCACCAACTAATTGTGATATCGCTATGAAATGAAAAGCAATTAAAGCAAATTTACTTAGTATTTAACATGTTGCAGATCTAAGCCTCTTTATGATTTGGCAAATATTAAGAAATTAATTGGCCGAAAGAAAACATTGAATCGAAATACCACATAAGAATTGTTTTATTAAGATATTGTTATATATATATTATTGTTACAAAAAAATTTGTTACAGCAATACTGTTAATTAGAAAATATGAATGTAGAGAAATATAGAAGAATATAGATAGAGATATTAGAAATTGATCGTTAAAATGTTGCGGGAAGAGTTGAATTTAAAAAACCATAACAATTAAGTTTATGGAAATTAAGAAATTATTTTTGTTGGATTAAATCTGTATGAAATTTGCTTTAAAATGTTTTTTATTTCATCATGATGGATGATGCATAATACTTCGTTGGACACCTAATTCTTTTCCAGGATATATTGCACATTAAAGTTAGTGCGATTTATTTTAATAAAATTACGTACGTTTTAGTTGAAATGCTTTGAGAAAACGAGTAATTTTTTTTTGAAAGGTTCAGTTTTAAAACCAGAAAATCCGTCATCCTTAGGCTTTTTGTTTATTCACCTCCACTACTTCTTCTCTGCATTGCTATTCAAAGAGGGGATGTTGGGGTGTTGGTTGGCTAATAACGCATTTTAATTTTAGTTGATGTGCGGGCATCGTGAGTTGATAAAGTAGTTGCGAAAATTGAAACTTATTACGCGAATTAAGTGATAAATACATCTTATATTTGTGCTAAGTGTTGGGTGATGGTAGTGATGTTAGTGACATTAGTGACGTTGAGACCGCCGGATTGCTATTTTGTGGATGTTAAAAGGTATCGTATTAATTCATTTTTTGTCACAATAGATTAATTTTTTTTTTCTTTCCAGCTGAGCTACAATGTGAGAACCAAGGAAAGCAACATCCACTCGGTGAGTCGTTTCAAAATTTTTTTATTTCTTATTTTTACCAAAACAAATGTTGGTAATTCGCAATTTGAACGCCGGTGTAATATTTCCATATAAAAACCAATTCGAACCCTATTCATTGGATTTGTACTTGACAAAACGTTGCGATTCAATACATTTTTACATTTTCTGCTTGAAAAATCATAACATTTTATTTTTCAAATTTATATTTCATGATAGAAAGAATGTAGGATGATGCATAAGATTTCGTTTGACACCTGATTCTTTTCTAGGATGTGTTGCACATTGAAATTAGTGCGATTTATTTTAATAAAATTACGTATGTTTTAGTTGAAATGTTTCGAGAAAACGAGTAATTTTTTTTTGAAAGGTTCAGTTTTAAAACCAGAAAATCCGTCATCCTTAGGCTTTTTGTTTATTCACCTCCACCACTTCTTCTCTGCATTGCTATTCAAAGAGGGGATGTTGGGGTGTTGGTTGGCTAATAACGCATTTTAGTTGATATGCGGGCATTGTGGGGTGATAAAGTAGTTGCGAAAATTGAAACTTATTACGCGAATTAAGTGATAAATACATCTTATATTTGTGCTAAGTGTTGGGTGATGGTTGTGATGTTAGTGACATTAGTGACGTTGAGATCGCCGGATTGCTATTTTGTGGATGTTAAAAGGTATCGTATTAATTCATTTTTTGTCACAATAGATTAATTTATTTTTTCTTTCCAGCTGAGCTACAATGTGAGAACCAAGGAAAGCAACATCCACTCGGTGAGTCGTTTCCAAATTTTTTTATTTCTTATTTTTACCAAAACAAATGTTGGTAATTCGCGATTTGAGCGCCGGTGTAATATTTCCATATATAAACCAATTCGAACCCTATTCATTGGATTTGTACTTGACAAAACGTTACGATTCAATACATTTTCTGCTTGAAAAATCATAACATTTTATTTTTCAAATTTATATTTCATGATAGAAAGAATGTAGGATGATGTATAAGATTTCGTTTGACACCTGATTCTTTTCTTGGGTGTGTTGCACATTGAAATTAGTGCGATTTATTTCAATAAAATTACGTATGTTTTAGTTGAAATGTTTCGTGAAAACGTGTAATTTTTTTTTTGAAAGGTTGAGTTTTAAAATCAAAAAATGATTAAAACCCGTTTCGCTTCGGCATCCTTAGGTTTTTTGTTTATTCACCTCCACCACTTCTTCTCTGCATTGCTATTCAAAGAGGGGATGTTGGGGTGTTGGTTGGCTAATAACGCGTTTTAGTTGATATGCGGGCGTTGTGGGGTGATAAAGTAGTTGCGAAAATTGAAACTTATTACGCGAATTAAGTGATAAATACGTCTTATATTTGTGCTAAGTGTTGGGTGATGGTAGTGGTGTTAGTGACGTTAGTGACGTTGAGATCGCCGGATTGCTATTTTGTGGATGTTAAATGGTATCGTATTAATTCATTTTTTGTTACAATAGATTAATTTATTTTTTCTTTCCAGCTGAGCAACAATGTGAGAACCAAGGAAAGCAACATCCACTCGGTGAGTCGTTTCCAAATTTGTTTATTTCTTATTTTTACCAAAACAAAACTTGGTAATTCGCGATTTGAACGCCGGTGTAATATTTCCATATATAAACCAATTCGAACCCTATTCATTGGATTTGTACTTGACAAAACGTTGCGATTCAATACATTTTTACATTTTCTGCTTGAAAAATCATAACATTTTATTTTTCAAATTTATATTTCATGATAGAAAGAATGTAGGATGATGCATAAGATTTCGTTTGACACCTGATTCTTTTCTAGGGTGTGTTGCACATTAAAATTAGTGCGATTTATTTTAATAAAATTACGTATGTTTTAGTTGAAATGTTTCGAGAAAACGAGTAATTTTTTTTTGAAAGGTTCAGTTTTAAAACCAGAAAATCCGTCATCCTTAGGCTTTTTGTTTATTCACCTCCACCACTTCTTTTATGCATTGCTATTCAAAGAGGGGATGTTGGGGTGTTGGTTGGCTAATAACGCATTTTAATTTTAGTTGATGTGCGGTCGTCATGAGTTGATAAAGTAGTTGCGAAAATTAAAACTTATTACGCGAATCAAGTGATAAATACATCTTATATTTGTGCTAAGTGTTGGGTGATGGTAGTGATGTTAGTGACATTAGTGACGTTGAGATCGCCGGATTGCTATTTTGTGGATGTTAAAAGGTATCGTATTAATTCATTTTTTGTCACAATAAATTAATTTATTTTTTCTTTNCTTCAAGCTTGAATTTAAAATAAGTTTTATTTCTTAATTTCAATAAACACGGTTTCCAAAAATTTTTTAATTAGCATCTTTTTTTACACTTAGACTATGCGAAAATAGGGGGATTGCATATTTTGCTAAAATTTTATTCCAAAGGCCTTTACCGAGTGTATTTTGATAGCGTTTTAATTCTGTTTGATTCTGTTACAAAGTTTCAAAATGTTTGACTTCTTAGGACACAAAGGGTTAAGGAGGGGATGTTGATTGGCTAATAACGCGTTTTAGTAAAGTTAAAATAGTTGCGAAAATTGAAACTTATTACGCGAATTAAGTGATAAATACATCTTATATTTGTGCTAAGTGTTGGGTGATGGTAGTGATGTTAGTGACATTAGTGACGTTGAGATCGCCGGATTGCTATTTTGTGGATGTTAAAAGGTATCGTATTAATTCATTTTTTGTCACAATAGATTAATTTATTTTTTCTTTCCAGCTGAGCTACAATGTGAGAACCAAGGAAAGCAACATCCACTCGGTGAGTCGTTTCCAAATTTTTTTATTTCTTATTTTTACCAAAACAAATCTTGGTAATTCGCGATTTGAGCGCCGGTGTAATATTTCCATTAACATTCTGATTAGAACAATTAAGGGTGCCCTAGAAAATATTTGATTCTCAAAGTAGGGTGTTGAAGAAATTAGTTTGAGAATCTCTGATTAATTATTACGTTTTGATTGTAAATAAACACTCAAATTGGATTCTAAGATCGTTTAATAAAACATAAAATGAAAATTAAAGTATCACAGTTGTCCTATAAAGTACAAAGTAACAAACATCTTCAAGAAAAAACAGTACAAATTAAAATAAAAAACAATAAATAAACTATACAAATTTATACACCAATAAAACTCGCTATATAAAAAACCATTGATTAATAATAATAACGATACGTATAGGAATAGAGGAAACTATTACACTTTTTAATCGTAATTTACCACAACATGCTTTATACGTTTTTATTTATTTTTTATTAATAACTTTTCCTTTTTCATTTTTATTTCGTATATAAGCATGTAAACGTTTAAGAAGTTCTAACAGCCGGGGTGTAAATACCCAGCACAGTGCAGGTAAATTAAAATGAAAGCTTCCGAACGCTAATTGATGGAAATGAAGTTGTTTTAATTCCGTTCAATTCTCATTCGAAAGCCCACCCTATTATTAGGCGTACACTACGTTATATTTCAATTTGAAACCACGTTATGTCTAGATGATTTTAAATATCTAAACATCTCATTATTAGCCGTAAAGCAATAAGAAAATTCAAAGAAAAATAAATTAAATAAATCAATTCTTTCTGTCCATTAAAAAAAAATTAAAATTAATCTATTTTTTTTTAAATGCGTTTCTTCTTTCTTGAATCTTGGGTTGGGTTACTTCTTATTTTAATAGATTATATTTGTTTATTCCAGATTTATTCCAAGTTTGTTACCATTTCGTCGTTTTAAAATGTAAGAAATCGAAATTAATTGACATGGCACAATTTTAGTCTATTTCCGCCCGTTTTAGTTATTTTAAAGAAATTTTTAAAAAATAGCATTCATTAGCACACCCGAGGAATGTTTTAACTTCGTAAAAATCACACTTTTAAAAATCATTTTTGAAACACGACCGAAAAGTGTTAAAATGTGTCTTAATACTGCAGCATGAGGACATCTATTTTGTAAAAGGAACTTGCAGTTTTTCTTTTTTTTTAATTTTTAATCTTCTTATTATTATTTTTTTGGCTATATCTTTTGGTGTGTGTTAATATTTGTTCTGCCTCTCCATTCATTTTAATTCTCCATCAGTCTTTCCATTAATTCAGCTAACTTTCTTGTTGATCTTGCGTTGATTGCACACTATGATTCACGTTGCTATCGTTTGGCATTAATAAAGTTGAAAGGGCCTCCAAAGATTGTCGAACCTATTGTTTTATTGTTATTTGAGAAATAAATATAATTCAATTCGTTTTACCTTTGCGATTTGATCCAAATTTGTATCTAAAAAGCTATGCACCGCCCCGGCTGATTTTGAATGAAGATGCGTTTGCCAGTTTAAAATCTCGCTGTAAACGTCTTCGTTTTGTGGAATTGAAAGGTAATCTTGTAAAGCCAAGGAGTACCTCTGCTGGATTCTTCCTATTCTATACAACAAAATTGCGGCGGAAAAAAATAAAAGAACCAAAATTAAGGTGCTCGCGAAAATGAGGAGCCGTTGTTTTGAGAAATACGTCGTAATTCCTGCTTCTTCTGATAACTTCTTATTAATGAGCATCGATGGGTTATCAACGCAATCGATCGATTTTCTTATTTCCGTTTTTATGATACACTTTGTAAATCGAGCGTTTATTTCAGAGGCTGCGGATTCTCGCCCGCTTTCTTCCCGAGTTTCACTGCTATCGCTATCTGAATTATGTTCAATGGGCTAAAAAAAAATTATTAAAATCAAAATTTTGAAAAAAATTCTGTATTTACAAGTATTTCTGGTTCTAAAAGCTGTTGAGCATTCCTAGCTCTCTCCCAAACGGTAATCATATATCTAAATGTGCTATCACGAGACATTAAACTTCCAAAAACGTGTTTATCTTCGGCTGTGGTGATTCCAACAGCATTCGGTATGATTTTTGCTGTTTTCTCTTTAGTGAGCTTTTCAACGGAAAGCATCGGGATTAAAAGTTTCGTGACGTAACCAAAAACGTTCGAGTAAAAGGCGAAGTAGTTGTTGGTGATATATAATTGCCCTTGGAGGAGAATGTCGCCCAAAAGGGCACAAGAATAATCTAAAAAAAAAGCACATTTAATACAACTTAAATTAATTAAGGGCCGGTTGTACAATATTACGATAAATCTATTTCATAACTATCCGGAGAAGACTCCTTACAGGAGATTAAACACTACTATTTGATGCATAACGACGACATGAACTTATTAGTGCTGTCAAAAGATTGGTTATTGTGAAAACTGGATACTACTAACAGGAGACTAGATATTGCTTGCAGCAGATTAGACACTAATTGCAGAAATCCATAAACTGGTTTTTTTTTGCATGATGACGATCACATAGACTTTTTACTGCTGATTAAAGGCTGGATACTGCTGATAGAGGCTGGATACTACTTGCACATGACTGGGAATTGCTTGCAGAGGACTAGCTACAACTAACAGCAAACTAGACGTCAGTAGAAGGAAACTACACCCTGTTTCTTGCTTAACAATGATGAAATGTGCTGGCAAAAGACTGGATACTGCATGCAGATGGCTAGAAAATACTATTGGGGGACTAGATACTGCTAAAAGAAGACCAGATAATGGTTACAGAAGACTTCACACATGACGACAACTACATAGATTTGTTATTGCTGGAAAAAGACTGAATATTTTATGTAGGCTCGCTACTATTAATAATAAATCTATCTCATAACTATCCAGACGATAAAGATATTCGCAGCGGAATTTCGAGAAAAACCACATTTTTTAATTCAAGATAGCAATTTTTTGTTGGTAAGATTGGTATCGGCGAAATAAGAGGCGGTTGGTAGCACTTTTTCCCCATATCTAGTAATTTGTGCCATATGTTGATAACGCTAACGTCTTTCTTTGAAATTTGAATTAAGATTTTAACAATAATAATTGTTTAAAAAATTTTTTCACGACACACAACTGACACAACGTATGTATAGGGTGTTATAGGTTAACTTATGCAGTAACCATACAAAGTTTTTATATAAAAACCTTGGTAACTATATATATCTAACAGGTTATAATCTCACCGACTAACTTATCGACCAGATAACATTGTCGGGAAGTACATACATATATCGGTATATTATACAACCGGCCTTAAATCAAAAAAATCTTACGATTAAGTACTTTCTCATCGATATCCACCATAGGAAAATGTCGATGAAACTTTTTTTGTCTCCCTTTTGAAGTTGTATGATGTTTTTCTTCTTTAGATGATGTAGTTTTTGGACTCGGTGGCTCTGGAGATTGAGCTTGAGCCGTCATCGCTGGCGTTGAAGAAGATAATTGTTTTAACGTTCCTCTGAAATTTATTAAAAATTAATTTTTAACATTAGCTTGATGATCGATGAGATAGATATCAATGTAAATATTTGATTTAAAACGCATCGCTTAGGTTCGATCCCGAAGGCGAAACAACAAAAAAAAAATAACGCGATTATATTAATAAACCACGAGATAAATATTTATTAAATCGATCGATTCGAAATTGAATTATTAAAACAATGAAATAGAGACGCGCAGTAAGATATACACGATTTATCTTTTTTTTGTGTGCAGCTGTTCAAATAATTAAATATATATTAAATTACGAGATAATAATTTAAAATCGATAACAAATTCAAATTTGATAAAATTATATACTTACTCGTAATATTCTCCTGAGGATGATGAAGAATACGACGAAGAACTATCGGAATCTTTACTATGCGATAAAGCCATCTTTAACAACAATTTAATTTGCGCAACTTTAAATCGTCTACGAATGATATTGACCATTTACATCGGTTTACTCGACGCGTCTTAAAACGCTAAAAGGCAAAGTACAACGTTTATCGGCTAATTTTAACAACAAACACGATCCCACAACCGAGATTTATCGTCATAGTATTATCGAGAATGAAGGAAATCACCTTTTCGACCTCTCTTTCTTTGGTTTTTTTAACCGCAAGCAACGCGCGTAAATGATTCACATTTATTGGAGAAGTGTATGAAAGCGAATGGCTTTAGTGTCATAAAACCCAGGTGTTTAATCGTTATAGGTGTAGATAATTTTTTTGTTACTGATAACGTTATCTCAACCTGGTTTTGAGATAACCATCGGAATACTGAATATGAAATATAATTTAAGAAAAAATATTACCAAGGTGAATTTGGGAACAATTGTTGTAATTGCAGTATGCGGTGGTTATTAAAATCATTATTGTCTTTAATACTTTTTTGCATGGAAATTTTATTGCCGCGAACTACCAAGAATTTCATATCTATGACCTAATGTCGACCTGTAACATGAATAACATTGCTGGCGAAGTAGAGGGGAGAAAATTACGCAATTAAGTAATCTATTATTTAATTTTTAAGTTTTATCTTGTTGAATTGGGTTGGCGAAACTACTCGATGGGTTATGAAACTGTTTTCTAGCAATATTTTAAAGCAATGACAAATTATTAATCGTACTGCTAATAGAAAACTAGATACTGCATAAAGAAGACTTCTAACTGCTAGAAGGATATTAGATACTGTTGGCAGAAGACTAGAAAACTGGACAAAAAACTCGTTGCTGCTCCTTGGAATAAATGAAACACTCGCCACTGCTTGCAAAAGACTGGATACTGCTTGCAGGAGATTAAACACTGGTCACTAGAAGTCCACACGACCGCATTGACATTTTACTGCTGATAAAAGACGAGATACTGCTGGTCCAGAAGAATTTACTTGGTATGAAATGGTATGAACCTCACCAAAGATAAATGAGAAAGCATTTATTTAAACTACTAAAAGTGAATGTTAAAAGGTATTTAATTCTATCAGTTTATCTTTTCAACATTTAGTTCTGAAAGCTTACAATTGTAAAACATTGTTTATTAAACATTGAATAGAATGTGTTCCTTTCAAAATGAGTTATTGTCGAAACACCCATCTTTATAGTTCCGCAAATTGGGTCACATGTTCCCAAAAAACCACACACAATCCGCTCTATTTCCGTTCGATCGCAATATTTACCTTTAAAAATTTACGTGCAGCATTCGAAATCTTCACTTCAAAGTGCTTTAACTTTATCGACGCTCCTTTTCATTTTAATTATATACCAAAAATTGTTGTTGCGTAATCGAAAATTATCAACGGTAAACACGCGTCTATTTGCATTTTACTCGGTGCGCGATCGGCAAAGAAAACCGAACCAAAACGGTAATTTACATTCGCCGCGCGCGTATTACGCAAGTTATTTATTATTTTACATTGAATGTAAAGTATAAAAGGATAAAGAGCCGTTAGTTAACGTTTTTCTATAATCAGGGTTTAAACTTTTAATGGCAAGAAATTGCAAAGAAAACGAGTTATTTTTAATTCTCGGAATTTAACAATGAGTAATAAGGGGCAATTCCAAGTAAGAATGCCATTCAAAACTTATATTTTATGTGATTATTGTAATTCATTTTTTTAATTGGATTTAAAACTTACTTATCGTATTTTCCAAACAAACTATGACTGGGACTTCTTTGAATAGACGGAGTTATGTATCCTGGACTAGATGGTTGAGATAGATGGTCTGTAAACGTTCCTGAAGACGTCCCGAGCAATCCTTGGGGCGTACTTGGGGCTGAGCGTGCCCCCGCGCTCCCAAAGTTGCCTGAAGACCTGAAATAACAATTAATTAACTACTACAAATCTAAATTTATCCCACAAAACGCACAAAATAATTATTCTTTGACCTAATAAAAATATGTAAGGTTAAAATGTTTTGACATCAATGCCGAAAAACATCTTTGATATTGACATTAATCCTCAATATCAAATTTTTTGTTTAAATTCAAACAGCTCAGAACTCGATGCGATTAAATATGAAAAATTAAAACTTAAAATGAGAATTTTAAAATAAAGATTCAAAATCGATTCGAATAGTTCGTAATTACTAATAACTAATCGTTTACGTCAAGGAAACGGAAATTACTATCGGTGTTTACACCTCATCTGTTATTAAACGATTCTCCTCGGTACGTGACGCTTAAAGGTTGAACGTGTATTAAAATTAATGAAATGCGAATGGCAAACGGTCGATTGCCGGCCGTTGTTGTTGTAAAGAGGAAGCTCTTAAGACAATCATATTGTGTTATGTTACGTGTTTTATACTTGGTGACCTAAAGCCGTTCGTTGACTCTTCAAGAAAAACTTACTTAAAATAAATTTAAAATTAAATTCTATCTAAGAAACAAATCTTGGTTTCTATAAATGTGAACCTTATGATTTTTTTATTAAAACTCTTCATATCAATTTTTGACAGGTTTTGTTTATAAAAACTAAGATTAAAAAAATCATATCTCTAAATCTAATCGAGATGAAATATAAACCATTTTGAAGCAAATTTAATACAGTTTCAACCCACCAAAAATAATCCCTTCATTTGTATAAATCTCTCTGATACGATTTTTTGAATTAAACCCTGCTTGATTTTAAGATTAACTTGATTCGAGAACTTTAAGAAGCTGTATCTTAAGAACTAATTGAGATATCGGTATGAAATAAAAATGATTAAAAAGCAAATTTTATCGATATTTGATGTAGTTAACATTATTTCTTCATTTTTATAATTGTGGGTGTTCTGATTTTTTTAATAAAACCCTTCATACCAATTTTTGACAAATTACGTTTATAAAGACTAAACTTAAAAAAAATCATATCTCAAAACGTAATTGAGATATCGAAATGAAAAGTAAATCATTTTGAAGCAAATTTAATACAGTTTTAACCCACCAAAAATAATCCCTTCATTTCTATAAATCTCTCTGATACGATTTTGTGAATTAAACCCTGCTTGATTTTAAGATTAACTTGATCCGAGAACTTTAAGAAGCTGTATCTTAAGAACTAATTGAGATATCGGTATGAAATAAAAATGATTAAAAAGCAAATTTTATCGATATTTGATGTAGTTAATATTATTTCTTCATTTCTATAATTGTGGGTGTTATGATTTTTTTAATAAAACCCTTCATATCAATTTTTGACAGTTTACGTTTATAAAGACTAAACTTAAAAAAAAACATATGTCAAAATGTAATTGAGATACCGAAATGAAATGTAAATCATTTTGAAGCAAATTTAATACAGTTTTAACCCACCAAAAATAATCCCTTCATTTCCATAAATCTCTCTGATATGATTTTTTGAATTAAACCCTACGTAATTTTGGTTTAACTTGATCCGAGAACTTTAAGAAGCTGTATCTTAAGAACTAATTGAGATATCGGTATGAAATAAAAATGATTAAAAAGCAAATTTTATCGATATTTGATGTAGTTAATATTATTTCTTCATTTTTATAATTGTGGGTGTTCTGATTTTTTTAATAAAACCCTTCATACCAATTTTTGACAAATTACGTTTTTAAGACTAAATTAAAAAAAGTCATATCTCTAAATATAATTGAGACATCGAAATGAAATATAAACTATTTTGAAGGAAATTTAATACAGTAAATAATTTCTTCATTTCTATAAATTTCTATGATACGATTTTTTGAGTTAAACTTATGATGTTAGCCTGATAGTTCCAAATGATACATAATAATAAGAATTGTCAAGAGTTCCACGTGGTCAAAAACCATCATCATTAAGACGAATCGATTGAGTGACATTGAAATTGTGTTTTCTCTTTTAAAGAGAACAACCAGTGATCCGTTCCCATGTTAAATAATAAATATCTGACGACCTTGGTACGTACCTTAAATATAGGCGAAAGTATCGTTCAAATAATAATCGTTTTCACAAAGTTGTATTATGAATAGTTTAAAAAAATAATAAAAAGAAGAAAAGTGGAGAACAAAGTGTTGGCTGCGCAAAAATAAGACACTTAAGTTTTACGGGACACTTAAAGTAACTCGGGGAATACTGTGAGGTCCTGTTGGGGTGTAAACAATGAGTGGAATGGAAGAACTGATCCAGATCACGCCGGACAGCTTCCTTATGTTGTTGGGAGAGTGTGTGTGTGTCGAAATTTTCGGAATCTCTGGATCTTTGCCAAGAGTTTTGTCGGTTTTGCTAACGAAGACTTTTGCGTTATACCTGGAATAACACTCAGGATGGGTTTGAAGAATTTTTTATAAAATTACTCAAAATGACAAAAATAAAAAAATTAAGCTGGTTATAAATGAACTTCCTTAAAAATTAATTTAACACGTGTTTCCGCTTAAACCGACAAAACCATCTCAAAATTTCGTAATGTGGAAATGGGTTATAAATAAATTTGGTTAATTTATGTGTATTAGGAATTTTAAAATAGGTCAATATCGGAACTATTAGTTTTGTGTAATTTATCGAAACTTCCTTAAAAGATTAGATTAAAATTTATTAAAATCGTAAGTAGGATTTTCCATAAATAAATATATCTCATGAGTAATAAAATATGTAAATTTCGGTGTAAATATGAATCGAAGCGACCTCTTTTTTTTAAGTTACCCAAAAATAAATGTTTGAGGACGAGGAATTTCCTACTAAGTTATTTATAAGATCCTGAACGTGATGATTTCATACTCATATTTCATATCAGCTGGTTTTAATGTGTTAATAGTCAATCTCCTCTTAGAAGTCTTAAAAAAACTCATTTTTAAAAGAATTTAAAAGGAAATGTGTTCATTTCAGTTTAAGGATAAAAAAAGTAAATAAATAAACAAACATTTTTCTTGTTTGATTATTTTAGCGAAAGGCAACCTAAACATTTTTTATTGTCTTTAACGTTTAAACAACATTAGGAGTAATTTTGGTTTATAAAAAGATGAAAATGAAGGCAATAAAAAAGTTAAAATTCAAGGAGAAAAGACGAAGAAGAGTCCGGTACGTTGACCCAGTGGCATGAAACATTTATAACTGTAAGCGTCTACGTTTCGGCCAACGAAGAACTTTTAACTTAGTTTTGCTTCACTACATCTTGATTAATACGGTTTTATTTTTAAGGTTATCATCATGTGGGGAATAAAAAATCCTTTAAAATGACTCCAAAGTCGATTAATTTATTTCAAAAAATAATCAAAATTTTTTTAAAACTTACAACCGGAAGTACACATTTTTCGATTATCTTTAAAGATAAATTAATCGCGAAAATAGTGATTTTAAAGAATTTATTAAAACTAAATATCGACCAAGCACGTTTAGTTGACACATTTCTCGAGTTGATAATTCAATTTTAACACCTTGAACGGATTAGATAATTGCGCACGTGGGCTTTTAAATTAAGTTTTTTAAAGAAATTTTGCACATACCGTATATATCTTTTCATGGTTTTTTGAAAACTATTTTGATGTTTAATCGATGTTGGCTTTTATAAAACTGATTCCTTGTATCAGTTTTTTCCATTAAAAAACATTAATTGGTGCTGTTTAAAGTGCAATTTATCGACAAGTATAATTTGAAATTTCCAAATCATTTTTTTAAACAAGAAAAACTCGTTTGCGATTATAATTACACCAAAATTAATTGTTTATTTATGGAGATTAAAAGAAAAAAAGGTCAAAAATTAAATTTTAATCTTTTTTTTGGAATTTTTGATTCGCGTGTTTTCTTGGGATTTTCCCTGTAGTCATTAATGCATGACTTCCCCTATTTGTCGCTTCCGCTTTACTGTTTTACAACCAACCCTCTCGAATATTTAGAGTTTGCTGTCTTCGCTCCTAAAAATGGGTCGATAAAAATGTCGAGACAGAATAAATTTTGATGATGTTACGAAATTAAAAAAAAATAATAGTTGCGTTTATTTAAATAGCTGTTCTAATCATAAATTAAAAATGAAAATCACCTGCTTTTGCGCAAAAACTTATTTTTAACAACTTGCAATTTGTGTTCTTTGACATCCCTCTCTTTATTATCCAACCCTTGGACGAAACACAACATCACAGAATCACTCATGCACATATCCCCAATTTTAAAACAGTATTGAATAAATTAATTCAAATATTAATTATTTACAAAAATTATTTTTGCTTATCTTAAGCATAACAGGGCTTTGTATTAATATTCAAAGTTAATGTTCAGTTGAAAGATCTAAATCGAACCGAACAGAACGCGAATAATTTGGTTTAATTAATTGAACAGAAAGCCACGATGACCGATGTTAAACTACTAAAAAAACAGGACGAAGAGTTGAGACCGCGCGACGATGTTAACGAAAGGAAAGGCTTAACAGAACTGACGACTGCGCTCAACGCTTTGGTTTCGATACCATAGCAACTGGAACATAGGTGATTTTCATTCCTAGATAGGTTTTCAACTAATACTTAAAAAAATTATAACTTAAAAATATGAAGGACATTTAAAATCTCTCTTTAATCCTTCTATTGTTTTGAACATCTTCTTGGTTTAGATCTTTAGCATTTCCATAACTATAGAGCAAGAAGTACGCTTCTTTGAATTGAGATCAGCTGTTTGTTGATATTTTTGTTAGAATTTTTTTGAATTAAGCTGTGTATGATAAGCTTGACAGAAGTAAAACTTGAAATAAAAATGGTTAAAAAGCAAATTCGATTGATATTTAATGTGGTAAATATTATTTCTTTGTTTCTGTAATTGTGGGTGTTATGATATTTTTAATAAAACCTTTCATACCAATTTTTGACAGGTTACGTTTATAAAGACTAAATTTTAAAAAAATCATATCTCGAAATGTAATTAAGATATCGAAATGAAATATAAACCATTTTGAAGCAAATTTAATACAGTTTCAACCCACCAAAAATAATCCCTTCATTTCTATAAATCTCCCTGATGCGATTTTTTGAATTAAACCCTGCGTGATTTTGAGGTTAATTTGATCTGAGGAACTTTAAGAAGCTGTATCTTAAGAACTAATTGAGATATCGGCATGAAATAAAAATGATTTAAAAGCAAATTTAATCGATATTTAATGTGGGAAATATCATTTCTTTATTTCTGTAATTGTGGGTGTTATAATATTTTTAATAAGACCCTTCATACCAATTTTTGACAGGTTACGTTTATAAAGACTAAATTTTAAAAAACTCATATCTGGAAATGTAATTAAGATATCGAAATGAAATATAAACCATTTTGAAGCAAATTTAATACAGTTTCAACCCACCAAAAATAATCCCTTCTTTTCTATAAATCTCTCTGATGCGATTTTTTGAATTAAACCCAAATTTAATAGGAAAGTAATTGAGATATCGCCATAAAACTACATAAAATTGGTGTCTTATTTCGCCATCAAACAGATCAGTAAGAAGATTACATCCAACAATTACAAGAATCATCAGCAATATTAGTTCGTATTGTGTAAATATATTATAAGCTTCTAACTTTAATGGTTAACTCATCATGTATGAATCAAGAACACGAATCCTTAATAATAAAATATTTCTTGTATTACATAAAAGAATTTTATACACCTGACTATTTATTATGAATAATACTTGAATTTATTATTAACATAGGTTATTAATGTCGAGGTAGAAAAAGCAAACTAAAAAATATTACGAAGAAATGCATTTACGAGATATCGTCGGATCTAATATACAATAAACAAATCGTACATCTGGCGGAAAATGCACGCCGTTAAAACGAATTCGGTTTAAACTTTCCCTCACTTTTGAATTAAAACAGATACATCGCGATGAGGTCAGTACTTTTGTATATTATCTTCTCATCTTTAAGTTATTATTGTTTACCCTAAATATGGAATAGATTCTTACGGTTTATATTAAAATTAATATGATCCAAGTTGAAACTCACCTAAAAATTGATCGTTTCTTAAAATTGAAAATGAAAATATGCAAAACGGGGAACGTTTTTCTTCGTTTTCTTTCTGTCATGTCTTTTATCAATGAGAGTGTTAAGTNATCGAAAATAAAGAATGTAATTTTTTCTTATATCCTCTCATTTTTGAGATAATCCCATTTAAATACGAATCTAACATTTATTGTTAATAATGATCAAATCTTTAGAAGAGAATATCTTAAGAATGAAGGGTGATACAAAAAAAATTTATTCTTTCTTTTCGACTTAAAATTCATTTTTGTGTCCGAATTAGTTAAAGATTTTCCCTTAATAACGGTTATTTATAAAATACGGATGATTTTGTGAAAAATATGAATGTTTTAAATGGTTCATTTTAATTTCATAATTACGATTATTATTTTTTTGAATGTTTGAGATCACTTTCTTATAAAAAAATAAATTTAAAATCGAAAATAAAGAATGTAATTTTTTCTTACATCCTCTCATTTTTGAGATAATCCCATTTAAATACAAATCTAACATTTATTGTTAATAATGATCAAATGTTTAGAAGAGAATATCTCAAGAACGAAGGGTGATACAAAAAAAAATTATTCTTTCTTTTCTACTTAAAATTCATTTTTGTATGCGAATTAGTTAAAGATTTTCCCTTAATCACGGTTATTTATGAGATACAATTGATTTTGTGAAAAAAATGAATGTTTTAAATGGTTAATTTTAATTTCATAATTACGATTATTATTTTTTTGAATGTTTGAGATCACTTTCTTATAAAAAAATAAATTTTAAATCGAAAATAAAGAATGTAATTTTTTCTTACATCCTCTCATTTTTGAGATAATTCCATTTAAATACAAATCTAACATTTATTGTTAATAATGATCAAATGTTTAGAAGAGAATATCTCAAGAACGAAGGGTGATACAAAAAAAAATTATTCTTTCTTTTCTACTTAAAATTCATTTTTGTATGCGAATTAGTTAAAGATTTTCCCTTAATCACGGTTATTTATGAGATACAATTGATTTTGTGAAAAAAATGAATGTTTTAAATGGTTAATTTTAATTTCATAATTACGATTATTATTTTTTTGAATGTTTGAGATCACTTTTTTATAAAAAAATAAATTTAAAATCGAAAATAAAGAATAAGATTTTTTCTTATTTCCTTTCATTTTTGAGATAATCCCATTTAAATACGAATCTAACATTTATTGTTAATAATGATCAAATGTTTAGAAGAGAATATCTCAAGAACAAAGGGTGATACAAAAAAAATTTATTCTTTCTTTTCGACTTAAAATTCATTTTTGTGTCCGAATTAGTTAAAGATTTTCCCTTAATCACGGTTATTTATAAAATACGGATGATTTTGTGAAAAAAATGAATGTTTTAAATGGTTAATTTTAATTTCATAANCGATTTTTTGAATTAAACCCAAATTTAATAGGAAAGTAATTGAGATATCGCCATAAAACTACATAAAATTGGTGTCTTATTTCGCCATCAAACAGATCAGTAAGAAAATTACATCCCACAATTACAAGAATCATCAGCAATATTAGTTCGTATTGTATAAATATATTATAAGCTTCTAACTTTAATGGTTAACTCATCATGTATGAATCAAGAACACGAATCCTTAATAATAAAATATTTCTTGTATTACATAAAAGAATTTTATACACCTGACTATTTATTATGAATAATACTTGAATTTATTATTAACATAGGTTATTAATGTCGAGGTAGAAAAAGCAAACTAAAAAATATTACGAAGAAATGCATTTACGAGATATCGTCGGATCTAATATACAATAAACAAATCGTACATCTGTCGGAAAATGCACGCCGTTAAAACGAATTCGGTTTAAACTTTCCCTCACTTTTGAATTAAAACAGATACATCGCGATGAGGTCAGTACTTTTGTATATTATCTTCTCATCTTTAAGTTATTATTGTTTACCCTAAATATGGAATAGATTCTTACGGTTTATATTAAAATTAATATGATCCAAGTTGAAACTCACCTAAAAATTGATCGTTTCTTAAAATTGAAAATGAAAATATGCAAAACGGGGAACGTTTTTCTTCGTTTTCTTTCTGTCATGTCTTTTATCAATGAGAGTGTTAAGTAGGCCGGTAATAAAAGGAGATAACCCCAAGATAGTTGACACAGTACTAAAGTGTAAATCTTAGAGTGTAATTGTGTTTCTTATCTGTTAAGTTTAACTTGGGTTATCACTTTTTGCCAGTAAACTGTAACCTTCATTGTGTTACTATGTGTTATTTAAAGAGTTGTATTTTTTAATTTTCTTTTTACCTTACCCATTGAGGAGCGCGGGGTCGTTATGTTGTCTTAAATCTTCCAGATCGCTTCCATTATCGCTACTTGGCGGATCTTCAACTACCAAAGGTGCTAAATTTGGCCTGAAATAAAAAAAATAAATAAAAATTAATAAAATCAAACGAATTTTCGTCATAAATAGAATTAAATTTAAAGATTTAGAATTTTTCTGTTGAAGTTGGTTGCCAATAAAGCAAACATTCCCAGACTAAGTCTTGGAATGATTTTAAAATGCATGTTCTAAACTTCTAAAGCACCACGTGTAGAAATGTGAGAGGTCAAAAAGGATTGTTTTTCTAATTGTGTCATTAAATTTTTTATTATTTTGAAGAAGAATGATGTTTAAAGAGTGCATCGAGCAAATAATGAGAAAAGTGCATGACATTGATTTTTAGTGTTTTTACTTTCTACCTGTGGGGCATTCAGCAAATCAATTTCTTCAATTAATTCCTGAAAAATTCAAATTCAATCTTAATGTCATAATCACGATTTTTTGATTTTAATTTGGATTTTAATCGTTTTTTTTTTCAAATAAAATTCTTTTTGTTGCTAAGTGCATTAAAACTGCATGAATCCCAAAAAGTGCTTTTTAAAGCTTCTAGAACGTCGGTATTCGTCCAAACGAAAAGTACGGTGTTTATCGATCGAAGACACGGGTTCGTTTCATATTAAAACGACCAAGAACCAACTCGGGACATGTCATTTACGAATTAGCATCAATGAGGAAATATTCATGAGTACTCCTCCTTGCCAAACGTATTAATAACCCTAATTGAACGATAGATGTGACGTTATCTATGGCGATGAAAAAAAAAACTCAATTTCTCCGAATACAATTTAATCTAAACCTATATTATTATAATCCACCTGATTTTAACTCAAAAATAAAAATTAGAAACTTACCTAAATAACGAAATAGCCAATTAAAATCGATTCAACCACTAATTAAATCATAATTTGTTGGTAAACAAACACTGGTTTTGATTATTTTTTAAATATAAACAGTAATCCCGGAGATAACAATTTTTTAGATGGATTTTATGTTTAAAAAATGAGGAAGTTTATGTCGTGCCCTTCGTTGTACAACACCGAAGCTTTGGAATTGGAGCCGGTGCAAGCTCCATAGTGTACGGTTCGTGTGCTTGCGCAGCTTTTCTTGCGTTAGAACCCGCTCCATCCCAAATAGGTTCTCTTCCACAATTTAATCTATATTTTAAGTTTTGAATGCTTCTTCGCGTGTTACATTTTCATTGTCTTAGAAATACATCACGATATTACAAATAACCTTTAAAGTCACGAACATGAATAAAATTAAAATGTAAGAAAGCTTTTTTTAAACAGAACCAGGTACAAATATCACCAAAGATTTCTTTATACAGATTTATTCGTTTTTTTACAAATTATGCAATATTAAAGAAAAAGTTATTATTATTATTTCTAATTAATAATTTCATTAAAGCAATTTAATTTTTAATAGGAATCTATGAATTTTTAGAATAGGGTGAGGTAAAATTTCGCTTTTTTCCGAGAAAGCTGCAGAGTTGCGCGGTGCCGCTTGATCAATAAGCTCAAGAGCTTTCGGTGTATATACGCATACCGGGTTAAAATCCACGTACCGTTTCAGATTACATCTCCTTTTTAACACGAAATTGCTACGTTAACACGATTTTTAATTAATTTTGCGAAACTCTAAACTCAATTAACATTTCCTTTAACAACCTTACAAAAATAACACGTTTAAAAGTCATCTCAAAAACTAATAATCGTATTAAAAAAATTCTTCTTCGCAAATAGAGGCAGTTTTTTGAGAAAAGTGTCAAGGATGATGTTTAAATCTGTTAACACTAATTGTGGAAACTAAGTGGCACAGGATATCCCAATACCAACCTCTGGAACACCCTATATAGTTGATAGTGTGTTTATGAAGTTCAATTTTTTGTTGCTCATCGCGAGTTCCTCGCAAAAACGGTGTTGACAGATATCAGGGAAGATATTGAAGTTACTTAGGCAATGAAAAGAGATGTTAGGAATTATATTGAGACATATGAGAAACGATTTTGAAGCAAGTGACGATATTTCAAGATATCAGGGACAATTTTGGGTTATTAGGGACGATGATTATATAATAGGGACGATATTTACATATATGAAGTTGATAAATGATGGGGAATATGTTGAGGGTACTTAGGAAGTGCAAAGAGATGTTAGGGATTATATTGAGGCATATGAGAAGCGATTTTGAAGCAATTGACGATGTTTGAGGGTATCATGAACAATATTTGAGGTTATTAAGGACGATGATTATATAATAGGGATGATATTGAGAAACATCAGGGATAATATTTGCAGATATGAAGTTGATACATGATAGGGAAGATGTTGAGGTTGACCAGAACTATGTTAAGAGATGTTAGGGATTATATTGAGATATATTAGGGATGATGTTGAGAAACAATTAACTTAATGGTGATGATATGAAGGTATTGAGGGATTCCAAAACCGTGTTGAGGGATGTAAGGGACGATATTCGCTGATATTAGGGATATTGTTGAGTTATATCTAAGACAATCTTGATAAATGATAAGGATGATGTTAAAGAAAGTCAGGATTCGCTTGAGATATAACTGATTTTTTTATATTCTTCAATATATAAGAATATTTTTTAACCCAAAGAATTAAAAAAAAAAATCGTCGAGACTTGTTATCTTCCAAAGGATTAAATATCTTTCGATTGTTCCATCATTATCTTTCAAAAACTAATACCCGGACACCTGAACAGGATTACGTGATTTAAATGACGTTTTTTATGATATCTCGTGACTCAACATTTGTTAGTATGATTGATTACTAATAAATTTACTAGTTTAGAAATGATGAATGAATCTTGCCAAAAAAATAAAATCAATAAAAATTTCTTTTTATTTTTAAAATGAAGTCTATAAAAGTGGGTCAAGGCTCACCTCTCAGTCAAAACTGGACTCATATTAGGCGGTGAAGCAGAAATAGCTCTTCTCGCAGTTCCAAAGTTCTTCCCAACTGATCACAAACGATTCTTTTGAAACAAATCGTAACAACTAGATAAGAAGAAACTCACCCTCATTTTTCGTGTTATCAGAAGATTTTGATCTCATCAACGAAAAAGATCTCTTAAACGAGTCTCTAAACTTTTTAGCACTATTTCTTTTAGCTCTAATTGTAACTTCAACAACATCCACATCACTTTCTTCATAATTTTTTTGTATAACTTCTTTGTCATCTTCTTTAGTATTAGAAATATTTTCGTTGCCACTTGTATTTACATAGTTTTCATTTAAAAACATGATAAGAGCTTGTTTGAGTAGATACTCCGACGGTTTCGACGATACTGAGTTCATAATCAAATGTTATTGTCTCTCTTATCTTCAAATGTAATAAAACAATTTCAATTATTTATTATCGCGTGGTGGTTAGAGGAGGATTGCCTCGTGGACACTGCGTCCAACGACGACGTGGTGGTTGCGATATTCTGCAATAGAAAATCAAAAAAAAAAATTGACCAAGTTGCCAAGACGATAGGGACGACGTCCAAGACGCTGTGGCCACGACGTCATCATCGTCGCGACGTTTTCTATGTATCCTTGCTGTAAATTTAATTTTTCCAAATATAAAATCAACAAACATTCCGATTTGCGTGTGGTTGGAAAGGGGTTAAAAATAAAAATAAAAAATCATTGAGATTTTTTTTATAGTTGAAAACCATTTAACCATTTATTTATTTTATTTACCTTTTAATATATTATATATATACACATATAGTGGAAATATGTAAGAGAAAGGAATGTTAAATTAAGGAGTGAACCACGTGCCACTAATGGACCATTTTAAGTGTAGCCAAAATCGGGAAGAATTTAAAAAATAAATTAATTTTTAAAATATTTTTTTAAATACAGGATGCTTTAAAAGTTAATGTGCATCAAAATTTTTTTGATATCCTTTTCTATTCTTGAGATATACCGAATTAAATTCAAATTTGATGAAATTGTGTTTATAACAATAAATGCTTTAGAAGCGATTATCTCAAGAACGAAGGGTGATACAAAAAAAAATTATTCTTTCTTTTCGACTTAAAATTCATTTTTGTGTCCGAATTAGTTAAAGATTTTCCCTTAATCACTGTTATTTATAAGGTACGATTGATTTTGTGAAAAAAATGAATGTTTTAAATGGTTCATTTTAATTTCATAATTACGATTATTATTTTTTTGAATGTTTGAGATCACTTTCTTATAAAAAAATAAATTTAAAATCGAAAATAAAGAATGTAATTTTTTCTTATATCCTCTCATTTTTGAGATAATCCCATTTAAATACAAATCTAACATTTATTGTTAATAATGATCAAATTTTTAGAAGAGAATATCTCAAGAACGAAGGGTGATACAAAAAAAATTTATTCTTTCTTTTCGACTTAAAATTCATTTTTGTATCCGAATTAGTTAAAGATTTTCCCTTAATCACGGTTATTTATAAGGTACGATTGATTTTGTGAAAAAAATGAATGTTTTAAATGGTTCATTTTAATTTCATAATTACGATTATTATTTTTTTGAATGTTTGAGATCACTTTCTTATAAAAAAATAAATTTAAAATCGAAAATAAAGAATGTAATTTTTTCTTATATCCTCTCATTTTTGAGATAATCCCATTTAAATACAAATCTAACATTTATTGTTAATAATGATCAAATTTTTAGAAGAGAATATCTCAAGAACGAAGGGTGATACAAAAAAAATTTATTCTTTCTTTTCGACTTAAAATTCATTTTTGTATCCGAATTAGTTAAAGATTTTCCCTTAATCACGGTTATTTATAAGGTACGATTGATTTTGTGAAAAAAATGAATGTTTTAAATGGTTCATTTTAATTTCATAATTACGATTATTATTTTTTTGAATGTTTGAGATCACTTTCTTATAAAAAAATAAATTTAAAATCGAAAATAAAGAATGTAATTTTTTCTTATATCCTCTCATTTTTGAGATAATCCCATTTAAATACAAATCTAACATTTATTGTTAATAATGATCAAATTTTTAGAAGAGAATATCTCAAGAACGAAGGGTGATACAAAAAAAATTTATTCTTTCTTTTCGACTTAAAATTCATTTTTGTATCCGAATTAGTTAAAGATTTTCCCTTAATCACGGTTATTTATAAGGTACGATTGATTTTGTGAAAAAAATGAATGTTTTAAATGGTTCATTTTAATTTCATAATTACGATTATTATTTTTTTGAATGTTTGAGATCACTTTCTTATAAAAAAATAAATTTAAAATCGAAAATAAAGAATGTAATTTTTTCTTATATCCTCTCATTTTTGAGATAATCCCATTTAAATACAAATCTAACATTTATTGTTAATAATGATCAAATTTTTAGAAGAGAATATCTCAAGAACGAAGGGTGATACAAAAAAAATTTATTCTTTCTTTTCGACTTAAAATTCATTTTTGTATCCGAATTAGTTAAAGATTTTCCCTTAATCACGGTTATTTATAAGGTACGATTGATTTTGTGAAAAAAATGAATGTTTTAAATGGTTCATTTTAATTTCATAATTACGATTATTATTTTTTTGAATGTTTGAGATCACTTTCTTATAAAAAAATAAATTTAAAATCGAAAATAAAGAATGTAATTTTTTCTTATATCCTCTCATTTTTGAGATAATCCCATTTAAATACAAATCTAACATTTATTGTTAATAATGATCAAATTTTTAGAAGAGAATATCTCAAGAACGAAGGGTGATACAAAAAAAATTTATTCTTTCTTTTCGACTTAAAATTCATTTTTGTATCCGAATTAGTTAAAGATTTTCCCTTAATCACGGTTATTTATAAGGTACGATTGATTTTGTGAAAAAAATGAATGTTTTAAATGGTTCATTTTAATTTCATAATTACGATTATTATTTTTTTGAATGTTTGAGATCACTTTCTTATAAAAAAATAAATTTAAAATCGAAAATAAAGAATGTAATTTTTTCTTATATCCTCTCATTTTTGAGATAATTCCATTTAAATACGAATCTAACATTTATTGTTAATAATGATCAAATGTTTAGAAGAGAATATCTCAAGAATGAAGGGTGATACAAAAAAAATTTATTCTCCTTTTTTGATTTAGAATTAATTTTTCGTCATAATAACTCAAATACTTGTTTAATTTTATGCAAATTATCTTGAAATTAATGATTTAAAACTATCTGCTCAATATTTTTATGTTAAGTACTTTTAAAACATCCTGTATTTATTATGTAAATAACAATCTGTTTACATATTGTGCCTACTTAATTGGTACGCAGCTTATGCCTATATCACACTCTCTGAAACGAATATTTAACCCTCCAAAGTCGATCACAAAAGCAACATGTAAAATTTCTTTTGTTGCATGTTCTTTTTGTGTCACTCAAATTACAAAGAAACAGTAATTTTTTTTATAGTTTTTTCTTTAATAACTCGCAAGTTAAACTAAGCTTCTTATATATTTCTTGTTTGGTCTTACAGCTAAACACGTACATTTAATCATAATTATTTACACTCAGATCCTACTTGGTTTGTATTCTTTTTAAGTTTTTAGCAACGAGCAACGTCGGAAAGCTTACTCTAGTTAATAGATTTTTTCAGCTGATGAACATGGTGTACAGAGAAGAGAACATACATAATCCCTAAAAACTAGAGCCTCGCGCTTCGAGGAACTGATATATTTTTGGTGTTTACCTGTACCAGCTGACTCAAAATGAAAAAATAAAAACAAATCAATATAAACAACTCTTAAATCTGTTCCAAAAAAATTTCAATTCACTAAAATGGTTTTGTGAAATCTTTTTGAAAACAAACCTAAAAATTTTTAACTACATTTGGTTAAACATTAACTTTTAGATTCATTCGCGTAATTTGTGCCAATCAGCAATTTGACGTCTTGGGGAATTACAAACTTCGTTCCAATGGTGAAGAGCTGTCCCGGTACATTTTGAACCACCCAATTCTAACCTCCCAATTACCTAATTCAAAACAAAGAAAGAATTAAAATGATAATTATTTTTTAAAAACCAATTTACCTCGTTTTTAGTGACTCTATCCCAATCCAAAAGCAAGAATTCCAAGCTAACATTTTCTAATCCTTCACCCCCAGCTGGAATTTCAAAAACAAAGCTCTCGTTGAAAACCGGACATAAGGTTCGTTTTTTAACGTGAGTCTTCTTCTTTGCAATACGTAAACCGTTGTAGAGAAGATAAATTTTTACGTAAGGATCAGCAAGACCGGTTACATCCATTTTTGGGAGATTTCTCGCTTTCAAAACGACCACAGTTAATCGATTTGCGGCAGGTTGCCAGCATAAAGAAACCAAGATTTCACCTCTTCCTTGAGATCGAATCTGGAAAATATTAGAATCGCTCTAAAAATGTGAAAAAGTAAAAGATAAAAAAAACCAAATCAAAATCATAAAAAAGTTTAAATTCGCTTTATTATATTTTTCTTAATTTTTAATACACGACCCTTACGTTACTTTTATTTTAAATTAAAAGAATTATTCATTGAAATTTAACCCCTTTACTCGAAGTACTCGATGGATCAGTTCGAATCCTCGATTTGCTTACTTTTAAACTACGCGGTTGGATCTCTCTGGTTAAAGCCATCTGTTGATGTTCTATATTCGCTAAATCGATACCGTTCAAAGCGCAAAAAACTTCTCCGATTATATCATCTCGAGAGTAACGATCGAAACTCAAAACGACGAAATGAAGCGTGATGCTGGGAAGCTGATTGAAACTGATCCCGTAGAAAGTAAAATCTTCGTCGTAAACTGGATTTCTAGTCTTCCTCAAAACCCTTGTCTTCACTTTGTGCTGCTTTTCCGGTAATAATTGTAGTTTTACGTAAGGATCGCTTGAACCTACAGTTGGATCTTTAGCTGGGAGATCTCTACAACGTACAACGGATACAACCAAAGCATTTTTTTCATGTTTGTACCTAAAAAATTAATTAATAACTTTTTTTGATTAGCCTAAATTTTTTTTTACCTTAATTTAAAAACCAATTGCCCCAAATAATTAACATTATGTTGTAAATTTTTCTCATTCGTTTCAATTTCCTCTTTAGTTGGTGTAATAACGCTTATTTCCCTTTCGGTGGTATAAAAATCTTTGGGTACTTCCCCGCACGGCTCGTTAATATCGGGATGAATAATCCCGCATTCTAAGGGTCCACCGGAAGTCGACGGACTAATTCCGGGCGGGGTTTTTCCTGCGCCAGTCGGACTCGGGCTTTTCTTCAAATAATGAGTCGACCCAGCTGGACTTTTAACAGCCGTTGGTTTTCGACGGCAACGAAATGGATGCGGTTGATCGGTGTTTGCGTATTTTGCCCTTTGAAGCCTCTTTCGTCGATAGCAAAAGTAGGTGACAGCTATTAAGCTTAAAAGGAATATTGCACCTCCTAAGCATAATGCTACGATTGTTGGAGAGGAAACTGAAAAGAAAATTTTAAATTTATATTAAATTGTTGTGATAATCATATCTTAAATAGTAAAAGCAATTGCGCGTCTCCATCTGTTGGTTGTTTTCGATATTTTATATAAGTCGTGAGTAGAATTCGACTTTTTTGAAAGAACAAAAATAAGTTGAATTAATTCTAAGCGATTTTTCATATCTCCCGGATGACACAATTACTTTGGTTATTTGAAATTATTTCGTCATGATCCAACATGATTTGAGGAGACGAATTCATTCTATGTTTGCTCGTCGTATTCGAGTTAAGTAAGGAGATTACGTAAACAAGAATTGACAATATAGTGTCTTTTAAGCCACTTTGTCAAATCCTCGTTTATTAAAACAAGTATACCACAAGCATCTAACATGTAATGGACTAGCTGAGAAGATCTTTGTCTGCAAGCTGGTTGTGATCTTGATGTATAGATCTTCAACTTTCTTAAGGGAAAGTAGCTTTCTTAAATTTGCAGTGTTGTGTAAAATCGATTAAGTAATTATAAATGTTTTTTATATAAAAACTTATTTCTATCTGCTTTACTCCTTGAACTACAACATTTTTTGTGTTAAAATCGTCATATTTATCTATTTTTCCTTTTTAACCACATTAAGTTGGCAATCTTAATCGGGGAGTTAAAATTTATTGTTGAATACGATTTTAGGATTAATTACAAATGTTTTTTTATATAAAAACTTCCTTCTATCTGCTTTACTTTTTGAACTACAACATTTTTGGTGTCAAAATCGTCATATTTAGGTAATTTTTGCTTTTATCTATACTAAGTTGGCATATTTAATCGGTGGATTAAAACCAATCATTAAATATGATTTTAATATTAATTATAAATGTTTTTTTATATAAAAATTTCTTTCTATCTGTTTTTCTTTTTGAACTACAACATTTTTTGTTAAAATCGTCATATTTATGTATTTTTCCTTTTTAACCACATTAAGTTGGCAATCTTAATCGGGGAGTTAAAACTTATTGTTGAATATGATTTTAGGATTAATTACAAATATTTTTTTATATAAAAACTTACTTCTATCTGCTTTACTTTTTGAACTACAACATTTTTTGTGTCAAAATCGTCATATTTAGGTAATTTTTGCTTTTATCTATACTAAGTTGGCAAAATTGATCGGTGGATTAAAACCAATCATTAAATATGATTTTAATGTTCGTTATAAATGCTTTTTTATATAAAATTTTCTTTCTATCTGTTTTTCTTTTTGAACTACAACATTTTTTGTGTCAAAATCGTCATATTTAGGTAATTTTTGCTTTTATCTATACTAAGTTGGCAAAATTGATCGGTGAATTAAAACCAATCATTAAATATGATTTTAATGTTAATTATAAATGTTTTTTTATATAAAATTTTCTTTCTATCTGTTTTTCTTTCTGAACTACAACATTTTTTGTGTTAAAAAACATCAAATTTTGGCATTCTTGCGTTTATCTTGATTAATTTTGTCAAATTCTTGACCACAATCACCTGATTGTTGAGATTATAATCTATCAAACAATGACACATTTTCAATTCCCGATGACTCATATTAAAGAATAAAGATTTGACCTTTAATTAATTCTCTTAAATATTTATTATTTGATATCGGATATATCTTGAGATTATCTTAAAACAACGGGGTGGATTAAAAAGAACTCTAAATCAACTTGGGCATAATACATAAATTCGAAATGATGATCATAAATTTGACCTTTAAATTCTTTGATTAATTGACGACATATCGATTAATCGTATCCTTAAGAAAAATAAAAGAATTGCTTCAAAGTGATTGATTAAAGTTAAGAAGAAAATGTTTGAAATTTCTTCGAAATTAACTCTTTAAATAGTAGTTTCTAGAAAATCATTTTTGTTATTTCAACATACCCCTCTCGATGGCTTTTATTTCAGGACCGTCTTCCACCATCTCAAATTATTAAACTACACTAGATAAACCAAAAACCTGACACTCGAATAACTTTTTCGTTTCGTTTTTTTTAATTTTAAGGGAAGATGAGGGTTAACCCCTCAGGATCGCGTTTAGTTTTGGAGACAGACAGGCGTACGTTTTAAGGGGTGTTTGTTCTGAATAAGGGTGAGTTTCTACGTCGAGGACGAATCAATATTGGCAACGCGTGCGCCCCCAGGACAACGACGCCATTATTTCTAAACTCTTTATTACTCACAACTTATGTTATTAGTCATAGGGAAATTAAAATTAATATATTTCTTAGCGACATCTTACCTAATGAACCCCCTTGATTAAACACTTCTTCACATTCTTCGTCTTCTTGAATCATAACTGTATCTGGACATATTTTGATTTTATTAAATTTTTTTTGTCAATTTGACATCGACACAATAACTTTAACAGTGATTTTAAGGTATTTTTTTTATTATTAGTACGACATTGTCAAATTGCCATTTTTAAAAATAAAACTTAACTAAAAATAGATCTTTAATATTAAGTGAAATGTAACTCATTGTTTGCTCCTTGTGTGATGACGTATCTTAATTTTATTTTTTTTTAAATAAATAGTTCACCTTTTATTATTATGTTCATAGGTACAATTAAATTAAATAGCACAGAAACGTTATACCTCAAATAATAATTAATAATTTTTTATTTTATTATTATCGTTATTAATAACCGCGTGTTCTTTGGTGTTGACTCAACTTAACAGAGTGTGTAGATGTTTCAATGGGTTAATAGCCGGCCAATTCGGCGAAGGTGGAGTCCATCTCATCAGCCAAAGACTTGTATCTATCTTTATTGATACCCAATTCATCTAAAAAAAATTATAAAAATTAGAATCAATTTGAAACATTTCTTTTTAAACAGAAATGATAAATAAGGAAGAGTTAACGCCACAAAAATAATTTTAAAGCTGGGTTACCTTAAGTTTTGAAGAAGCAAAATAAAAGAAGCAGCCAAAAAAAATTAAAAACTAAAAAATAATAGGAGAACATTAAAAATTAAATATTAAACTAAAGAAATTAATTTTTTTGGTTTAATTTGGCAGCAGTGTTAGCTTTTCTATTTGTTACTACTAAGCGCAGTCATTTCAACGAATGTCTTGTCGATATCATTAAGAACTCCTTGATATTTAGCTTTTTCCTTATGTACAAAGTCTGTAAAAATTAAAGCAAAAATTAAAGCAAAAATTGAAGCATAAATTGAAGCAAAAATTAAATTGAAGCAAAAATAGGATTAAATATAAAATAAATAAGATTTACCTTCAAGCCTATCAACCTCCTTCTGCAACTTCTTCACCGTCTTTTCAGCGTATTCAGCGCGAGCTTCAGCTTCCTTTAGTTTAACGGTCAACGTCTTCAATTGCTTCTTGAATTCTTCAACTCTTTGGTTGGCTTTTTCTTCCGATACTTCCAAAGATTTCAAAGAGTTACCTACAACCTTTAACTCTTCCTCCAATTCCATGATCTTGGCATCACCGCCTTTTACACGATCCTCAGCGACTTCTAACTCATCTTCAACGAAGGCCAGCTTACGAGATACTTCATCGGATTTGTTGTCGGCATCTTCAGCGAGAAGACGGGCCTCTTTTAATTGGTTGGTGAGTTGGTCCATGCGCTCTTCATCTTGTTGGGCACGATTTTCCAATACTTTGCACATACTAATGGTAATGACAGAAAGATATGTTTAAGTTGATGAAGAAGGTGTTGAGAAAAAATGACTTACCGAGTACTTTCGTCGGCAGCTTGGGAAGCTTCGGCAAGTTTGGTTTGGGCAGTTGTTAAACGTTCTTCAGATCGCTCTAAATCTTCCTCAATAAGTTGGACTTTACGATTCAAAGCGGCGACTTCAGATTCAGCCTAAAACGTAGCATAATTAATAATGACGTTTTTGAATTAAGATGAAAATGTTTACGTTGGTGAGAGCTTTCTCTTTATCCTCAAGAAGCTTGTTGGATTGTTCGAGGTTATTCTTGGTGGTTACGAGGTCTTGCTCAACTTGAGTGAGCTTCTTTTGCAACTCGCGCACTTCTTCATTGACCTTCTCCGCCCTGGCATTGGCATCCTTGTATTGGCCTTCCATCGCGTCCGCTTTATCCGCAGCATTATCTTTTTCAAGCTTCATAGCTTGCATTTTCTTTTTGATCGCGTCCATGGTTGATGGATTTCTTTTTGCGGACTTTTAGAAAAAACCAAAAAAAGATGTGCGAACGGCTTCTAATAAAAAAAAATTAAATTGTAATCTAAGTATCAATAACAAGTTGAAATTTGAAACAAAATTTTGTAAAAGAAGTAAAATTGTATAAATGGGTCAAGTTATTTATACAGCGTGTGCTTTGCGAACACCTACACGCTCCTGGTCCTTTACGAAATTTTAGATCAGCGCTTCCCACTGGAAGAGACGGAGAGAATGCCGGGAGATCAGGCTATACTAGGAGCGGGTTATTTTTGGAACCTAGTCCACACTTGCTGCTGAGGTTGGCGCAGAAACAAACTCAATACGTTAAATAAATAACATCGATAAATTATTTCGTGATTAACTTTCACACATTCCTTTTAAAAAGTTATCGAAGATGGTTCAAAAAAAAATTAAAAGAACGTTTTCTTTTCGAAATCAAAATCCACTACAGCAACTCTTTAAATAGCCAAATTCTCTAAATTTAACTTGATTCCTCCCACATTTCGAACAAGTTCAACACAGATTTTCACTGTAAACCGTTTAGAAAAAGATCGAAGATGCAAAATGGCGCTCCATCCACTAATGGTCATGTCATTCAAGAACATGACGAAACAACATGCTTTTGTAATACAACACCGTCAAAAGAAAATCTTAATGCATCCAATTAAAACCAAATAAAATTCGTTAATTTGATTTCAAAAATGATCGTCTTCAAACACATCAATACGTAACAGTAACAGCTCATTTCTTTGAATTGCAATGTTAAAATTTGATTAAGTGTTAATAATGGGGACAAAAAATGTTCAGTTTAAATTGTTAGGTTAAAAAATGATTTTTTTTTCTTAAGGCAGCACACAGAGACAGACCTACCTGCGCCTGGAGTTGTTCAGAAGCTGCTAGATCCTGGGTCTGCGGGCGTCGCAACGCCTGAGGACGACGCCGCCTCCTCCCTACTATCCCGTCATTCCCCTACGCCCTACTCTTCATGGTACACAAATAGAATCGGACATAGTGTGTACAACAGTACCCAAAATGTATTCAAATCTGGATCATTAAATACATTGTTAATTAAGAAAGACAAAATGGTAAATCTAATTCTGGAAATAGTTAATTTTAAATGAACTTGATGTTCATCAGGCTATCTAAGTCTTGATCATTAAATTTATCATCGAAAAATGCTGGATTTGAAATTAAGGCAGAGGGAAGTAAAAAACAACGCAGAATTTTTATTCTCTGATTGTTACATTTTCTGCAATGATTGAAACTCATTCGATGTCTGTAAAGATTAATGGAGGAGATTTCCTTATCATAGTAAGAGATAATTTTCAGTATGTTTTCTGGTCCGCCTTCTCGATGATGATGATGATTCAAGAATACAGAGCTTTCTAAGAAATCCAGCTAATAATCAAATAGATTCGGTGTTGCTTTGAGCTCCTGATATGGGCTTCGAATGAGAAATATAACCTGCAGCTTGGAATTTATCCCCATTTTCATCCTCTAGAAGCTTGGGAAATGCGTTCACACTTTCCTGTGCATCTAATCCTAGTGTTTACGTTGAGAGCAGTGTTGTTAAATACCTGGGTATTTATTTTCAAAGGAAAATTCCCTGGATATATACCTGGGGTATTTACCCAAGATGGGTATTTAGAGGTATTTATAAAATTTGATTTAAATTGAGTTGATGGCAGTTTTGCTAGTACTTCAAGAATGCAGAGTCCATTATCGATACACCAAACTTATTTATAACATTTGCAAGAATGCTAAAAATTGCATGAAAGTACTGACCGAATACCCATTGGGCGTGTGATAAGACAAGGCGATATAATGTTGAACCCAAATTGTTCATCACAGTCCTGGAGAGTGCATTTAAACAACTGGATTGGACCCAAAAAGGAATAAACATTGATAGCAATACCTAAGTAATTTGCGCTACGCGGACGATATAGTCCTTATTTCTGATAGCCTTGGAGAGATGAAGCTGATGCTGAACATATACAGGGGCATGTGCAAGTGTAGGGCTCAATATCAACAAAATTCCAAAATCTTGTTCTAAGCTCTAACATTATTGCTCATTGGTGATAATGAATACTTCTATCTTGAATACTTTCGATGGTATGGCATTAATCTCTGATGCCTTTCCATGTTTTGACGCAGTGATTGCGTTTTGAACCTTAGTTGGTGTGACGGACTGCTGTCTATTTCCAAATCAGTTTCTATGCTTAATAGGTTTTGGAAATAATTTTTCCAAATGTCATTCATTTCACTATCATATATTATTTTTCCTGTTCCATCTCAGCATAGAGCTGTGTGCGCTTTGTTCCTTTGTCTTAACTGTCTAACAAATTTATACACATTCCTGGTGTTATTAGCTTTAAAGTGTACATATATTTCGGGAAAGTTTCTTTAAAAGATTTCTTTACTGCTTGAAAAACAACTTTGAATGTCCTGAATTGAGTATAAGTCTAACATTAATAACTAAATTCAGTTTTTGTGCTTCATTAATTCTTGTTGTTTGATTCTTTTCTAGTCATATAGCACTTAAATCAAATCCAAGATCCATGAGATTGTTGATTTCCATTTGAAAATTAAGTAGTTCGTTTAAGATCTTATTATTCTTCTTCTTTTATTCAGGTTGTAACCTGTTTTTTACGCGTGTTTCATTAGAGCTGGAATTTTTCTCTTGTTGTCTTAATCAGCCAGATTTCTTCCATTCTTTGGAAGTATTCATTAATTTCTTTTATTTTTCCCCTAGCAAATATCATGACATCTCCGATTCCACAAAATTCTCTTACAATTTTGTTTCTAACTCTATCTCTTCTTGTCTTTTCCACTATTGCTCTTAAAGTACTCATCTCAGTTGGTTCGCATCGCAGCCATATATCTTGGCCATGAGGTTCGTGTATCAAGAGATAATAATCAAATGAGCGAACTAAACAGAACGATGATACTCGCATGGGCAGCCTACAGGAAACATGGAGACATCTTTATGAGCGATATTCCTGTATATTTGAAAAGAAAAGCAATGCTTGCTTCCTCCTTTGGTTATGACATATGGTTCCGAAACTTTAACATTAACGGTGGCTATTACCAGGAGGCTCAAAGTAACGTATAGAAAGATGAAGAGGTCGATGCTGGGTGCAACCCTGAGGGACCACATACGAAATGAAGACCTACGAAGAAGAACTGGCGTAAATGATGCGGTCAACATTGTGGCAAAGCTCAAGTGGAACGGGGCGGATCATCGTCGCCAGAATGAAGAATGAGCAGTGGTTACCTGATTATAATACGTCGTCGATCGTTGACAATTCCTCGTCTCCAACGCCCATTTCATCATTCCTACAAAAAAACTTGATAAAATCGCTTTTGAATCGTCTCTATGAACATTAGAGTTAATTACTAAGTGTAATATACTGTAAGATATAGTTCAAATTCTTTTTGCATACTGTACTATACAAAAAAGATTTCTTATTTGACATCATATTTTGCACAAATGATTAATTAAATAAAATTCGTAACCGATTTCAAGGAATTAGTGTCATCTTCAGGAGCAACAATTAAAAAAAGTCATCGTTATATAAATACGAATTAAATTAAATTTCTTTAAAATTATCTAATCACCCCAATTTCAACGGTACTTGATTACACATGCGTTACACATAACCTTCATTGAATGTTAACGTTACCACACTCATTTTCCTTTTATGGAATCAAAGAAACGTTCTGGCTAAAACAATTTGAAATATCCAAAGGATTCGCGACGTTACAGCTCGGAATTTATGTCCAATTCCTTTTTGGTGGCGATTTGAACTGTGAGAAAAATTTCGGGGATGATCGCGCTAAAAATGCGTGAGTTAAAAGGGAATTTGTTATCATGTTGCGTTGGTGTTTGGTTATTCTTGATATCGGTTAGTAGGTCGGATCTGTCCATAACGAACCGCGACGGTAGTTCAATGTTAACTTTCGCTTTTTGCGAAATCAATTCATCTCAAGACTTAGTACTTAATGCGCAATGTAATATAATTAAAAGATAAATAAGAAATTTTTTTAAAAATGTATTTGGTATTCAGTGCGCCGAATTCTCATCGATGTTCTTGTAACCTGTTCCACAAAAACCAAAAGACCGTACGTGATCGCACTCTTCAAATATGTGGTCGAGCCAATAACCCACAAGTTATTTATTTCCAGTTACTGGATTCTTTCTTTATTTTGATCTTTTTAAGGTTGAAATCTTTAGTTATGACTTAAGAAATTGTTTTTTAAAGTAATAATTTTGTGGGTTAACTCATTAAAAGAAGAAAACATTTTGAGGAACTCGCGATCTTAAGCTCTCTGCTTTTAGGTGGTTATTCTTGGCGGATCGTGAGAGTTTTGGTGGGGCATACCCAGGAATGGACTGCTCTGCGTAAGCTGATAGCTTACCTAGTGTTCAGTCGCCCTAAAACCGCAGTGGTAAGCGCGTTTCTTTGGTAAGTTGCTCCTTGAAAAACTATCTTAAAGATACTAACAAAAAATAGTTTACAAAACTATAACAATTTATCTCAAACTATATACATTTAAATATTTAACCAATTCGATGCAACTAGATACATTTTTTTTGTTGAAAATGTTACACATGATTAACAAATTTAAATATCCATTGAAAACATTTATAATACATAGTTCATGACCTTTACCTACTTATCCTCAAACGAGTCATCACTCAAAAATTTACGTATTCAGTTACAAAAATTTTTTTAATGACGCATTTCAAAAAGATACGATGTTTCATGAATCACTAAACCTACTTTTTGTGTACCAAAGAATGTTAATGGATTCTTTTAACACTTTGCAGTTCTTTGTTACATCGCAAAAAGGCCCAAACAGCAATAACAATGGACGCGATTAAGAAGAAAATGCAAGCTATGAAGCTTGAAAAGGACAATGCTTTAGATAGGGCGAAACATATGGAGCAATTGGCTAAAGATGCCAATCTCCGTGCAGAAAAGGTTTGGAGATGAACACTTTTTTAAATTATTTTTATTAATGAATAATAATGTGATGATAGGCTGAAGAAGAAGCGCGTTCCCTGCAGAAGAAGATCCAAACCATCGAAAATGATCTCGATCAAACTCAAGAACAGCTTGGGCAAGTCAACACCAAACTTGAAGATAAAGAAAAGGCTCTCCAAAACGTAAGTTTTCCAAAATAACATTACGATTTATTTCCTGGGATCGGTGATGTAACGCGCCTGGAACTCCGAAACCACACTATGAGTATTTTTAGATTACTCGCGGACCGCCGCGTTGCCAAATATGGCGACGCTTAAGGCGTCGTGACGCCTTGGGTCATATTGCAAAATTAATTTTCAAAATAAACCTTAAAATTAATATCAAAATCAAAATTAAAAAAAAATTTCATTTAAAATTTTGTTAAATTGGTTGCCTACCGTTTAAAAAAAAACTTCCGGGAGTTGCTACGCAACGGCAGCGCAACGAACGGAGGCGGTTCAGTAGTGCAAGAACCGTCCACCGGTGAACAGCGCCAAAATGGCAGCGATGACCGATACAGAAATAAAACAACCAGTTTGAAAATGTCCCAAAGGGTAGGGTCAGGGTCTACGAGGAAGAGGGGGCACCAACACCACCCTAGAAATCACGGTAACCGTAAAAAATTGACCCTGGATCCCGTGACGCCCTCGAAAATATCAGAAAACACACATAACCTAGAAACCGAACCAACAACTGTCAAAGTGACAGATACGTCTGTGATTCAAAGTGCCTCCGAACGTGATAATATAATAGATCTAACTAATTGCGAAGACGATGATATTAAAATACGAAAGGGTGGTAATCGTAATAAATCCGAGCCAAAAATTGTTAACGAAATTTTGGATGACGAATCAACCGATATGTCTTTGGTTTTTCGTCCGGCTGCTGAAGGATCGAGTCAAAGTGACCAAGAATCCGAAGATCCAGAACTTGAAGAATTATCCAGGCTACGTTGTACCTCAGAACGAGCTGAAGTAGTCGCTGAAAGAGAAGCAAGAAAAATCCGAAGAAGATGTGCAGATTATCCAGGGTTGGCCTTCGGGAGTTCCATCTTTAGTTCCGATACTCTCATGAAGTTCTCCATCATCAGGAATGAACTCCACAATATTATGAATACACAACTGAAACGGGTACGTTTAGATGTCGAGGCAAAAATAGATTGTGTACACGGGAGGTCCTATTTATAGAAACAAGCCCAAAAAAACATTATTGAAAGACCTCGAAACACACCACACGCTTTAATAACCTTCTGGGTCAATTAAAAACAACACACTTTTAACAATGAGATCTGTTCATTAAGATCAATCTAATTAAAAAAATGGAGTTAGAAAGTTATGGGAATTAAAAATTATCTCTTCGATAAAGTCTCGAATTTTCAATTATAGTGTATATAAATTGATATAAATAAATTATATATGAATAAATGGAAAGAATTCAATTGTCAATAGATATGGGTGACTTCCTTTATTAAATTATGGCACGCGTCTTAATAAAAATCAATTCGGTCTGAATCACTTTAACTTATAAAAAGGGACGGGCATCTTTTTAAAATCCTCTCGAGTTTTACCGCCATATGGTGTTCGACCCCGAATTGTAATCTCTATAAAAACCAGAATACCATATTTGGTTGTTGGATGGCCTTCAAAGTGCCAATAATAAACAAGCTTACACCTTATCTTTACTTGAGTAACCACGAATAATATGCATTAATTACACAATACTTTTTAAAAGAATTTTTTTAAATAAATGTTACATAAAAGTCATTACATAAAAAACAAAAATCATTTCTTAATACAAATTTTTTTGAGTATCCAATATCTTTTTTTATCTCAATTTTGTCATTTTTGACAATTAACGTCATTTTTTCAAGGATCTCACTATGTAATATAAAATAATTATGATTGAAATGAGTGAAGTCATGAAAAATTGTTTATGTAATTGTGCTAAACTGAATGTGATGGTTGGTATGACATTTTTTGGTAAGTTAAGGCAACAAGGTATTCTATTTGATATGAGTTAGAACCAGCAAAGTCCCTAAAAGTAAGGAATATCTCAGAAAGATTGTTGTTTTGTGATAATTTTTTCCTCAACCCAACTTCTTCTTTCTCCACTCAAGGCTTAAAGCCTGTTCTTCGTTAATGATGCCTCAATTTTGTGTTTATTTTCTTGGTTTCGTTTACTTAGCGGCGATTTATCCCTAGTCTATCTTGTCCCATTCTTTCTATGTGTGCATTCCATTCTTTTTTCCGTTTATGTGTCCAGTTCTTAATATTTTCCACTCCACTTAATGTTCTTATGTCTGCGCTTCTTTCTCTATCATATAGAGTTTTACCGGTGATTCTGCGAAGTATCTTCATTTCTGCTGTTTTCAATATCCCTTTTCTTTTAGACATGTCGTCAAGTCTAGTCTCAATCGTGTAGGTCTTATGGTGATCGTTTTGAATCCACGAGATGAATATCTCAATCCAACATCCAACATAACTGATTATTGTTGAGGTTAGGTTGAGATCCGTTTATTCCGAAATGAGTTTATTCTGTATGAAACTTCGTCTTAATCTGAAAAAGGATAAGATTATCTCAATCTTCATTACCAATTTCACCTCGATTTCTTGTTATTAATAAAAGAATCTCTTTTTGTATTTTAAGTCTCCTAGGCATAAAATAGTTAATACTTTCTATGGTATATTCTAAAAGTGCCATGATTATTTCCTATTATTCCGGGAGGATATACATATTTACTTTACCTCATTATCTTATAATAACAGATAAAATCTAAAATATTATTTGAATTCGTAGAATTGTAACAAATATTTTATGATTCACGTTTTATTATAAATATAACAAAAATAATTTTCAATGTAATACCTAATTCTCAAAAAAAACGAATTAATTAGATCATCGATTTAATCGAAACATAAAATTGACAGTTTTGACAGTTGAAACGTCATTTTCTTTGATGTGAAGTTAGATGCGATATTGATTTGGAAATATCTTTAATTTTAAGTTTATTGTAGATAAATTTTTTGTTTTTCTCGAATTAGTTTTGAAAAAAATTTCAAATCGCCGCCAATTTTGAAATGAACCACTTTGCAACTAATACGCCCTCTCTTTGACGTGTCTCGTATTCGGCGCAAGCGCACACTCAGCCATTTTGTCGTTCTCGAGCCGACACCGGCTCGCCCAGTTGAACGTTTGTCGCGTATACGGAATATCCGCATTTTGTAGCCACAAGTTGTTCGTCACAGTGCCAGGTGTTAACCGAGTCTGTGTTTCTAAATTAATTAATTAAAAATTTCCACGATGACGACGACCATACCCCAAGGTACGTTCCTCGACGTTCTCAAAAAGAAGATGAGACAGGCAAAGGAGGAAATGGAACGGTACAAGGACGAATGTGAGGAATACAACAAACGACTTCAGGGCGAGATCATGCGACGTGAAGAAGTAAGAGCGAAATAACAAAAAATAATATATATTACATTATAGGCGTTATCTCGGTTTCTTTTATCTTTTTTCCGAGAGATGATCTCGAAAGATCTTGAAATCCCTCTCCTGATAAAGTACTTTTCAAGTTGATGTGTTTTTTACACATTTTTTGGTATTGCTGTTTTCGGATTGATCGATTTCTTTAGGGGGAAAAGTTGGATGACGTAAAATTCCGTAACGGTCCTGTAAAAATTAAGACTGGACGCGAGAACGTAACTGTTTATTACGATATATACGACACATGCTTTTTTCTTCCTTTTTTAACTTGGTTTTTATTTTTTAATTGACAGGAAAAGTTGGTTATATTTGGGTTTTTCGTTTTTAGGGTGGGTCTCGTTCTTGTTGTGGTAGTACTGTTTGAATAATCTTATGAATCATGTCGATAATCGCGCCTAAGTCCAACTGATATATTCGTAAGAATTTGACCCCACAAACGTTGCGTAATTCACAATTTATTATAAACAAGACTTATCTTTTTTTATGGTGTAACGAACTCAATCAGTACAAATAAAAAACGTTACCTTATAAGGTTATTTCAAAATGCTTAACCTATAAAAAATAAACTGTTTATTATTGATTTTTTTTAGTAATTTCAAGATAAACTTGGATTTATATTCAAAATTTATTCTAAAAGATCTCTAATTTGAAAAATTTTTGCAACATTTCTGCGTGGTATAACGATTATCAAGAATTTATCGGAATATTTAGTTCTATTTCAAATTAACTCGACGATTAACGTTAACAAGATAAATATTTATAATAACCAAGAAGTAACCTGTTGCTATATCCGATTAAAAAGCAAATTCGCTCAATTAACAAGTTGATGAAGGTTCAATTCCATGATCACTTTAGTATGTACATAATTTATATCATATACAAATGTACCTATATGTAATTGTGGTTTTCAATCTGCCGCCTGTCGCGAAATTGTACCTTAATTTAATGAATTAAGTTCTATTAACATTGGTAAGTTTATAGAAATGTAATCTGTTAACATCAACGGATATTTTTTACCTTAATTTTATCTTAATCGAGCTTTAATCGACGATTAACGTGATGTTAATCAAAATGTGAATCAAATTCGCTCAATCAACGGTTTTATAATCTTTAATTAATTTAATAAATGTTAAAAATGCGTTAATTGAACAGTAATCTTTAGGTAACGTTCTGTTAATTTTACGGAATAATTAACGGAATATTAATTAACACTAATAACACAAACAGAACATTTTTTACTTTAATTTTTTTCTTAATCGAGGTTTAATCGGCTGTTTATATAACATAATGTTAATCAAACTTTAATCGATAGATAGATTTTTTTTGGTAATTTCAAGATAAACTTGGATTTCTATTCAAAATTTATTCTAAAAGATCTCTAATTTGAAAAAATTCTGCAACATTTCTGCGTGGTATGACGATTATCAAGGATTTATCGGAATATTTAGTTCTACTTCAAATTAACTCGACGATTAACGTTAACAAGATAAATATTTATAATAACCAAGAGGTAACCTGTTGCTATATCCGATTAAAAAGCAAATTCGCTCAATTAACAAGTTGATGAAGGTTCAATTCCATGATCACTTTAGTATGTACATAATTTATATCATATACAAATGTACCTATATGTAATTGTGGTTTTCAATCTGCCGCCTGTCGCGAAATTGTACCTTAATTTAATGAATTACGTTCTATTAACATTGGTAAGTTTATAGAAATGTAATCTGTTAATATCAACGTATATTTTTTACCTTAATTTTATCTTAATCGAGCTTTAATCGACGATTAACAGAATGTTAACCAAATGTGAATCAATTTCACTCACTCAACGGTTTTATAATCCTTAATTAATTTAATAAATGTTAAAAATACGTTAATCGAACAGTAATCATTCTGTAACGTTCTGTTAATTTTACGGAATAATTAACGGAATATTAATTAACACTAATAACACAAACAGAACATTTTTTACTTTAATTTTTTTCTTAATCGAGGTTTAATCGGCTGTTTATATCACATAATGTTAATCAAACGTTAATCGATAGATAGATTCGCTTTAACTTAGACACGGTTTTATAAATGAAACAGCTTTAATTTGTTAAATTTAAAGAAAACGTTTTAAAAATTTCTTTTCGATTGGCGCTTAAATTAAAATGCAAGACAACATTCCTTCGATACCTTAAATGTACAAAGAAAGAAATCGAGAGTGAAAAGGCACGTCTCTTAAACCTTGTTTAGACACCAAGAGAAACTTTACCAACACCACCCGATGAATAATTTATTAAATAACTTGAAACGAACCGATTGTCGTTAAAAAGAAATTATATTTATAAAACAAATAAGGGCTTTCGTTTTTTTTCAATGACGCACGTTTTAATTACAACAATGCTGTTTATTTAATTCATTATTAAAGGAAGTGTGGTTTTGTGGGTTTCCGTTTTCGTTTATTCTAAATTTTTTTTAAATCAAAATGTTTTAACTAGTTTTTGTTAAAAATATAGTGTAGATTCAATGTTTACCCAGAAAACGATAAGAATCGTAGATTAAAAACGTTTGAAGATTAGACATAAATATGATAGACATATGAATCATTTAGTAATTTTCCTTATTTGTTTATTTCTAGGCTGAATCTGAAGTTGCAGCTTTGAACCGTCGTATTCAGTTGCTCGAAGAAGATTTGGAACGTTCCGAAGAACGTTTGGCAACTGCTACAGCTAAATTAGCCGAAGCTTCCCAGGCAGCTGATGAAAGCGAACGGTTTGTAATCAAAGAAAAAATATTGAACATTGTTTTATATGGTTTTTTAATGACTTCTAAAGATTGGAATTTATTAAAAAAATGTTTTAACTTTTTATTTGTTATTGTCCAATCTTTAAATTTATTTTTAATTATTTCTTTTTTTTTATCGACGAATACTTTACGATTGAGTGGTCACCTGCCTGAAATATCAACTCTTTTCCGTTTCTCGTTCACCAATCGGTCGTATTTGGTTTTAGGTTTCATTGCGTAACCCATAAAAAAACCTTGATTCGCACGATTTTTTTTTTTTTCAATACAAATTCAATTTTTTGATGCCTATACATATATTTATTTTCCTACTTTATATTTGTTTATATAAAAGTATGTATTTTAGGTTGCGATAAATAACGTTACCCATTACTTATAAAAGCAACGAAATTTGTTGATAGTTTTATTAGGGAGTACTGAAACATTTGTGATGTTTTGTCAATATTAGCGTTCTGTTAATGTTTTGATAAGTTCTGATTTAGTGTTGCAAAATAATATGACGTAAAGGTTACTTACAACCAAGACGCTACAACATAGATACACCAGAGTACTTGATGAATGAGGGGAAGATAAGCCGAGGTCGCTTGCGGCCGAGGTTGTATAACTAAGACATTATATGCTGACGCAACACAGATTTCTCTTTGATGAGTGAGACATTAGCCGAGGTCGCTTGCGGCCGAGTTTTCGAAGTTTTCTTTTAATGGTCAAGAATAATACTGCTTGAGCTGGCTTTCGGCCGAAGTACTGCAATTGAGACCTCCTATACGCAGTCTTGGCAACAATTTCTCAGCAGTTTCTAATTAATAATACATTTTTAACTATTGATCGCCTTATTACTTATCTGAATTACATAAAATATAGCGCCATCTATTGAAATCTATTTTTATTAAAACATCTTAATTCACCCAAACATTACATCAAAATTAATAGGGATAATAAATAATTTATTCACAGGGTAAAATAATAAATTAGGTTCCGTATTTTAAACCGGAAATAATTCGTTTTTCAATATATTTCCTTTTAAATAGTTTAAATTCAATTGGACATACTCCAATACACCGTGACTTAATTACTATCGTAGTAAGGGTGTGTAAAAAACCTATTCATTCACCGTTTTCTGTTATTTACGTACATACCACTTACGGCCTGTTCACAAAGCTGTTATGCGTATTGGTCAACGACCGGATTTAATTTACTCAGCCAGGTATGTAACCGGTTGTGAACGAACTCGGTAGCACATCCATTTTAACCAAATTTACTCAACCTTTGTAATGTTTATTTGATAAACGCCCCCGAACGAAAAGTAAAACCAAAATTTATTTTAAAAAATCACCGGAAATTTATACTTGGAGATAATTCGATGTGGGGGTTTAAGTTTTAACGAAATAACACTGATTTATGAGGGTGATGCGTGAACCCAGATGAGTTTAAATTTGGAGATGGATAGGCGTCTGTTAAATTAGAATTGAGGCGGATATGTGTAGGCAGGTGGCCCCGCAATTTTCAGTTTAAAAATAAACTTAAAATGATTCAAAAATATTTAAATCGATTAAAAAATCGTCATTCAGGATACGTAAAGCCCTTGAGAACAGGACCAATATGGAAGATGATCGTGTGGCGATATTGGAAAGTCAATTGGCGCAGGCGAAAGTGATCGCCGAGGAAGCTGACAAAAAATATGAAGAGGTACTCTTCAATTTCCAAATTGAAACAAATTTTAATCAAAAACAAATTTGATTATTAATTTATTAAGTTAAAGGTTAGGAGGTGGAATATTTATTTTTTCTTTTCATTACAATTATTTTTTAATTTTTTAATAACTTAATAAATATTCCATCATCATTAGGGAATTTAGGATGTTTTATTTTCTTTTTATTTAGTTCTTTAGATCCATCTCCAAATGGTCCCAAGATGAATCGTCACTAAATTAAGAATTATTTGTAACCCGAATAGCATATAAATTTTTGTACTATTTCCTTTAGCGCCCGTAAGATTCTTGAGAATCGTTCCTTGGCCGATGAGGAGCGTATGGATGCTCTTGAGAATCAGCTGAAGGAGGCGAGGTTCTTGGCTGAGGAAGCCGACAAAAAATACGATGAGGTGCCCCTGAAAACTTAGCATTTTTAAGTGTGTTGTGTCACTAACTCCAAAATCGGGCTACTTCTTTAGTGATGCGCTGAGGCGAGACGTAGACAAGCATTTTTTTTTTAATTTTTTTAAATTAAAAAAAATTAATAGGCCGCGAGCTCCTCTTTTATTCTAAAATCAGAAACACCATGGAACTGAAAGAGAGAAACCGAGTTGATTTTCAAAAAGCGCAGTGAGATTTAGTGATGAATTTAGTGACAGTGAGATGCTATTTTTTTCTTAATAAAATGATGAGGGGGGTTATTGATGAGTGCTTCTTTTGTGATTAGTGCCTTATAAAATCGAGAAGTGATGAAAAAAATTATTATTGAAAAAAAAAAAAGATAAATTATTTAAATATTATAGTTAAAGTGGTTACTTTTGATGTGTTTTTTAAGTTTGTAGAATCAATTTACGTTAGAAAAAGTATTTTTTTGGGTTTATTTTTTTTAAGAAGAAAATGATAGACAAAAGTTTTGTTAAAACGACATAAAAATGATTGAGATTTCTTCTCTAAGTGATATCATCATGGTCAAAAAATGCTCGAGGCTACGTTTATTGAGAGTACGTTCCATGGTGCTCAAAATAAGATATAAGAAAAATATAAAATAAATTGCATGTTATTTATTTTTCTTATACATTACTATTTAATGATTTTAAGGTGTTGGCCCATTGTTAAGTGATCCAATTGATTTTGAAAAGTTAGCTGATTTTTAATAACCGTATTAATTTACTTATACATACTGGTCATTATCAGAAATTAATTATTTTGATGTCAAAAAATTACCTAACGGAGTGACATCATAGTAATTGGGTTCTAAAAAATTAAAATATACCATTACTTTTATACTCGCACAAAATACACCTTTACTTTAAGCCCAAACACGATGTATTTATCTCAAAAAGTTCTTAAAATGTCATTTTTGAAAGACACCATCTTAAATTCTCTTAAAAGTCATCATATCCTGAATGAGTTACATCTATAATTATAAACGAAATCAATATATTCTTATATTTTCGTGTTCTAGAGAAAAATCTTTTTAATTTGAGCCTAAACTTAAATAATATGATATTTAAGTCATGTGACATATCAAATTACAGGGTTTTTGATGATGATTTTCAATATTTTTCGGCTTCAATATGATATGCTTAAAACTGCATTTATTAAGAAAATAAATTGCATGTTATTTATTTATTATTTTCTTAACCACTGGCTAATGCATATTTAATCGTTTAAGAATCAATCACTTCTATTTTAATGTTTTATGGTTTAAATATGCATAATCCACAATAATTTACAGGTGTATCTCAGAAAAAAATATCTTTCAGTGTCATTTTTTTCACAGTGTAACTAACACTCTGATAGTTTATAATTTAATTAACACAAACAACATGCAAACATTTCATCTAAAAGGAGATACCTAATATTAATCTTAAAATAAAAAATTTTTGTGATGTTTTCGTGTTGTTTTTGGTTTTTTAGATTTTATCTTAACTATTATCTTAATTAACAAATTGTTTTTTTAGATATTGTTGTTTTTTCTTTACTATTAATAATTTAATCTGCCATTATTAAGATGCAACTCTTTCATCACAACACAAAGATTTATTTGTATTTATACCATATACAGGTGGCCCGTAAGTTGGCAATGGTTGAAGCTGATTTGGAGAGAGCTGAGGAGCGCGCTGAAGCCGGAGAATCGTACGTTTATCCGATTAAAATTTGTTTAGGCAGTGGCATGTAGAGTGTGCATTGTGTTCTCTCAAAGTGGACTAACACAACAATTTTTACAACTTTAATTATAATATATTTTACAAGATGAATAGATGGCGAACGCATTATTAACTTTTTATTTTGCTGTTTATGATCTTTTACAGGCATTCACGTGTTTCGAATTTAGATAGCTTAGTTTTTTTAATCCATTTCTTATTCAAATAATATCTTGGAAACAGTAATTATTATTATTTCATGTAAAATCAAGATATTATTTGGATTTTTTTTTAATACATCAATATTTTGATTTATATTTTGAATGGTTCACATAAAACTTAATTTTTTTGCAACAAAAGCTTTTGAGTGTGCATGTGTTTGTATAGGTTGCCCGAAAGTTGGTAATCATGGAAATAGACTTAGAACGGGCCGAGGAAAGGGCCGATAACAGCGACAGGTAGGGTGCTTTTCTCACACCAAAACAAAGCGGGGTTTGGTTATGGTTATTGGAGCTGAATCGGGTTTTTTTCTAATTTTAACGTCGATAAGATAAGTTATCTCACTATGTTATTTTTGCCATTGGGGATAATAAAGAGAATAATTACAAAATAAAAACTCCAATAACCACTCACCGACTTTAATTAATTAAACTGCTTCTTTTGCTTCTTGGAAAAACAAATTTTAACTAAAATTACATATTTTAAAAACTCATATCATTTTTTAATCAGTTATTAAAATAAAAATTGATGTGAGTTTTTAATTTTCTTTGTAATACTCTAAATATTGATTGAATTTTACAGCAAAATCGTAGAATTGGAGGAAGAACTCCGCGTCGTTGGTAACAACTTGAAATCCCTTGAAGTTTCTGAGGAAAAGGTATGATTCTTTATTATTTTTAAATATCTAAACGTTCCAATTTTTATTATAACCTATTTAATTTACCAACAAAATAATTTAGGCCAACCAACGTGAAGAAGAATACAAAAACCAAATCAAGAACCTCACCACTCGCCTAAAAGAGGTAGAGTGCGAGCAAATCGAAAAAAAAAAGCGTTTTTCTGTGTGCCGCCTTTTAATATCAATGTATTGATTGCATCTCGTATTTTTTACAGCTCCTAATGTTTATCTTTTATAACCCCTCCTTGCTCGTATGTTTTTTTTTGAATTTTTTTGATATAGACTAACTGTGTTAACTGCAGGCTACCCTCAGAGAGGAGGAATACACGTCAACGTTGAAGACACTCGATTGCCAATTCAAAGAGGTAACTGTAATCTGGAAGTCAACAAAAAGTTTGCAATCTCTTCTCTGTTTGTTATCTTTTTTAATACCTTTCTCGGTTAGGTTTTTTCTGATATAAATTAGATGGTATGGAGTGTCCTTGAATGATGATGTCCTGGATAATTTTTGTGCACACTTAAAAAAAACCTTTGGAGGTCTCTTCTTATCTTTGTTTTTTAATTTGTTATTAATTTTAATAATTTTGTTAAAAAGCATGTTATTCTCTAGTCGTTTATTATATTGTACGCAGGCTGCTGCAACCAGAGATTCTTGCGAGGACAAAATTCACGTCATCACTGATAAATTACGTGAAGTAAGTTGAGATTATGATGACGGGAAATTTACTTATTTATTTAAATTTATAAAATCACTTCAGCAGCTTTTCAAAAAAGAATCTTTTCTTATTAATTAAAACAATTTATTTTTGAATGGTGGTGGGTGCAAATTTTAAATTCACTTTTTTTAAATTCTTTTTTATAAGTGAGAGTGAATGTACGAATGATTTTGTTATAATAATTCTTTCACGTGTAGCTTTTCTTTATTATTAGTCCCTCACATTCACACGGGTGATTAAAAAACCTTTCACTACTTTTTAAATTGAGTAAGTACACGTTATTTTGTGGCGTGTGTGTAGAGCAATTTGAGCAAAAACGCTTTCGCTTTAATTAAACAAATGTGTGAAGCTTTATTTAATAGCGTGAATTATTAATGATGTTATATTTCAATGAAATTTTTGTTTTATTGATTTTTAAGAATTACCTAAAAATTTTTTGAAATCGATGTTTTAATATTAAAAATTATCTTTGATAAAGACTGAACCAGAAGGAAAAGCTTCTGCCCTTTGTTGGACATTCCAATTTTGACATAACGAGTTCTGTGATGATGGTAAAAGTATACCGAAACGTGTAAAAATGAAAATGTAGAACATTTTAACCTAACTGAATAGGCAGAGTTTGCTTCATCATTAAAGTTTGATTCCAAGCACCTAAATGGTGTTCAAAATCGCCGCTTTGAACTATTAGAAAGTTGAAAACAGCTCTATCTTTGCTTGCTGAGTTATGTTATTAGAAGTAGCTTTCCAAGACAACCCCAAGTTATTTATTATGCCAATACATTTTTGCTACTGAGGTTGATAGTAAATTCAACCCACATCTTAGAATGGATCTATTCCAATTTTTGGAATTTCACATCTCTCTTCAGGGAACTCTACCAAAATTAGCCAGTTTAAGAATTCCTCAACGCAATCTTTCACGATTATATATGATGAGCTATTCTCCATGCTTCAAAGCTATCATAATCGAGCCAGGTTTTCTCTTGTTAACAACCTAGCAGAATAGGTAGAGTGTGCTTCATCATTAAAGGATTTTGCCGAGCACCTAAATCATGATTAGTGCTTTCCAGCATTAAATAACTGGAAATAGAGGTCACCATTAGAAAATTGCCACTCTGAAGTATTATAAAGTTGAAACCTAAGTTATTCTTTATGCCAATACATTTTTACTACTTAGGTTGATGGTAAACCCAACCCTCTTCTTATCATGGATCTCTGCCAAAATTTTAAGTTAAACAATTCCTCAACTCACGATTTTGAAATTCCTCAACTCACGATTCCTCAACTCACGATTCCTCAACAACGATTCCTCAACACGATTCCTCAACAACGATTCCTCAACACGATTCCTCAACAATTCCTCAACTCACGATTTTTGAAATCGATTTTTAAATATAATAAATTATCTTTGATAAAGACTGAACCAGAAGGAAAAGCTTCTGCCCTTTGTTGGACATTCCAATTTTGTCATGACGAGTTGATGATGATGGTAAAAGTATACCGAAGCGTGTAAAAATGAAAATGTAGAACATTTTATTTTAAAATTCGATGTAATAATGATTCCAAACGTGGAAATGTATCCCTTGTCAATAACCTAACTGAATAGACAGAGTTTGCTTCATCATTAAAGGTTGATTCCAAGCACCTAAATGGTGTTCAAAATCGCAGCTCTGAACTATTAGAAAGTTGAAAACAGCTCTATCTTTGCTTGCTGAGTTATGTTATTAGAAGTAGCTTTCCAAGACAAACCCAAGTTATTTATTATGCCAATAAATTTTTGCTACTGAGGTTGATAGCAAACTCAACCCACATCTTAGAATGGATCTATTCCAATTTTTGGAATTTCACATCTCTCTTCAGGGAACTCCACCAAAATTAGCCAGTTTAAGGATTCCTAGCTATTCTCCATGGTTCAAAGCTGTCATAATCGAGCCAGGTTTTCCCTTGTTAACAACCTAACAGAATAGACAGAGTGTGCTTCATCATTAAAGGATTTTGCCGAGCACCTAAATCATGCTTAGTGCTTTCCAGCATTAAATAACTGGAAATAGAGGTCACCATTACAAAATTGCCACTCTAAAGTATTAGAAAGTTGAAACCTAAGTTATTCTTTATGCCAATACATTTTTACTACTTAGGTTGATGGTAAACCCAACCCACTTCTTATCATGGATCTCTGCCAAAATTTTAAGTTAAACAATTCCTCAACTCACGATTTTTTATGATTGTATATAATGAGCTGGCCTCCATATCTCAAAATCATACACGAGTCAAGGTTTCCCTTGCTAATATCTTAACAAAATAGGCAGATTCCTTATCTTCTCTTGGAAGTGTAACTTTTTTTTTAATGTTCCCACATCCAGCAACTTTACATAACATATCTGAAGGGTTATATTGATTAATTGCGAATTATGAAGAAAAATTGATTGAATCGATTTCAAAAATACTTAATTTCATCGAGTTTTCATTGAAATATAATTCTTATTAACAAATAAAAAAATGTATATACTTAATTTTTAAACTAATTAAAATTTGTATTTTAAAATATAGGCTGAAGCCCGTGCTGAGTTCGCTGAACGTTCGGTTCAAAAACTCCAAAAGGAAGTCGACAGACTAGAAGGTAAAAATGAAAGTTTTTGTTTTCAAAAAGATTAAAAAAAGTTTATATAAATAATAACTTTAATTAATGCTAGTTTTTTTTTGTGACTGTGTTTTTTTAATTTCGATTTTTTGTTGTTTGCATAACAAATTAACACCGTTACAGATGAATTGTTGGCGGAAAAGGAAAGAAACAAACAATTGGCGGACGAAATGGAGGCAACATTGCACGACATTCAGAACATGTAGACGATTTCAACCTTTAAAAATTTAATTTGAAAAAAAAAGAACACGTTTAAAACACATAAAACACAGCGACAACATTCCCACTGCAAAAGAATGAATAATATTGAAAAAGAATGATTTAAAAGAAATATACTGACGACGCGTTCAAGTGCTTACACATTTTTTTTTTAAACAGAAACAGATATAGTTTGTAAGGTTATCATTTTTTTTTGTTCTCTTCATATATCCTCGCAGGGTGCTTCGTCGTAGAAACCAACCGCTCAGGTCGAAATTTCGCACTGGATTACTTATTTTTTGTTTCCAATTTTTTTTTATAAATGTTGTTTAAGCCTTAAAACTTCAAACGATTAAATGAAGGTCAAAATATAAATTAAAAACACTGCCAATTAAAGAAACTGATGAATAAGTTTTTTTAAGGTTTAAAAAATGTTTTAAAAAAATTTGTAATTCCATGCTGATTATTCACACAAATCATTCCTTAATTTTTATTTTTTTTTTGTTTTTCAATTTTCGGTTTATTCTATTTGTATAATTGTACATGATTAATTTAGAGGAAATTAGTCAAATAATTTTTTTTGTAATTTTTTCGGTTGCGCCGTTTGGAAATTGAAAGTAAAAAGCCGGCGCGTTTAGAACAATATATTTGATTATATTATTTTTTTATAATGTAGAATTTTTCGGGGCGTTTATGTTGTGATTTTTTTCTATTATTTATATAATTTACTGATGGGTTTTTGGGTCGCTATTTATTAAACGTGTCCGTGCAAAAACACTTTTCAAAAGGCGTACACCATAAAGACACAATCCCCCTCCCCCAATATTTTGATTTAGTATTATATATTATTTGTATTTTATGTAGTTAATCAGTTATTATAAAATTTTAATCACAATTTTTTTTTGATTTTTTTGTTGCATGGTTTTTTTTAACTAACCAAACCTTAAAACCAAACCTTTTCCAGAAAAAGTTAAATAAAGAAGATTATAACATATTTTTAGAGCATGATTTTCTTAAACTAAAAAGAAGAGTTCGTTGTGCAATTAATTATACTCGTGGAGTAAATAAATTGATGACCTTTTTGAACTTACAGACGAATTGGTGGCCGAAAAGGAACGTTACAAGGAAATTGGAGACGATTTGGATACGGCTTTCGTCGAACTCATTTTGTAAATCGACTTATGGCTCTTCTTGTGCGCTACTCAGCAATACGAAGAAATTATCGATCATTTCAGATTATTTGTTAACTTAACATAAAAGTTTCCACAACGGTTTGGGTCGACTCAATTTCGCCAACAATGATCGTTAATTTCTTAAATGCTTAATGAGATGATTATTTTTTAATTTATTTGTCTATTTTCTTGGTGGATTTGTTAACTAAATATCTTATTTATCAGTCTTATCTTTTTGAGTATTGTATATACAGTAGGGCGATAAAAAAAATAATAAAAAATTCACGTATTCTCGGTGGTTAGTTTTTATTATTTTTTAATAATACTAAAATTTCTTTCCTATTATTAACTAACACAACTAACATTATTGGTTACAGACGAACTTATTCAAGAACGATCAAAATTTAAAGCCATCGCTGACGAAATGGATCAAACGATGGCCGATTTAGCTGGATATTAAAGAAAAACAATGGATTTGTCTACAAAAAAACTGCCTTTTTTCTATAATTTTTAAATTAATTTTTAAATAGCTTCTTTTTTTTTAGATTTTTTTAGAAAGCACTAATTTAATTTATTTCAACAATCTCGTTGCTCATAAATATAAGAAAAACGAGTGTAAATATAAAAAAAAAAGATTTTATATGATACAAAAATAAAAATTCTAATGATGTGTTCAAAAAAATAAGATTCATCAAAATTATATTTAAAATTCAAACCGTTTAAACATTTTCTTAAGATAATCTCAAAGAAAATCATTCCCATTTTTAAGTGCACACGAACAAAGGATGCTTTCAAAAATAAAAATTGATGGTTCTTAAAAATAATTTATTTTTTTTTATAATCGATCGAAATAAAAAGTGAAATTTAAGAGGGTGTTTTTCTTGGTAATCCTTTTGATTTCCCTAAAAAAATTAAATCCTTTTTTTTAGTTGGTTGTGCCAAAAACGCCGAGATTAAGTACTTGTTGAAGCGGTACAACGAAAATTTAATTGCCTCGGATACGAATCGTTGCTTCTCCGGACTTGGAGCAAAACAAAACCGTTGAGTTTCAGGATTTACTCGAAACAGCTGCTTTTGTAACTTCCCTTTTCATTTAATGTAAGCGGCTTTCAGAAAGGTTCCAAAACAAAACAAAGGTAAGTGCTTAAGCGTTATTACAATCTCTTATGCATTTATTTTGAGAGTGTTTGTGAAGATTAAGTTTATAAAAAAAAATCAAATTGATTTTCTATTTTAAAAGTTTGGAATCAATCATCAAATTGTATCCAGTATTTGCCAAAATTAAATGAAAACTCATTCATTACAAATTTCCAATCGTGATGTGCTGACCTCATTGCTGGGATTTTGGTGCATTTGATGCACCAAAATCAATGCAATGATACGAGAGGATTTGCACAGGCATTTAATATTTGATTTGTAAAAAGCCCCTTGTATGAGTACTATCAGCAGAGAAATCTTTCTAGATAGGATTGGAATCGTGAAATTTGGTCAGGTCAGCAGTGGGTGTTCAAAGAGAACCAAAAACCTTTAATTTCATGGTCAAAGATTGTTTGAAACTGGCGGCATAGAAAGACAGTTAAAGCGTTATTGGTGCAAAATGTTTTATACTACCCTTAGAGTGTTGTCCAAAATAGTGTTCTTGAATTCTAGTCGTTTGAAGATACATTTTTTTTATTTGTTATGGCAAGTGTATTGCAGAACCGAACATACAGAAACGGCTACTCTTGTATCAGCAGTGTTTCATTAGAAGTTCCTAGTTTTCATTATGAGTGTCTAGTTTTTGCCTACAGTAAATAGTTTTGTATTAACAGTACTCTAGTAGGAGTAACTAATTTCAATTAATAATTTCTAGTCTTCTGCCAGCGGTATCTAGCCATGTATTAATAATATAAAATCTTTCATTAGCAGTATTTTATCTTCTCTCAGCACTATCTAATCTTCTGCAAATACTTAGATAGTGTAAGAAATATCTAGCAAGTATCTAATCTTTTGCAAGCAGTTAAAAGTGTTCTATTACCAATATCTACTCTTCCAGCAGTATCTAATCTTCTGCATGTAGGCATATCTCATTAGGAGTGTCTAGGTTCCCTTTAGTAGTATCTAGTTATCTGCTAGCAGTGTGTAATCTTCTGCAAGCAGTTAGAAGCTTTTTGTAAGGAGCTTCTAGTCTCCATTAATTAATTAATTCGTAACTTTATTTTATTACATTGTGGAACATATACCACATATAAACTCCCATTAGCAGTATATAATCTTTCGTATGTAATTAGAACTCTTCGATTACCACTTTTTACTCTTCCAGTAATATCTAATCTTCTGCAAGCAGTTGAAAATCTTTTTTAGCAGGAGGTAATCTTTTGCACGTAGTTAGAAGTCTTCTATTACTAGTTTTTACTCTTACATTACATTACATAGAATACATATCAGGTAGGCGGACCAACCAACCTTGCACCGCGACCCTAAGGATCTATTGTACCCCGATAGATATCGTTATCAAATTTCACCGTGCAGTCCAATGCTCTTAACGAACATTAATACCTTGCTCGGCGAAAGGTCATTCAGATCTTTTGAGGAGATAAACTGCGACCCAAAAATCGAGAATCTGATACGGTTAACGGCAGGGCAGTGGCATAAAACATGCTCAACCGTCTCTGCTTCCTCCGCACATAGTCGGCATTCAACATCGTCGGCTAAACCCAACAAGTTGAGGTGTGCTTTTAATCGGCAGTGCCCAGTAAAAACACCCATTAGAACTTTTATGCTACTACGGGCAAGTCCTAAAATATTCCCGGGTTTGACAGTGGCGATGTTAATAAACACCTTAGCATGTCTCATTCCAGGAGAACTGGTCCACAGTAGGCGAAGTCTCTCTTCAGCCCACAGTCCAATCCTATATTTGGCCATCGCAAATGATACACCAACTGCTGGTTCCGGTCCCACAAACGCTTCAGCGCTGCCATCTCGTGCTAGCTTATCTGCCGCTTCATTGCCAGCAACCCCAGAGTGACCCGGGACCCAGATCAGAGAGACTCTGTTATCACAACTCAGTGTGTTTAATGTTCTCTTACAATCATTAACCAGAGCCGACACCGTTTTCACGGCTTGCAGCGCCTGGAGAGCGGCTTGACTGTCTGAGAAAATTCGTACTGTCATGTTCTTCACCCCTCTTTCAAGAAGGATTTTAGCACCCATGTCAATAGCAAATACTTCCGCCTGGAATACAGTACAGTACGTACCCAGGCTGTAGGCTTGCTTAATTCGAGGTGTCTGGCAGTATACTCCTGCTCCTACCCCTTCAGGCGTTTTTGATCCATCTGTGTACAAGCAAATGTCTGCCCGAACCAGAGAATTTTCATTTTCGATCCAGGACTGCCGCTCAGGCAGTACAATCTGGTATCGAGCATTAATCACTGATAGTGATACCGCCAAATCTGACGGCATTGATAGCACAGTATCAGTGCTTATAATGTCTTCCGCAGCCCATTGGTAGGACATGTCGGAACAGTTTTGAGCATATTGCTTAAATCTGTAAATGGTTGTTCTAGCCACTTTCTCTATATGCAAATGCAGAGGAGATAGGCCAAGCAGAACCTCCATTGCTAGAGTTGGCGTTGTGCCTATCGCACCAGAGATTGCCAATCCAGCTACTCGTTGAATTCGTGAAAGTTTACTGATAACTGAAGTCTGTCGGACTTTCCTATACCAGGCTGCTGCTCCGTATGTGATCATAGGTCTAACCACAGTCACATAGAGCCAGTACAGTCTTTCAGGGGTAAGACCCCAATTTTTTCCACAAAGACTGCGACAAGTCCACAAGGATAGTCTAGCTTTGTGCAAAACTCCCTGCAAATGTCCATTCCATGACAGGGTTTTGTCTAGGATTACTCCTAGATATTTGACTTCCTTTGAGAAAGGAATTTCTTCACCTTGGATAGTTGGGCGGATTAGTCCATCCAACTTTCGCTTCCTGGTGAAGGGCACAACAATTGTCTTTTGCGGGTTTATTGAGAGGTTCTCTCCCTTACACCAAGCGCAAATGGTATCTAGGGTCACCTGGAGGACTTTAGATATCCTCGGCAAACAGGTTCCTTTGACCATAACGACAATGTCATCAGCATAAGCTTGTATTTCCACACCAACGGCTTCGACTATCGCAATCAGATCGTCAACTAGGAGGGACCAAAGCAGGGGAGATAACACCCCTCCCTGCGGGCAGCCACCTCCCGGCCTGAAGCGTATCGTATCACCGTGGAGTGAAGTAGAAACTATTCTACTATCTAGCATATTGCGGATCCAACCCGCTATAGTTGCTTCCACTCCCCTGTCAAGAGCAGCTCTTTCAAGAGATTGTGGTATTGCGTTGTTGAACGCTCCCTCTATATCCAGAAACGCACAAACCAAGATTTCTTTATCCTGCAGCGTCCTGGATACTCTACCAACTAAGTTGTGTAGAGCCAATTCTGCTGATTTTCCCGCTTGATAAGCATACTGGTGGCGACTCAGTGGACCAGATACCAATGGCACCGTACGGATATACCGTTCCAGAACTTTTTCAAGGGTTTTCAGCAGAAATGACGTTAGGCTGATGGGTCGAAAGGCATTAGAAGTAGGGACCGAACGGCCCGCTTTGGGTATGTAAGATACCCGTACCTTAGTCCATTCTGCCGGCACATATTTCCAGGCGACACTCGCTCTGAAAATTTTTACCAAAATTGGCAACAACAAAGACCTCCCCTGCTGTAACAAAGCAGGAAAGATATTGTCTTCTCCAGGCGATTTGAACGGCTTAAACGTTTGAATTGCCTGGTCCACGGATGTGTAAGTGACGACTTTTCTAGCCACACTCCAATCCGTATTTGAGGGGCGCTTTGCCTTGCAGGAATAGCCCGCTGTGGCATTATCGGCCCTCATCATCAGGCTTCCTGGGAAGTGAGTCTGCATTAGAAGCTCCAACGAGGCTCTGCTAGAGTCCGTAAAACTACCGTCAGGCCGCCTAAGTGAGCCCCGGATCTCTAGCGAGAATCTTGTGAATTCTTGCACTGCTGGGTGTGTCTTTCACTCCCTCACAGAACCTCCTCCAAGACTCTCTTTTTGCCTTACGTATGTTTTTGGTGTAATTCGTTAGAGCCTGTTTATATTTCTCCCATTCACCTAATGTCTTGGCCCGGTTGAAAAGCTTTCGGAGCTAAGAGATTCGTTCCACCAGGGTGTGCCCCGATTACTACTTTTCACCTTCAGTGGACTGCTACTGTGATATGCTCTTTCAGTAGTATCTAATCTTCTGCAAGTACTTGGATGTCCACTGTAAGAAATATCTTGACTCTCATTAGGAGTGTAATCTTCTGCAAGCAGTTAGAAACTTTTTCTAAGCAGTTTCTTGTCTGCATTAGCACTACCTAAACTTCTGCAAGCCGTTGGAAGTCTTTTTTTAGTAGGAGTTAATCTTTTGCATGTAGTTAGAAGTCTTTTATTACCAGTTTTTACTCTTCCAGTGGTATCTAATTTTCAGCCAGCAGTTAGAAGTCTTCTATTATGAGATTCAATATCAAGTATTCTCTAATCGGTATCTAATCTTCTGGCATCTTAATTTATTCAGAATTCGTTCTAATTTTTGACAAACCATTGAAGCTTACAATAATGTTAACTTGTTGATATCGATTTAGGCAGTTCAAAAAAATTTAAAACTTTTTTGTAATATTTATTTTATTTCTCGAAATGTTATTTCAGTTTATTACAGCAAAACACAAAAACCATTAGAGAAAAAGTAATAAAAAAATAATAAATAAATAAACACGTTAATGGTTTGCTCTATTTTTTTGTCGTTATTTTTCAGTTAGAATCGTAAATAAAACAGAACTAGAATTGAATGGTAACGGTTGTTCTCTCTAAGCAGATAATATTTTCGTTACAGGAGAATTTTCAGTATATGCGAGGTGGATACACTGAAATGTTGCGCAGGCGTTTTCGAAATGTGTTTCCACGCGGATAGGAAAACGGAGCTCAGTTTGTGGTCACCCTTTTGTTCAGGTGGTTCTCTAAATAAACCTTTTAGTTTCACTTTCATTTGAACAACCTCGCCGAAATAAAAAATCGTAAGTGAATTTAAAGAAGAATTTATTACTAAAATAATTAATTTTATCAAAAAATTCTCTTTAACAACAAACTTAATAAATCTTAAAAGAAATAAAAATAAATATAAAAATTTTTAAACCCAAGCAAATTGTTCATCAAAAAGTTCTATTTTTCCTTCTCGCTTTGTTGCCAAAAGACCATCATTAACTTGATTTCTTGTAAGATTTTTATAGAGAGTTGTGTTAAAAGGAATGTAAAACACATGATTCTTTTTTATTTGAGAATATAATATACATGTATATTTTTTTTCGAAATTTATTTATTTTTGGGTGTAACGAAAAAGTTTTAACTTCATCCAAATTTAAACCTGAAAAACTGTTAAATTTTAACGGTCACTAAAGATTTACAACCACTTTGACCTGTAATATTATAAACAAAACGAAAATTTAAATTTTATATTTAACCGATAGAGCTTTAAACAGCCCGATTGTTTAACTCACAATTAATTAAATTTCGCCTTTAGTACACAAACAAAAATACAAAACTTGTTGCTAAGAAACCGTTCCATACAAAGTTATACAAAGTCTTTGTTACTCTCGATTAATAAAAAATGACCCAATTCATTTTATTCAAGGGTGAATTTATCTGTATTAAATTAATTAAAAATAAAGCTAAGAAGCCTTTAATGTTAAATCTAACGAAAAAGGGATCTAAAACTTTATTGCGTTAGAGCTTACGTAACTGGGGGAATAAAACTTTATAACACAGAGTGCCTTAAAGTTTATAAACCTAAAAATAAGGATAAAGTGAATCAAAGCGTGATGGAAAAGAATGTAATATGGAACAGGAGGGGGGTGTTAGCAAAAAGAAAATGTATGGAAAAAAGCTTTGGAGATAAGAACGAGGTGTGCTTTATCGTCATCAATTCTGAGAACGTGAACCTTCATAAATTTGTTATTCGATAATAGGTTTTTCGGTTTTTATGTAAGTTATAAAAAATTTAAAAAGTTTTATTATTAATGATTCATAAATACATTTGTATCTACATTAATGTTATTATCTCAATAGATATGAACTATAATTATCAGACCGACATTACAGTTGAATTGTGGGTTAGATCTCTTGGGGTTCACCCAAAATTATTGTTACTAATAACAATCAAGTTGAATAATCTTGATTAAGCGATAAACTAGTCAGAAACTAAAATTCTATTTTGATTTGTTATTTTTGGATTAAAATTCTGGTTGACACATCATCTTTTTTCTTGTATTCAACTCTTTTATATAAATAAATCTTGGTTGTGTGAAAATATCCACAACACACCTATATTTTATCGTACCCCGAGGTGTAAATTTAGAATTTGCCATTGCAAAATATCGTTGTCTGCGTCAGAAAATGATTCTCTCTGCAAAGAACGAAAACTACTACTCCTTTATTGTCATAGTTTGGCAACGATTTCAGACGAATTTCTCATTATATTCTCTTTTAATTTTACAATGAGTTAAAAAAATTTAAAAAAAACTTCAAATAAAATAATCACCTAGTTTTTTTCTTATTTATAAATTTATTTATAAACAAAACTTTAGAAATAAGAACAATGGTTATCCTTTCCAATGATTTATTAATAAAACTCGTTTGTAGATGATGCCAAAAGGTAGCTGTGATGAAAATTATTTTCTTGAAAAACAATATCTCATCGAACTTAATAAAGAATTTTTAAGTTTTGAAGTCACGTTATGTGGCTAGTTTAAACTTCGTTAACTTTATTGATTTATGAACGTCTTTGGAAAGTTTGCAAAACGAAAATTCCGACGATAATCAATCGACGAACATAAAATTACCTTCCGAACTAATTATTTTAATGTTGAGTAATTGATGGTGTAACTTGTAAGGGTACCCTTGAGGGTTATAATTCATTTAATATCATTGAAGAAAATTAATTGAATACTTCAATATTTCATATATCATAATCTACATTCTTTTTAGAGTTTTTAGTAAAAATTTCATGATCAATTTTTAAAGAAGTTAAGATTTTTTTAATTTATTACCAACAACAATTTTGCCCATTTTTGAATACTTTTAATTTTACCACTCAAAACTTTTTAATACGGATTTTAACAAACATTTCGCACATTTTACTAAAATCTACATCCCTTTTAATTTAATCATAAAAAAATTTACAATTCCAAATAGATTTTTAAAAAAGTTATTAATTTTTTTAATCTCAAAAAACACATTTCATGACAATTTCGCTCATTATCTAATTAAACAACATATAACTTTGTTATAAAGAATTTAACAACAATTTCGAAGTCCTCATCGAAATATAAATCCTTTTTGGAATATTTACCAAAAATTTCATGATTCCACCTCGATTTTTAAAGGAGTTAAGATTTTTTAAATTTATTACAAACAACGATTTTTCCCATTTTTAAATAATTTTCATTTCACCACTCAGAACTTTTTAATACCGATTTTAACAAACATTTCACACATTTTACTAAAATCTACATCCTTTTTAATGTAATCATAGAAAATTTCATAATTCCAAATCGATTTTGAAAAAAGTTACGAATTTTTTAATCTCAAAAATCACATTTCATGACGATTTCGCTCACTTTCTTATTAAACAAGATATAATTTTTTTATTAAGAATTTAACAACAATTTCGAATTTCTCATTGAAATCTACATCATTTTTAGAGTATTTACTAACAATTTCATGATTCCACTTCAATTTTTAAAGGAGTTAAGATTTTTTTAATTTATTACCAACAACAATTTAGCCCATTTTTGAATACTTTTAATTTTACCACTCAAAACTTTTTAATACGGATTTTAACAAACATTTCGCACATTTCACTAAAATCTATATCCTTTTTAATGTAATCATAAAAAATTTCATAATTCCAAATCGATTTTTAGAAAACTTACGAATTTTTTAATCTCAAAAGTCACAATTCATGACAATTTCGCTCATTGTCTAATTAAACAACATATAACTTTGTTATAAAGAATTTAACAACAATTTCGAAGTCCTCATCGAAATATAAATCCTTTTTGGAATATTTACCAAAAATTTCATGATTCCACCTCGATTCAATAATAGGTCGGCATATTGAGGTGTATATGTGAGTAGCGCATTTGGTGGATATCCCTCGGCCTCTATATGAGAGTGAGCGGAAGTGTTTGATGCTGTGATAGGAGAAGATTGATACGCCATATTCGGTAGCATTCCTCTATGTTTTGGATGAGCGTCTGCAGACTTAGGATTGATGATGGAATGTCTACATCATGTGCGACGAGAGTAGTATCATCGGCATAAAATAGGGCGTAAGACATCGGATCGAAGACGTCTGGGTTGTTGTTGTAGACGTCATGGCAGTAGACGTTATACAGTGCTGGCGAGATGGGAGAGCCTTGAGGGAGACCTTGTTGAGCGGTGAAACTGTGAGAGTAGTAGTTCTTCACTTTAACCAATGAGGAGCGGTCTGAAAGAAATTCTTTTAGCAGGTTAAGAAGATAAGATGGGATTTTCAACATAGCTAGCTTGTNTCTAATTAAACAACATATAACTTTGTTATAAAGAATTTAACAACAATTTCGAAGTCCTCATCGAAATATAAATCCTTTTTGGAATATTTACCAAAAATTTCATGATTCCACCTCGATTTTCAAAGGAGTTAAGATTTTTTAAATTTATTACAAAACAACGATTTTTCCCATTTTAAAATAATTTTCATTTCACCACTCAGAACTTTTTAATACCGATTTTAACAAACATTTCACTAAAATCTATATCCTTTTTAATGTAATCATAAAAAATTTCATAATTCCAAATCGATTTTGAAAAAAGTTACGAATTTTTTAATCTCAAAAATCACATTTCATGACGATTTCGCTCACTTTCTTATTAAACAACATATAACTTTGTTATAAAGAATTTAACAACAATTTCGAAGTCCTCATTGAAATATAAATCCTTTTTGGAATATTTACCAAAAATTTCATGATTCCACCTCGATTTTCAAAGGAGTTATGATTTTTTAAATTTATTACAAACAACGATTTTTCCCATTTTTAAATAATTTTCATTTCACCACTCAGAACTTTTTAATACCAATTTTAACAAACATTCCACACATTTTACTAAAATCTAAATCCTTTTTAATGTAATAATAGAAAATTTTATAATTCCAAATCGATTTTGAAAAAAGTTACGAATTTTTTAATCTCAAAAATCATATTTCATGACGATTTCGCCCACTTTCTTATTAAACAAGATATAACTTTTTTATTAAGAATTTAACAACAATTTCGAATTTCTCATTGAAATCTGCATCCTTTTTAGAGTATTTACTAACAATTTCATGATTCCACTTCGATTTTTAAAGGAGTTAAGATTTTTTTAATTTATTACCAACAATAATTTTGCCCATTTTTGAATAATTTTAATTTTACCACTCAGAACTTTTTATTACCGATTTTTAACAAACATTTCGCACATTTTACTAAAATCTACATCTCTTTTAATTTAATCATAAAATTTTATAATTCCAAATAGATTTTTAAAAAAGTTACGAATTTTTTTAATCTCAAAAATGACATTTCATAACGATTTCGCTCCTTGTCTAATTAAACAACATATAACTTTGTTATAAAGAATTTAACAACAATTTCGAAGTCCTCATGGAATATTTACCAAAAATTTCATGATTCCACCTCGATTTTTAAAGGAGTTAAGATTTTTTAAATTTATTACAAACAACGATTTTTCCCATTTTTAAATAATTTTCATTTCACCACTCAGAACTTTTTAATACCGATTTTAACAAATATTTCGCACATTTTACTAAAATCTACATCCTTTTTAATGTAATCATAAAAAATTTCATAATTCCAAATCGATTTTTAAAAAAGTTACGAATTTTTTAATCTCAAAAATCACATTTCATGACGATTTCGCTCACTTTCTTATTAAACAAGATATAATTTTTTTATTAAGAATTTAACAACAATTTCGAATTTCTCATTGAAATCTACATCATTTTTAGAGTATTTACTAACAATTTCATGATTCCACTTCAATTTTTAAAGGAGTTAAGATTTTTTAAATTTATTACTAAACAATTTTTCCCATTTTCGAATAATTTTCATTTCACCACTCAAAACTTTTTAATACGGTTTTTAACAAACATTTCGCACATTTTACTAAAATCTACATCTCTTTTAATTTAATCATAAAAATTTTTACAATTCCAAATCGATTTTTAAAAAAGTTACGAATTTTTTTAATCTCAAAAAACACATTTCATGACGATTTCGCTCATTGTCTAATTAAACAACATATAACTTTGTTATAAAGAATTTAACAACAATTTCGAAGTCCTCATCGAAATATAAATCCTTTTTGGAATATTTACCAAAAATTTCATGATTCCACCTCGATTTTTAAAGGAGTTAAGATTTTTTAAATTTATTACAATCAACGATTTTTCCCATTTTTAAATAATTTTCATTTCACCACTCAGAACTTTTTAATACCGATTTTAACAAACATTCCACACATTTTACTAAAATCTAAATCCTTTTTATGTAATCATAGAAAATTTCATAATTCCAAATCGATTTTTAAAAAAGTTACGAATTTTTTAATCTCAAAAATCATATTTCATGACGATTTCGCTCACTTTCTTATTAAACAACATATAACTTTTTTATTAAGAATTTAACAACAATTTCGAATTTCTCATTGAAATCTACATCCTTTTTAGAGTATTTACTAATAATTTCATGATTCCACTTCAATTTTTAAAGGAGTTAAGATTTTTTAAATTTATTACAAACAACGATTTTTCCCATTTTTAAATAATTTTGATTTCACCACTCCAAACTTTTTAATACCGATTTTAACAAACATTTCACACATTTTACTAAAATCTAAATCCTTTTTAATGTAATCATAGAAAATTTCATAATTCCAAATCGATTTTGAAAAAAGTTACGAATTTTTTAATCTCAAAAATCACATTTCATGACGATTTCGCTCACTTTCTTATTAAACAAGATATAATTTTTTTATTAAGAATTTAACAACAATTTCGAATTTCTCATTGAAATCTACATCATTTTTAGAGTATTTACTAACAATTTCATGATTCCACTTCAATTTTTAAAGATGTTATGATTTTTTTGATTTTTACTCATTAAAGTTTACAATGTTTATTGGAAATACTTATTTTGATGTGTTTATTTTGAAATTAAATTAAGTATAACATTTCAAAAGATAAAATTCTTTTTTGCGATGTTGCTTTTGTTGGAATCAAAAGAAAAAAAAACATTTCTGCGTCGTTTTTCGTTTTAAAAATAACCCTTTTTTAAAAATATAGATATTTATTGTATTGTCTGGCGTTCAAAGTGTGTATTTTTCACTCACAAGTCAGTGCTACTCTCGGCATAATAAAGTTATATGATCGTTTCGGTATCATAAAATTATCATCGTGTATCATCTGCGTAAATTCGCACCTTCAATCGCTTTCGCGGCAATTTGCCAGTAAATGAATCATTTAAAGTATTTTTTTTAAACTTACAAACCAATTTTCTTTTTCTTTCCGAAACCCAATTAATTACAGTTTTCGAAACATCCTCGTCTCTAGAAATTTTAAATTAACTTTTCCCCTCTGCGTTATCGATTCAAGAAAAGAAAATTTAAACTAGTTTTTAATCAAATTTTAAACAACTTTACTTATTTATCAACTAAAAGTGGTTTAGTTTAAATTTGGTTGTTAAAGCTCTATTAAAAGTAGTAAAAGTGATTGTAAAGTTCCGTAATAAAGAAAAGGTTTTAATGTAAAAATCTACATAATATTTATGGGCCTATATAATCTTGCCGTGTTTTTAACGCGATTTTTTTGTGAATAACGATTTTTTTATCGCACTTCTTGTTTGCTACAAAGAAAAATATTTTTTTTGGATACTAAATATAGTCCGGGTAAACAAAACTGGGCTTGTTCTCGTTACAATAAACCTTCTGGGCCATTTTACAATGTTGGAGGATGTTTAAAAATTTTTTTAAAAATAATTTCATCACTAACGTTCTTAGGTACGTTATGATTTTCCCATTATAGGGGTCATTTATAGACGTTGATGTCTAATTAACGCCCACCAAAGTTGAAATTACGTACAATCTAGCTTGGTGGTAGATTTAATATCCATTCAACCCCGATAAAATCGTTCAAGATATCGATCGAAACGATCCGGGATAATGTAATACCCAACATTTATTCGCCTTACCATTAAGGTCGGCTGTAATTTTGTTATATTGATTTGTAATTGTACGTACAAGTAGGTAGATATCATTAGATACATCGTTACTATATAATTCTTTTAAACTCTATCAACACAACAACAAAAAAATTGATACAAAGAGAATTATTCTTTTTATTTTCAACTTTGAAATATATTAATAGAAAAACACCAACCGGATACGAAGACGCGATAACAAAAAATAATTCTAATTTCAGTTTTAAACTAGAGATGGAACGTAAAACTAGCATGCGACCCGTTATTAATTCCTCCCCAACATCAACACCAGAAGAATTGGAAAGGCGGGCGATAATTCAAAGAAACGATCTAATTTTACACGAAGCAGTCATCAAAAATGACGTGGACACCGTCAGGAAGATTCTAAGAGAACCAGTCGATATAAACTGCAGAAACAACGTGAGTTGATTTACGTTTTAAATAATTGATGTTTTCCGCTTCAAATAATTAACTAATCGAAAAACGATTTAACCCATCATTAATTCAATCTTTTCTTCGATATTTATTTTGGTTTGGAAAATAAAGGGGATAAAAGCTGAAAGTTATCTCATTCGGCCCGATTTCCCAAAGGGATGGGGGAAAGAGTACAACGTTCCTCAATCGACAGTTAACGAGATTACAAAATTGAATTTCCATTGAAATTGTTTCCGTTTATTTGATAAACCACGACCAATTAGTAATTACACGAACCGCTCGTTCTATTTATGTACTTTCGGTAAATTAAACCCGAACTTATTAACAATTCATACTTTAAACAAACCATCTTTAACCCGCCGTTTTGAAAGTAAACCTAAACAATTTGTCAAGGGAAAAAAATTAATGAAGAAATCGCGTAAAATGATCTCGCGATAATGGATTGTTTGACTGAAATGTTTTCGAAGGTGTCGAAAATCAATTACGAGACATTTTTATACTTGTGAAATTGATTTTGAAACGAGATCTTGAAGAAGAAGAATTTTTAATTTTAATTAGTTGCATTTAAACTCTAAAAAAGACAATTTTGACAATTTATTTGTCAATATTTACGACTACTTAAGTTATTTTCTTTTCATGGCATTTTCATTGTTTTTTTTTTCTTCAGTCTGATCTAATCTAAAATGTGGTGGTTTAATCAATATAGGTAGATCTTTCTGAAATTTTGCATAGTGCCATAATTTCTCATTCTGAACAACTTTTCTTAATGAAATTTTGCTGTATCATGACCACAAAGCTTATTTTACCTGAACTAAAAATAGTTTTCGCTTCACTATCAAGGCCTAGTTAATTTTCGAAATATGAAAATATACCTAAAATTCTCTCCACACTAAGCAGGGCTTAATTCCTTAGCCTTAAAATAAAATTCAAAAATTTTTAAGTCATTATATCTCTTGTAACATCTATCCTGGGACACACTGTATACATTGCAAAAAAATAAAGAACAGCATCTTGTGCTTTAGGTCTATCTAAGTAAGAGGCATTGATGCTCAACAGTACGCAGCATTTAGACACACAAGAACCAATCGCAAGCAGCTTCCGTCATGAGATATCTTAAAAGATCATAGAGACAATTAGCGGTTCAGGGAAAAACGGTGTTCAATCAGTGACTCTTTTGGCAAATATATCTGCTTGCTTGTTGTCGAGGCAACCCAAATGTTCTTATTATTATGCATTGGAGGATTATGTGATCTAACTTCTTTAATTATAGCGCTTTGGCCTATAAATTCTGATACAGTGCTGATGAGCACCAGCACTGTTTAGTTTGATTGTCCCATCCATGCACATTTACAGAGTTCAAATTATCGGAGTCTTGCTGACTAAAATTGGTATCTTTAGTGGATCTGCTAAACGGCTTTACTGAATCTTTGTAAGTGCTGAAGTGTCGAATAAAGAATTAATTCATAAAGTTTAAGGGTTTCTTATAAGCTTCACCAATGTTTGGTAAGATGAGAAACATGATATTGGTTGTAATTGATGGAGGTCCCAGATATAATATCTTAGGAATCTCTCCGTGTTGTCGAACGAAACGGTCAATTCAAACAGTAATTTGTGTCTCTCTTTATATAGAGACGGGATATGGTCCTAATATTACTTTAATGATTCATGTCTAGGTTGAATCTGATTTGGCTTTGAACATCAATCTGATTCGGGTTAGGATATAACCCTAACTCGGATTTGGGCATCAACCTAACCCTGGTTTAGGCATAAATCTGACTTGTCTTTAGACATCAACCTAACACATAGTTGGAAATAAATGTGACTCGTGTTTGGGCATCAACCTAACCTTGGTTTAGTCAAAGCAGATAATCTAGGTGTTACCATTTTGTTATACTTCCTCATTCTTGTTCAAAACTCATTGGATAAACTGGAAAAGCTGCAAAATTTGTACCATATCCTATTAGTAAACAAACAACCAGAAGGAAGGATTTTTACAATTTACACGTTAAAGACAGGAATAATAGAAAGGAAAAATTGGCAGCAATTATTTTTCCTTTCTATTATTCCTGTCTTTAATGGTGAATGGTAAAAATCCTTCCTTCTGGTTGTTTGTTTATATGTTACTTACACATATAATTCCAATTAATATTTGATATCCTATTTGGCTCGCCACAAAGTGAGTTAGCATAGAAATTAACTCTGTGAATCGTTATGTGCAAGAGATACTTTTTGCAACATGATAATATCCGCTGGTTTAGTCTCAAAGATTTCCAAACTAGAAAGCTTAATATTCAAATTTTATACTTCAAATTTGGAAATAATTTAAAAAAATCAAGTTCTTTTTATCTTATAACATCGTAGTATGGTAGATCTCCAAGGCATTGGGCACCATCGTACGAAAATTTAGAAATCATGGAACGTGATCTTAGTTTAGAGATAAATCTGACTTGGCTTTGGACATCAATCTAATCTGGGGTTGGAAATAAACCCGATTGTGTTTTGGGCATCAATCTAACCCTGGTTTAGGCATAAATATGACTTGTCTTTAGACATCAACCTAACACATAGTTGGAAATAAACCTGACTCGTGTTTTGAGCATCAACTTAACCCTGGTTTAGCCATAAAGCAGATAATCTAGGTGTCACCATTTTGTTATACTTCCTCATTGTTGTTTAAAACTCATTGGATAAACTGGAAAAGCCGCAAAATTTGTTGATTTAGCATAGAAATTAATGAATCGTTATGTAGAAGAGACACTTTTTTTAATTTCCGCTGGTTTAGTCCTAAAAATTCCCAAACTGGAAAACTTTATATTCAAATTTTATACTTTAAATTAAAAATAATTGAAAAAATTCAAGTTCTTTTTATCGTAGTATGGTAGATCTCCAAGGCATTGGGCACCATCGCACGGAAATTTAGAAATCATGGAACGTGATCTTGGTTTAGAGATAAATCTGACTTGGCTTTGGACATCAATCTAATCTGGGGTTGGAAATAAACCCGATTGTGTTTTGGGCATCAACCTAACCCTGGTTTAGGCATAAATCTGATTTGTCTTTAGACATTAACCTAACACATAGTTGGAAAAAAACCTAACTCGTGTTTTGGGCATCAACCTAACTCTGGTTTAGACATAAACCTGATTTTCTTTAGATATCAACCTAACACACAGTTCAAAATAAACCTGACTCGTGTTTGGGCATCAACCTAACCTTGGTTTAGTTATAAAGCAGATAATCTAGGTGTCACCATTTTGTTATACTTCCTCATTGTTGTTTAAAACTCATTGGATAAACTGGAAAAGCTGCAAAATTTGTTGGTTTAGCATAGAAATTAATGAATCGTTATGTAGAAGAGACACTTTTTTTAATTTCCGCTGGTTTAGTCCTAAAGATTCCCAAACTGGAAAACTTTATATTCAAATTTTATACTTTAAATTAAAAATAATTGAAAAAATTCAAGTTCTTTTTAGCGTAGTATGGTAGACTTCCAAGGCATTGGGCACCATCGCACGGAAATTTAGAAATCATGGAACGTGATCTTGGTTTAGAGATAAATCTGACTTGGCTTTGGACATCAATCTAATCTGGGGTTGGAAATAAACCCGATTGTGTTTTGGGCATCAATCTAACCCTGGTTTAGGCATAAATCTGACTTGTCTTTAGACATCAACCTAACACATAGTTGGAAATAAACCTTACTCGTGTTTTGAGCATCAACTTAACCCTGGTTTAGCCATAAAGCAGATAATCTAGGTGTCACCATTTTGTTATACTTCCTCATTGCTGTTTAAAACTCATTGGATAAACTGGAAAAGCTGCAAAATTAGTTGGTTTAGCATAGAAATTAATGAATCGTTATATAGAAGAGATACTTTTTTTGATTTCCGCTGGTTTAGTCCTAAACTTTATATTCAAATTTTATACTTTAAATTAAAAATAATTGAAAAAGTTCTTTTTATCTTATAACATCGTAGTATGGTAGATCTCCAATGCATTGGGCATCATCGCGTGGAAATTTAGAAATCATGGAAATGCTTTTATCGTCTAATTGCGACTTAGAAGCAAAAGATAAGGTTGGAATTTCGCAAGTAGTATTTTCTTTATTAAATAAAAATATATTTTAGTACGGAATGAGACCGATATTGATGGCAGCTTGGCACGGTCATCGCGAAGCCGTCCAACTTCTTATCAACATGGGAGCCGGTACAAAATCAACGAATAAGGTTTGTAAAGAGGAAAACTCCAACAGTAAGAGTCCATCCGTTCTTGTTAAATTTAAATCAAGATTTATTCGACTCAAAGGGGTTAATGCTGAAACGTAAACGTTTGTGTTTGTTTTAAAACAAAACGGTAATTTATGAAACGTCCTCGAGAGATGAAAAAAATCAATAATTTCATTTTGATGTAGTTTACAGATAAACACGAACTTTTTGTATTGAATTAAAAATTAACATATTTTTTTTGGCGTTGTAGAAACAATATTCTTTGTTGATATGCGCCGCTAAAAACGATCGGAAAGATGTGGTTGATTTTTTATTGGAAACTCTCGAAGATATCAATGTTGATGCTGTGGATATCGAAGGGCAAACGGCTTTATTCCACGCTGCCATGGGAGGTCATGCAAAAATCGTTAAAAAATTAATCGAAATCGGAGCTGCTTTGGATAAACGAAATAAGGTTATTTTTATTTGGTTTGTACTTTTTGATTCTCGTAATTAATCCTGCCACTAACAAACAAACATCTAACGGATTTTGAAGCCGAACTATTGAGTTTGATTAACCTGTCTATCTCGTTCCAGCAATCGCAAACTGCACTGCATGTGGCATGCGAAAAGGGCCATCCAGAGGTAGCCGAGTGTTTATTGGCTCATGAATCCGATATGGAAGCAAGGGATAATGGAGGAAATACTCCGTTACATTTAGCGGCGCAAAACCAACAAACGAAATTAACCCAAATTTTATTAGATGCCGGCGCCGACCCGGACGCTGAAAATTCCGTAAAAAAAGAAGTAAATTAAATTAATTTATGTTAATTATTTCTCTTTGTTCTTTAGAAAGGATCTACGGCCCTTCATATAGCGTGTAGCCTCGGGAGTAAAGGTATTTTGGAACTGTTGTTACAACACGGTGCCCTCCTAAATAAACAAAACAAAGTAAACCTTAAACTTTGTTTTAATTAACATTTTACTTTGGTTATTCTCTTTGTAGGCCGGTAATACACCGTTACATTTAGCGAGTCAAGCGAATGAAGTGGACACCGTTGAAATTCTAATTAATAGGGGGGCTGATTTAAACAGCTTAAACGCAGTAAGTTAAATTAATCCAAATTTGTTTTATTATAATTTATTATTTTAGAGATTACAATCTCCAATTCATATAGCAGCTGAGATGGGTTACACAAACATTTGTAAATTGTTATTAGTGGCGGGGGCTAACATAGAACAACGAGAGCAAGGTGGAAGAACCCCTTTATACATCGCAGCTAGGGGTAGTTTCACAGCGATAGTTGATATGATAATTAAAACGGCGAGATTAGATTATCCCGCGAATGAAGAACAAGAAAGTAACGCGCAACGAAAAAACAGCTTCAAACCGGGATTAAACCCGGGAAGTCGGAAATGGAGGAACACAAAAGAAGAATTAAAAGGAAAAGATAGCGAGAGATTCAAAGAGATTCTTTATAAATTATCTTACAAACAACTAGGCCCGGGGGAGTGGAAAAAGTTGGCTCAACATTGGGCGTTCACCGAAGAACAAATTAGAGCCGTTGAACATCAATACACGGGCCCTTCGAGTTTTAAAGAACACGGATTTCGGGTTATGTTAATTTGGGCGCATGGTTTACCAGGGGATGTTAATCCAATGAAAGAACTTTATGAAAGTTTAACAGCGATTGGTAAAAGAAGCGTTGCCGGTAAAAAAAAATAAAAAAATCGAATTTTTCATTACTTACTAATTAATTTTAGATAATCTACGAAGAAAAGTCGATCAAGAAAACGAAGAACTTCGCAAAGGGCGGAAAAAAACTTGCTCGCAATGTAATTTAACGTGATTACATTTAACACAAATTTTGATTCTTATGACCTACATATCTAGGAAAAACCTGACCAAATAAGGTACCTCTTAATATAGAAGAAAACTCCGATTTATTATTATTCATTCCAAGAACGGTTTTTAATCTATTAAATGGAAACAAATTACTCAAAAACATTTTAACGATTTTAGCTTTTATTCTAATAAATCGAATTAAATCGAATTTAAATAATCCTCAACGTTATTTTTATACCAATTAATAACATCCAATCTGTTATGTACTCGGTTGTAATTGTGATTATAAACTCTCGCTCCGTATTTCATATGTTCAGGAAGTTCTTTCGTACCATAAAGATTTAAATTAGTGTTACTAATACTTCCGTTGTTTGTAAACGGGCCATTCTAAAACAAAAATTTTAACTTTAAATGTATTCTTATTAAACTTTTCTTATTACGATTTTTTTCTTACTTTATCCTCGACTATAAAAGTCCATTTCCCCGCGGCATCTTCCCCCCAAGTCATTACCGACATAAACGACCAATTTATAAATCCTAGCTTAGATTTATCCAACTTCCTAGAAGCTAAAAGTTGAACCTTCGTTCCGCTCGGGCTAATGAGATATGCTTCTAAAGCTCCTCTTATTGAATATAGAATTGTTGTTCGTATTTCAACGTGTTCTAAATAATTAACTTCGTCTTTTGTCCCGCGACAACTATCGGTATGAATTTCGATTGTTATTGGGGCATCGAAGCCGAAATCGTTATTTCCTGGTGCTGATGTTGTGCACATTTTTCTTGGGGGCACTTCAGTCCAATTAGCGGCTGCTTTAACTAAGCCAAAAGCGTTCATTAAACCAAAACCGAATCTCGTGTTGAACCATAATCCGGCTGCGTTCATTTGCCAACCGGGGTTTTCAGCCACGGGGGCTAATTCCGATGTCCAAACAATTAAATGTTGCACGTCTCTCCAAGTAAGATTAGGACTAAAAAAATTGTTATTAAAAAAGTAATAAAATTAATTTATTTCATAAAAAAAATTACTTCACTTCTAAAGCTAGAGCTATAATTCCTGCTGCTAAAGGTGCGGAAGCTGATGTTCCGGTATGTTTTATTGTACATTCATTGTGAAGATCGGTTGTAACGATCATTTGATCTTGATAAGCTCCCGATGAATATGTTACTGCTAAAGTTGAGGCGCACGCTTCTCCGTACCATGGAAACTCCCCTTTTTGAGAAGCACTTCCAATTGAAATTGTGTAAGGACTAGCTAAATAACCGTCGCAATTACAATTATCACCTAAACTTCCACCGTTCCCTGATGCCCAAACAAAAATTGTTCCTTTTCCATTTCGTCCCTAAAAAAAATCATAAATCTTTTGTAATAATCACAAAAACATAATCTTATAAAGTTGTAATTTGAAGTCTATTTATTGTGTTTGATGGAGTTTATAAAGATCAGAGATTTTGAAAATGAAGTCATTAAATCCTATTTATTTAAAAATACTATTTTAGATATTTCCGCATTGCTTCAAACCTAAGTTATCTAAAAATCTTCTCTATGATCATCATCTTTCTTACATTTCTCAACTTCTTCCTTGTTGTATTTCTTTTTACTGTACGACCAAAACTGGGTCACTAATGACCCGAAAACAGTAATTTTTTTGCATAGCATACGAAATCAAACTTTAATGTTGTTGCCCTTTCATATGTTCTCTAGTATTATTGTTCTCATGCGATATGCAATTACATACTTTTATACAGGGTGATTTATAACATACGGAGCAGACTAAAAGAGTAGGTACTGGAGGTAAAACTGAAGAGATTTTCTTAATAATGTTTTATTAAAAACTTAATAGTTACATAGATATCGCATGTTAATTTTTTAAATAATTTTATCTACGACTGCTTGGATAAGTCATCATTACCGCACTCATTTGAGGTGATTTGAGTTACGTAATGAAGTTCATTACGTAACGCATTTTTAGCCTAATCAGAACAGACTTAATTTATTGAAACGAGCAACAATACAAAAGAAAAAGTGCTATCTACTTACAGAGAAACAATACTATTTATTATAAACATTAATTGTTATGTTTTTACATTTCCAAACACTTATTCCAGATGAATAAACATGTTGTTAAAACTGACAATTCAAAATTGTCAACAATCATTTCAAAATATTTTTATAAATGTCAAATAGACTTTTCTAAAAAAATTGATTTTTTAGTAATTTTTAGCAGTCGTAGATAAAATGCTGTATATCACACGTGGGCTAGAGCATAATTACAGTACTCGTGTGATTACACGACTCGGTCTACGACCTCGTCGTGCAATTCTCCACACTCGTACTGTAATTATGTTTCTAGCCCACTTGTAATATAAATAACTATAACGTCCATTTTTGAGAACCGCTGATATTCAGTAAAGAATAATTAAAATACTTGTCCGTTGCTAAGTAACCAAATCAACTGGATTGGCAGCAATAAAAACATGGTTTCGGCGGTTCTCAATAAACAAACACCACCGTTTGAGCGTTTTAACAAATTTTTAAATAGCCGTAACTGCTATGTTATAAAGATTTTATTATTTTTATTAATTATGCATTGTTTAAGTAACCCCGAAATATTCGCAGTTTGAATTTAAGCGTAGTGTAATACCGTATATGGTAAGAAATGCTCGGCCATTACTTCAACTTTAACGTTCTATATCTTTGTGATTATTGAGTTGTGGTCAAAATTTTATTAGAAAAATATCTTCAATTTGGCTCCTAGTACCTACCCTTTTAGTCTGCTCCGTATGTTATAAATCATCCTGTATATCTTATATCTTTTATATACAGGGTGTATCTGAATGACGTGCCCAAACTTCAGGGGGTGATTCTTTAGGCAATTTTAAGGGTACTTTCTCATATAAACTATCAGCGATTTCCTCTCCCCTGCGGAGCTACGCTCCTTCAAAAATGGCGAAAAATTCTGGTTTATTTTATTTTTCCCGAAAACCATTAACACCAAGAAAATGAAATTTGGGAAATAAGTTTAGCTTATAATAGGGCATGTTTCGAGCCCATTTGTACTTTCAATCTTCCTTTCTAAGTTACTAAACATAACCACTCCAGTTCAATTTTTGTCTAGATCTTTTTTATGACGATGATAAATACATTGGAAATATTTTATTTAGATAGACGAAAATATTCTAAAACTTATTTGCCTCTCTGATGTTCTTCGAAAAGTTAATAGTTTCTGAGAAAAAAATTAATTAAGCAAACACTAACTGTTAAGCTGTAGTTTTGTTAATCGAAAGTTGGAATGAATTTTTAAAGAAAAAATCTTAGCAGGCTTAGCAATCTTTGTCAGAAATATTTTTCACGTTTAAATGTCAGTGGTTTTCTTACTATTATTATTGTTTTATTTAAAATTTTGAAACGTCGAGTGAACGAGCATAAATGCGGTAGAACTTTATTCATAAATTAATTTGAAAAACAATATTAGTAAGAAAACCACTGACATTTAAACGTCAAAAATATTTCTGACAAAGGTTGCAAAGCCTACTAAGATTTTTTCATTAAAAATTCATTCCAACTTTTGATCGACAACCCCGTGTTTGAACGGGCAGTGTTTGCTTTATTATTTTTTTTCTCAAAAATTAGTCGTTTTTGGAAAAATTTTAGAGAGACAAAAAAGTTTTAGGATACTTTCATCTACGTATTTTTTTTTTTAATGTATTTACCCTCTGCATAAAAACAAATTTAGGAAAAATGCAAAGGGGGTGGTTACGTTTAGTAGTTTAGAAGGGTAGGTTGAAAGTACAAATATGGCCAAAACGTGCCCTATTATGAGTTAAACATATTCCCCAAATTTCGTTGTCCTAGCGTTTATGGTTTTTGAGAAAAAAAAATAAAACCAAAATTTTCCGCCATTTTTGGAGGGGTGTAGCTCCTTAGGGGAGCCCAAGTCGCCCATGGTTTATATATCAAAATACCCTTAAAATTGCCCAAAGAATCACCCCCTGAAGTTTGGGCATGTCATTCAGATAGGGTGTATCTGAGTGTATAAGTTGGCCCCCCACCTCATTTATCATCTATGCAAAGAATGTCTTGGAATATAACAAAGATCTTGGACAAACTCATTCGAGAATACAGTTGTCGCAGAACTACTGGAAGATGGTCATTGTTTATTAGTTATTTGGGCATTGCGGCATCCAATGCGTTTGGGTTATTTATATGTTGGTTTATTGTACATGACGTTTTCGCCAAATTTTTCTAAAAAAAGACCTAGTCCAGTTTACTGGACGTCGTCGGTACTGGACTTTGAATTTCTAAGTTGTGTACCCACGTCCAGTCAACTGGACACACCTGAATTTCTTCAAAGTCTCTATTTTCTTTTTCTAAATACAACGTAATGTGCTATGCAAACCGAAATGAATACTACGGTTACCCCAAAATATTACAAAACATAATTATTGTGCACTGTGTCAGATTCTTAAGTATGGATCTACGCATAAATCAGGGTTTTCTGGACATATTGGGCAGTTGTATTTGAATTTCTTGTAAACTCCACCTCTGCTACAGTGGCGACTTTTGTGTGGAGGGAACTGTCTCCAGATAATGGAATTCTGATCGTTGGTCTAGTATATTCATCATTGAGCTGTAGCATATCCTTTATAACTTCTTCTCTGAACCTCAAAAGGTTAATTTTGGTTGTATCTCTTCCCTTCTTAATATATTTCCTTCGTATATGTAATAAGTATTCCACATTGCAGTATCTATAAGATAAAAGGACACTTTTCTGTGCCATCTTATGGTTTTCCTTGGTGATGAGTTGTATGAACATGTATTTATTGTAGGAGAGGTTTTGTTACTTCTTTTTCTTTTCTATTTGTTGCTTCTAGCATTCGGTGTCTATGCATTGTTGATATCATACCCACCAATCTCTTGTCCTTGCAATGAGTAACCAACACTGGACACTTTTCTCCTTTCTTAATTTCTTCTTGAAATAATTGTTTCGGATTTCAGATTGACATTTGTAAACAAAACTAAGCTTCCTCAATCTTTTTACTTCATATGGAATAAAGATTAGGGCTCTCGCAGATGTAAAGACATCATACTTTATACTACTTCTACTATAACATGGAAGGTTGAACATGAGTAGGAAAAGTGCCCGTAGAATAACAAGATAAACGTGTGTATGCTTTAAAATTCCCTTTACCAATTTGTAGAAGGTAACTAGGACTTATAGAAGGTATTGAGTAGATAATACGTTTATTTGCAACCCATGTCCAGAAACGCTAGTTTCCGAGCTACAATTTTTGTTCAACCAGAACATTTCAGACGCTGCTGGGAGTAATATCCATTACACGCGCATGGGTTATCTTCAACGAGAAGTCTTAGAAGCTTGAAAGGTGAATTTTAGAGCAGCTTGTATATAAAATAAGAATAACAGTGGCAACAGATAAAAAGTTGGGATTAAAAAATGATTTAATGTTTAAAAAAATATAAATTTTAACCTCTCTAATTCCTCTTTCCATAGCTTCTTTGGCCAATCTTCCGGGACCATCTACGGTTTTCCCATCATCGTTCGGTCCCCAGGAAGCACTGTAAATATCAACGAGATGCTGGGCGTATCCCAAAGCGGTACCTTCGATGCGATCGTTAACCAGCCCATCGAGAATCTTCACCCCTCCGATTTTGGCGTTAAAAGCGACTCCAACACCACATTTTCCATTATTAGCAATCATCGCAATCTCCCCGGCGCATCTTGTACCATGGCTATTTTGTCTCGATGGATCATAACGCGGTAACGGGTCGTTATCATCTTCGTTGCAATCAAAACTTATTTCGGGATCCTAAAAAAATTAATTAAACAGAAGAAATTTTTATTGGAATTAATTTACGTAATTTTCTTTGAGATCTTTATGGGTGTGTTCGATGCCATCGTCTAAAATACTGATTCTTATTCCTTTTCCAGTTATTCCTTCTCTGTAAACTGGGAGGACGTTTAAGTCGAGTTTTGGAAGTTCGATTCTCGTCCTGGTGTCTTGAAGATACCATTGTTGCCCCCATAACTCATCGTTAAAAATAAACGATTTTTTTTGAGGGTTTCTTTTGATTTTGAAGGGGAGGAAATCACGTTTTTGTCTTGATTTAACTTGTTGGTGCTCGAACCAAGTTACCCTATCGTCGTTTATTAAGCGTTTTGAAAGATCCATGCCTCTTTTTTGATAAGAGATTCTTCCATCGTCGTATGGAAGAAATATGTATGTATCGGGGAATCCCAAAACCTAATCAAAAAATAAATAAAGTATAAATGGTTCAAATTGTGTCCCCCACACGTGGAATAACATAGTGTGGCCCCCATCTGGGTATCCCTCTCTTTCATTTTCGGTCTTTATTCGTTGCGTTAACTGAAAGCGGCGTCACCGCCGACGTAATCGATCTATAATTAAATTCGGGAGGGTGGTGCGATATGCGTGATCTATTTTTAGGGGTGTGGCACGTGCCCGTTAGATATAGAACAACGTTTATGTTCTCCTGGTAGAAAGCGTCGCTTTTCGCGCTACCTTTTGGGCCGGCGTCCGCGAATCGATCGACGGCGTCGCGACGTCGACGAGGATAACAACGACGTCGAGGGAGCATCGCGACGACCGAAAAGTACTTGTTGCATTTAATACCACGTGCTACTACTTGTTGATTACTTATTTAGGTTTCAAAATAACCCATTCAGTTTTTAACTGATAAAATTCAATAAATCATTAAAAATTAACTTTATAAAATTGTAAATTGCAAAATGTAATAAACTAAATAAATAAGTAAACTAAATAAAATATCCTTGAACTATCTGTTTACTTAGTCAGTCCAAGGACGAATTTAGCAACCCACCCCGATTTCTCTTAATAGATCAACATGAATAATTCAGAAGTTATTAATAATCTTAACACTTGATGGGTTATCTTAAAAGTTACTTTGTCCAAACTAATAAACGTCAAAGTCAACTCAATCAATAAAAAAAATCAACCAAATCTCCTTGGGATGCAAGAAACAAATCAAATTAAACCAAATCAAGAGTCGATTAAGATAAATTGAGAATGCAAAATAGATTAAATCGATTAGATCGTCTCAAATACGAGATTTCCTTTCATTATTATTTTCTAAAATCGAAAGAGTTGGCGTTGATTATTTTTTGTGATCGAAATACGTGATAAAAGTCCGCCGTAGGTAGATTAGGTAGATTACGTGATAAATCCTCTCGATTCTTTGTTATCGCACCCAACACGCTTTAATAGATTTTCAGTTTTATTACCCCACATATGTTCTAGTGCTTTATCATAACATAAAAGCAACACAAAAAATAAACTATCAAGGTACCTCAAAAAAATCACTTACTGCTTCTGAAAATTCATAACCCATCTCTTCAGCGATAACCCTGGCGACTTCAACTCCACCTAAAATTTTCAGAACGATTTCATTTTCGTGTACCCTCCTCCCCCGAATCAAAACCACTGCTATAAGAATTATTAAAAAAATCGGGAACAATTTTAGATTCATGTTTAGCACTCAAGTTTCAGCACGATTTCAGCACAAACTTGCAGGGCGAGCAATTCGCGACTTTGTTTTAAACCGTTTTCCCCACCACCATTCGAATTTCGAAATGCGTCAGAAAGCTTTATCGTTTCGCACTATTATAATAATATTGATGGGAAGTTAATTAAAATAAAAAGGAAGATATAAAACGAGGAAGATTATTAATTATTCAAATTTCATTCTTTCATGTATGTTTCCAAGCATCAGTTCTGGATTCCCTTCCATCTCCTAAAAATCGTATCTTACTAAATAATTGAGATATCATCATAACTGCCATAAATAATTTTTGAGATATCATAATTCTGGTAGTTATGATATTTTGATTAAGGTTGCATATTTAATAGTTGTGGAAGATTTAATAACAGGAATTAAAAGAATCGTATCTCAAAAAGTAATTGAGATATCAGAATGAAATTAGTATCATTTTATTCGAAATTTAAGTGCCATAAATAATAACTTAGTTGTTATAATCGTAGTAATTATAATTTTTTTATTCAGGTTGCAAATTTAATAGTTATGGAAGTTTTAATAACAAGAATTAAAAGAACGGTATCTCAGGAAATAATTGAGATATTAAGATGAAATAAGAAGCATTTTAAAGGAAATTTGATCTAGTTTTATGGTGCCTTAAATAATTTTTGAGCTACCATAATTCTGGTCGTTATGATTTTTTGATTAAGGTTGCGTATTTAATGGTTGTGGATGATTTAATACCAGGAATTAAAAGAATCGTATCTCAAGAAGTAATTGAGATATCAGAATGAAATTAGTATCATTTTATTCGAAATTTAATCTAGTTTGACTGTGCCATAAATAATAACTTAGTTGTCATAATCGTAGTAATTACGATTTTTTTATTCAGGTTGCAAATTTAATAGTTATGGAATTTTTAATAACAAGAATTAAAAGAACCGTATCTCAGGAAATAATTAAGATATTAAGACGAAATAAGAAGCATTTTAAAGGAAATTTAATCTAGTTTTATGGTGCCATAAATAATTTTTGAGCTACCATAATTCTGGTCGTTATGATTTTTTGATTAAGGTTGCGTATTTAATAGTTGTGGAAGATTTAATACCAGGAATTAAAAGAATCGTATCTCAAGAACTAATTGAGATATCAAGATGAAATAAGAAGGATTTTAAAGGTATTTAATCTAGTTTGACTGTGCCATAAACAATATCTTAATTGTCATTATCGTATTAGTTACGATTTTTTGATTAAGTTTGCATATTTAATAGTTGTGGAAGTCGTAATAACAGGAATTAAAAGAATCGTATCTCAAGAAATAATTGAGATATAGTGATGAAATAAGAAGAATTTTAAAGGAAATTTAATCTAGTTTTAAACTGCCATAAATAATTTTTTAGATATCATAATTCTGGTAGTTATGATATTTTGATTAAGGTTGCATATTTAATAGTTGTGGAAGATTTAATAACAGGAATTAAAAGAATCGTATCTCAAGAAGTAATTGAGATATCAAAATGAAATTAGTATCATTTTATTCGAAATTTAATCTAGTTTGACTGTGCCATAAATAATAACTTAATTGTCATAATCGTAGTAATTACGATTTTTTTATTCAGGTTGCAAATTTAATAGTTATGGAAGTTTTAATAACAAGAATTAAAAGAACCGTATCTCAGGAAATAATTGAGATATTAAGACGAAATAAGAAGCATTTTAAAGGAAATTTAATCTAGCTTAACTGTGCCATAAATAACATCTTAGTTATCATAATTGTATTAATTACGATTTTTTGGTTAAGGTTGCATATTTAATAGTTGTAGAAGTTTTAATAACAGAATTTAAAAAAGTCGTATCTCAAGAAATAATTGAGATATCATGATGAAATGAAAAGAATTTTAAAGGGAATTTAATCTAGTTTTATGGTGCCATAAATAATTTTTGAGCTACCATAATTCTGGTCGTTATGATTTTTTGATTAAGGTTGCGTATTTAATAGTTGAAGATTTAATACCAGGAATTAAAAGAATCGTATCTCAAGAACTAATTGAGATATCAAGATGAAATAAGAAGCATTTTATAGGAAATTTAATCTAGTTTGACTGTGCCATAAACAATATCTTAATTGACATTATCGTATTAGTTACGATTTTTTGATTAAGTTTGCATATTTGTAGAAGTTTTAATAACAGAATTTAAACAAGTCGTATCTCAAGAAATAATTGAGATATTGTGATGAAATAAGAAGAATTTTAAAGGGAATTTAATCTAGTTTTATGGTGCCATAAATAATTTGTTAGATATCATAATTCTGGTAGTTGTGATTTTTTGATTAAAGTTGCGTATTTAATAGTTGTGGAAGTTTTAATAACAGGAATTAAAAGAATCGTATCTCAAGAAATAATTAAGCTGTCAGGATGAAATAAGAAGCATTTTATAGGAAATTTAATCTGGTTTGACTGTGCTATAAATAATATCTTAGTTATCATAATTATATTATCATTAATTATTTCTGGTGTACTTCAAGGAAGTCACTTGGGTCCGGTTTTGTTCATAGCCTTCATTAACGATATTCACGAATGTTTTCATCACAGTAAATTTTTGCTTTACACTGCTAACTAAAATAGTTACTAAAGTTCAATCAACTTCTGATTGCGTTAAATTAATCGTTTGAAAAATTACTGCACAAACAATTTTCTTTATCTAAATTATGACAAATACATAGCTACATATTACGTTTTACAACTTGGATCGGAGTCCTTGATAGTTACTTTTAGTGTAAAGGATCTGGGCATCGTTTTCGACTCTAAATTGCTTTTCAAAAATCATTCGGAAGAATTATTCTCTAAAGCTAATAGGGTTTTAGGTTACATCATCATAATCTCTAGATTTACAATATATAAGGTCTTTATACATGGCCCATGCAAGATTTGCTCGGTATTTAGCTCACAAATTTAACTTACCATACTGTTCGTACGCTGCGCAGACGTAAAACTGCCGCTGATATGTTGTTATTGCATAAATTTATCAACAGTTTGTTTAACTCGCCTGATCTTGTGAATGTGAATCATTTCATTCTCTGCGTTTAGCTATTTTACTCGAGATCAGTGTTTATTTAGATTGCCCACCAGTATTTAATACTTGTGCAAGTAAGTAACTTAGTTAGAGCTAGCTAACCCTTAAATCACCAGTTTAGGCATCACAAACTAAATTTTTTATATAATTAGGTATCAAGATCCAAGAATGTTTAATATTATTTATATGATAGGTAAAAATAAAAAGTATAAAAACAAATTATTTTATTTCAGTCAACCTTTGTTTAATTAATTAGTTAAAGAACAAACTCTTAAAAATTACTCAATCGATACTAATTATAATTAATCAATATAAATATACAAAGAAAATATAACATGTAAATAATTTAAAATTTTAAAATCACTTTTAAACCAAAATTAATTAATTCACAAGAATAATTTTGAGAAACGATTAGTTTTTTTAGTTGACCAATTAAATTTAAATTACTTCATGTTTATAAAAAAATTGACAACAACGCACCGCGATTACAAAAAAAATCATAGCAATTACAATTAATTTTTTTAATATATAAAAATTGAAACAATCACATACGAAATATATTATTAATAATTAAGCAGTTAATTAACAATAAAATTAAAACAAGGCCTCGAGATATTTTTAATTTTTATCATTATTTGTTCAACGTCATGTCTTTTTCATTTCACTTTTTCAACGTTAAAAACTTACGGTAGACTTAGTGGTTTGAAATATTGCCTACAATATATCGCCCCGATTGTCAACGGAGCATCAAGAGGCCCATAAAGACCCTTATGTTTCTCGGGTAGTCGCGAATACGCCACTGCGTACTCTTTATCAAACGCGTTTAAGTCCATATTTGCACGACCAACCGCTTTACACGTCAAAAATAAAATATCGCGGTAAATCGACGCTGAAATGTAATGAATTGGAGTTGATTCTTCGTGAATACGAGGCGATTTTTTCTTATTTCTTTCAATAGCCAATTTCTTTAGGGGGTCTAAAAGTTCATTGCAATGAACTGAATCAATTATTGTTTTCATCATCCTAAAAAAATTAGTTTAAACATTTTTAGTTTTTTCTTTTTAATTTATTTTACCAATTAATGTGAGTTTGTTCTGGGATTCCACTGTTAATAAGGGCTGCTCTTTTATGATAAAGTGTGTACATTGGTGTGAAGTCCCCATATAACTTTGGATGGTCCCACATACATTTCACAGTCACAGGAGCTACTAAATGTTCTAATAAATAATAAATAGAAATAAGACATTTTATTAAATCAAAGTCAATAACTTACGCTCTTCCTTACAAGCAGCTTTTTAACATAAATTTAATTTATAAATTAAAATCAAAATTAATATTACTCACCAACTGAAGCTAATTCTTGTGTAAGGGGATCCGCTCCTTCCTCAACTGGTTGCATTCCTCCAAGATCTTCAATTTCATGCCCGCTATCATTACTAACTTTTTCGGAATTTTCGCTGCTCCTATCAAAATTATTACTCGTAGCTCGAGTATTCGCCCGATTTTTTAAACACAAATTGGGTAAATGGCTCTGTACATTAATCCTTTCAAACACCCATACTAAATTCCAATAAATAATCGGATGTTCTTCAACAAACCTCGCGTCAGATAAACTCAAATCGCCTTCGCGTGCTAAAACATTTTCCAATTCTTTACGCAGCACCAATGGATTTAAGTAGGGCACGCTAAAAGGTTCACTTAAACCTGTTTCTCTTTGTGAAATGTTAATTGTTAAAAGGGGCACCGTTTGTTTTGAACATGATGGGCAGATTGTGTTTAGATTGGAATCGTCTGCTGACCAACAGGTCATTATGTCTTCATCATAAAGGAACGATAAGCAATTGTGACATTGGCAACATGATGTTAACACAATGTCCATCTCACTATCTAAATTAATAAAAAAGTTTTTATATATTTTTTTTTATTTAAAACAAAATTACCTGCTTGTGAGTCATTCGGAACGTTAAATAAACTCTCAGGTAAATCATCAAAGTCTTTTAAATTCGCATAACTTCCGCGATAACTTCCAAACTCAGCGGAAATCCTCCGATGGCGTTCACCACCTTCACTTCCATCGGTTGATTCATTTTCACCTTCTCCAACATCAACGCAACCAGTTCGTTCACCCGCAAGCATTTTAACCGGCGTGTTTGTAGTCGATGTCGAAATTGTTTCTTTAATTTCTTCTAATTTTTTAACAACCGTATTTGCCGCACTTTTTAAACTACTAATTCCCCCTTGGATAAGTTCGTTTGATTTTTTCCCAGTTAAATTACTTGGACTGGTGAAGAAATAACACAATAAATTAATGAAAATAAAAATACCGAGCGAAATTAAGGTAAATAAAGAGTTAATTAATTAACACTCATTGTTTTCTTACCTTAAATTATTAATGGCGGCCTCTATGAATTGGTGCGTGGACTTCAAATTTGCCTTTCGCAGTGACAGCCTTGCGGTTGAATAGCGGCTAAAAGAAAACGACTAGCTACCGGCAAATGCTACGTGCGGTGAATTTTGCAATTCTTTTTTACATGCATTTTTTTAAGGGGCAACATTCCAGAAAAAGCAACAAATATATTTTTTTATGATCAAAAACTTGTTTCTTACCTCAACATTTTTATACTTGATCCAATACTTGCAAAACCAGATGTAACCATAGCTGAGGGAATCGTTTCTGATCGTTGTAATTTATTTTGGGTAGGAGGAGATCCCTCAAAAGTAGCTGATCGTTGAACTGAGTTTCGGAATAAAACGGGATCATCCGATGGTGGGGGGTTTGAGTAACTAATAGGAGATGATTCGATATTAACTGGAGGTTCTTCTTCAATTTCGGGTTTATCCAAAGCGCCCAAAGGATCATTTTCAGTTACGACAGTTCTTGGAGAAGTTTTTGTTGGGGACTCTTTTAAATCATCACAATTTTGATCCCCTTCTCCGTTAAATTGTAAAACCCTAGCACAATTTTTTTTCGTATTCTGCTGGAGTTTATCAATAATATTAGCATCTCCCGCGCTTTCCGATCGCGATAACATGCGTAAATACTCCGACGGACTTTCTGGTTGAACCAATTTTATCGTTTCTTCTTCTTCTTCTTCCGGTACATTCTCCAAATCATCTTCTTGCTCCAAAACACTGTGATTCACCACAGCGGAGTCCACCTCGGAAGAATCGGCTTCAATCGTTACATTCCCTTTTACGATATTTACAATTTGGTGACGAAACTTTTCGAAAAATCCTTCGGAAGGTGTCGCTTCGTGCGAATCTAAACTCGAACGAGATGCTGCTCTATCAGTTATATCGAGCAGGTTTGAATTTCCTTCTGTTGACGCTGATAATTTCCCGGCAGCTCTTCGTCTTCCTGCAAATCGAAAATGACCTGCTGCTAAAACGACGTAACGAAGTTTATTCCAAAGGAGTTGACTCGGACTTGATTGAGCTGGCCATTCAGCTTCAAGAACACAGCGATTATAAAATCTAAATAAATTTGAAAAATTAGTTGTATTAATTATAAACTGTGTTGCAAGATATTTGTACTGTTGAACATTTTTCTGTAACACGTCACGTCACAAGATTATCTGGATTACAATTAAGATATACAAAGAATATGTGTTTTTTATATCTATGGGATATATGATAACACGGAAATTAATCTGCCAAAATAATTGGAACACCCCTCTTCTACCACAAGATAACGTTTTATTATCACCTTTGCACATCAAATTTGGTTTAGTGAAAAATCTTCTGAAATCACTAGACAGAGAACGCATTGCTTTTAAACGTCTTGGATATATTTACCCAAAATTAAGTCAAGCTAAAATAAAAGGTTTGTTAAACTCAAGTTAGTATTTTATTTTATGCTCATAAAATATTTATTTTTAGGAATATTGAATGGGAAAATTGCCTAGGACAGCTTTAAAGCGGTTACAGAACATTTTCTGGGTCTGCAAATTGGCGATTCCTTATTTTTGATATGCTGACAGGTTTCGATAACTGCAATATGCAAATGTCATAAAAAGTCCATTTTGTCCACCATCATTTGGACAACTTTGGGAAAGCACGATGAAAAATTTCATCAGATAGCACCACTTGAAAGTTGGTTGAAAGGTGACGTGTTACAAAAAAATGGAAGGAAATAAATTAAAGTTTGCAACACAGTGTTATTGAATGAAATTAATTTTACCCATATGTTAAGGCGTTGGGTTGAATACCATTGCGTTCCATGAGAAGTAAAAGCTTCACAGCCAATAAAGGACGGGAAAATTCGCCGCAAAGTTGCATCATTAATCTGTAGCAAACTTCATCGCATGTTAATTTTTGATTAGTGGCTCTTACTAATAATTCGTAAGATTGTTGAAGAATCGTGCGCTCTTTTCCGACGTTTAATGATAACATACTGGGTAAAGCCATAAAATAAAGTGTGTGACAAGTTCCGCTAAGACATCGAACCCAAAGTTTGGGCGATCGTATACATTTCCTCGCCAATTTTTGTGCTGATTTAATTTCGTGTTTAGTTCTTCGCGCCATCGGCGATCCAGGTGTATTATTTTGACAAAGTGATTTTATATGATTGTGTTTTTTGCTTAATAATAAATTCGGATCTAAACTAAATTCGTTATAAATAAAGGAGCCTACGGTTGTTAGAGGTTCAGGGGGAAGTAAAAATACGGTTCTTTCACTCCTATTTGTGATATCATATTCGATTAGTTTTACATCGGAATCTTCGTAATAATTTAACTTTTCCGTACATTCATCGAAAAACGTTAATCCTTGATCACCATCTGCCACAAAACTACGTTCTTCTATAAATCGGATAAACATTTGAGTGTGCATTAAATGAGTGAAAAATTTATGATGAGCTTTATCACGTGATTTTAAAAACTCATTCAATTGAAATAAAGCTTGAGGATCGGTTGTTCCAACGGTGGGAGCTTTCGTAATCGGTAAAAGAAACGATCTATAACCCTTTAAAGTGTGTGCCATAAATCGTAAAAAAGCTTCTTGAATTTCAAGTTCTTGCATTTGATCTGAGCGACGTTTTCGAAACTCCATTTCAACATCATCAACTTGATCCGAATGAACACTTGACACGTTTTGTTTACTTAATTGTTTGTGTAATTGGTCGAGGGTATTTTTTAAAATTCTCGCTGCTTTTTTCGGTAATAATTTTATGGTTAACAAAGAACGATGCGTTTCACAAACTGTGATTATATTCGTATCTAAATCAACACAACTCACATCCGCTGGCGGATCGTATAAATCAAAAAATCTTGAGTCAACTCCAATTAAAAATGGTAATGGAGCGTGAAGAACTTCAACCAAACCTAACGGACAAAGTGGAATGTACGGACATTGCCATTTAAATGGAAATAACAATGAAGACACAGCTTCAGCAACAGCTGTTAATGTATCAGGTCTTAAGGAATGAATTAAAATTTTTTGCTCCGTTAAAGCTAATAAAAGAACTGTGAGACAATTTTCTGAACCCAAATTTAATAATAAGTGTCGAAAACCAGCTGAGCTTCTCGGTAAAGGTAAATCTTCCGGTTGAGTCATTATTGTTCTATCTTTTTGATCTGGCGTCAATTGAAGCAACATTCTTGAACCAGGAAATGGTACTTCATCAAGTAGTTGGAGAATAAATCTTTCTATTGGGACCGGTTGTGGTTTATCACTTGATGCTAAACCCTAAATAAACATAATATTAATTTAATCAATTGAAGAGGTCTTTTCCAAAACTAAGTAAGTTCAAAAAATCGAAAATCGCGATTAAAATTAATACAAAAAGGTTGCATTTGATCTATATATTTATGTTTCATAAAACTTATATTTCGATAAAACTCCAAAAGATTTATTTCAAAGCTAATCCAAGTCCAAAAAGATTATATTCCAAAATACCACACATCAAAGGGCGCCATCATGGGCAGTGACATATTTTCAGTGAATCTTAAGCATTTCGGTCGTCAACAGCACCTGTTGCTTACAGTGGTCCATTAGGTGGGCCATCTAGACCAGTGGTATTCAAACTAGGTTCCGCGGAACCCTGGGGTTCCGTGGGCCATCCCCTAGGGTTCAGTGGGCCATGCCCAAATATTTCTTTATATAAGTCAATAAGTCAACCCCTACTTATTCAGTAAGTATACTAATTTTAAAAATTCAATATTTTGAACCATGCAAATCTTTGCAACAAAAGTGTTGAATATTTCAAACGTAAAAAATGATGAATTGAAGAAGAAAACAAAGACATTTTGTAAATGTGTGCTCTCTGATAACGCGAAATCACTTGAAGCTTCATTTCGCATTAGCTATCGCGTTGCAAGAGAAAGAGAGGCTTACACAATTGCCGAAAAATTAATAAAACCCTGCATTAAGGATGTAATATCTTGCAAATTTGGAGAGACTTATCTGGAAGAAGTGAACATCATTCCATTATCGGACACCACAATTGCAAGACGAATTGAAGAAATGGCATTATTTTGTGAAAATGATTTAATAAATCGTCTGAAAACGTCGAACCATCCTTTTGCATTGCAGTTGGATGAAACCACAGATGTTGCAGGATGAGCTGTGTTAATTGTACTGGTATGCTATGTTTTTAATTTTTCAGTGCAAGAAGATATGCTCTTCTGTAAACCCCTCGTAGGAAGGACGACTGGAGAAGAAATTTTTAAACTGATTAATTTGTACATGGAAAAACATAAAATAAGTTGGAATTTATGCGCGCATATTTGTACTGATGGAGCAAAATCCTTATTAGGTCGCGAAAAAGGAGCAATATCGCGAATTATTCAACTAGCTCCCCATATTAAACATTCCCATTGTTGTCTTCATAGGCATCAATTAGCGGTAAGACGTATCTCGCAAAAACTCAAAGATACGTTGGAAGAAACAGTGCAAATTATAAATTTTATAAAGAAGGAACTAAATTCCAGATTATTTGCTTTGCTATGTGAGGAGCTATCTAGTACGCATAAAACTTTGTTATTGCATGCAGAAGTACGCTGGCTTTCACGTGGTAAAATTTTAACTCGGTTTGTAGAGTTGAAAGATGAAGTCAGATTATTTTTAAATGAACATAATCACAAATATGCAGCAAAATTGATTTGTGAAATATGGTTACAAACCGTATGCTATTTGGCAGATATATTCTCTTTTTTAAATGAATACAATAAATCACTTCAAGGAATTAATATCAACATTATTAAAATGCATGATAAAATCAATTCATTACTACTGAAATTAGATTTATGGGAATCTTACGTTAAATCAAATAACGTGCAATGTTTCCAAATGTTAAACAGTTTTCTAATCGAAAATGAATTAGTCATAAATAATGATGTTCGACAACTGATTGAGGAACATATTATTCAATTAAAACGGACAATACGAATATACTTCCCAGAAACAACAGAATCGTATGAATGGATTATAGATCCATTTCAATATTACAATAAATCTGGGAATTTAATGTTGAAAGAAAGAGAACAATTAATAGATATATCAACGGATTCAGTTTTGAAATGTGCATTTGACAGAAAAGAAAAATTGTACGCAGAATATCCAGAAATATCAACAAGAGCATTCTAATCGCTCTTAGATTACTGCCTTTCGTTTCTACCTATTTATGCGAACATTCATTTTCAATATATGTAGCAACGAAAATAAAATACAGAAATAGGCTCGATGCAGAAAATGAGATGCGTCTACAAATAACAAATATTTTACCAGATTTTAATATATTATGCAAGGGCAAACAGGCTCACCCCAGCCATTAGCGCATGCAATCTAATTTTGCATTTGTGTTTTATTTTTGTACTTTTATAATAATGAACAATGAAAATATGTATTTTTTACCAATTTACTTGTTTAACATTCTAAAATTCACAAAAGTAATAATTTGATATTAATTTTTTCTTAAGGGTTCCGTTGAAATATATATAACTGTAAAGGGGTTCCGCGCCTCAAAATAGTTTGAAGACCACTGATCTAGACTATATCACTATGTAGAAGCAAACATGCTAGCCATCATGGCGACCATTCTAGTGGTCCATCATGAGCCATATTGAAGAGGGGCCATTAGAGGTTTATTACATGAAACAGTTGTGGCTGTTTTGTGATTATTGAGCCCAATCAGAATAGGGAAAATACGTTCTTGTATACGTGGACCGAAAACGAAAGTGGTAAAGGTTCTAACGAGGTTTGTTCTGCGCTCAAACATTTTCTTGGATTATTAGAATCAAAATATGAATCAAACAAACCTTGCACCTTGAAACTGTTCTCAGATTCATGCCCAGGGCAGAACAAGAACCTGGCTGTTATATTTATGCTACTGTGTCATGTACAAAACAGTATCTTTACCGAAATTGATAAGAGGACTTCATACCAGCTGATCGTGTATTTGGACGCTCTGAAAAAGTGGCGAGAACAAATCGCAAGGTTACTATGATATTTTTGCACACAATGCAATAGTCCTGCAAAACGGTAAGGACTGAAATATAAACGATTATAAAACTGCAATGAGTACTTTCTTTAAACGAAAACTACCAATCAAAATAACAGAACAGCGAATATTTGCTTGTTACAAAGGAAAAAAGCAGTACATGTAAAGGTACGTTTTCGTAAGGACAAATCCGGCCCGACATGTTTGTTGGGCGACAAGTTGTCAAAATTAACGTATGTTTACGTAGTTACTTGTCGGTAACCGACATGTCGTGGAAATGATCTGAAAATCGAACTCTGCAGTTAGCATCAAGATGGCAGACGATCAAGACGAACAAGTAGTGTCAGCTTTCGTGGTGTTGGCAGGAAGTCTTGCAATAAAGTTATTAAAACCACAAAAGAATTCACTTCGAAAACGCAAAAGGTGGTATATTAGAAGCTTTTTCGCGAAAAGACGTTTGGAAGGTGCATACAGAACTTTTTATTTTATTGAAATGACTTGCAACATGGATTCCCAACATAATATATGATCACAACACAAATTAACGACTGTTTACGTAGGGACAAATGAACGGTGACCCGACATGTGCGGTTGATTTTTGTATCCGACACCGACATGTCATTTTACTGTCCCGACAAGAAATGCATATCGTTTACGTTATAACCGACAAGTCGGCCGACATGTTGTATCCTTACGAAAACAAGGCTTAAAAAGTACTTATACTGGTTCTCTGTTCTCATGTTTTTCATCTCCAAAGCAACCCAGTGACATAACACATGTCAAAATAGTTTGAATAATTTGCGCCCTAAGATAAATTACGTCACTAATTAGATAAATTCGTAAATTTTTAAAAGCTTGATATCTGAAAAACGGTTAAGTTTAGGTCTATGATGTGCTACATGAATTTTGTTTAGAATTTCGAGACGAATTGAAATATGAAATAATATAGCAAGTGTTCCATTAAAGAAAACGTAACTTTGTTTGGTCATAACTTTTTGATTGACCCTGTATATTTAATTTGTCTTTATTGTAATAGATCTTAAAAAATGCTGAAACTTTTGTATCTTAACATTTTTCGCTAGCTTATTTACTTTAGTTAATAACTAATTGTTTCCATACATATCAGCAACTCTGTATATTAACACATTGCTACTGAATATGTTCTATACACTTTTTACAGAAATTTAGTCATAGAAGATTTTTTTTGGACTTAGTTAGTTTTGTAAAAGTGCTCTTCAATTATACTTACATATAAAAATAAGAGCCATTTTTCAAATGTATAAGAAAATGGCCAATGAGACAACAAACAAATACTTTTAATAACATGTACATCGTGTTCTAAATGTTCATTGAACTTTAATAAATCTTTTTGTTCATTACTGAGTCGATTTTCAGGAAACTTTTCATAAAAAGTCAAAGCAGATCCATACACTTTGTGTTTAGCATCAGAAACTGTTAAAACGAACGTGCTATAGACGGGTTTTGGTTGGGACGCCTTTTTTGGCCACAATTCAAGACTCGCGCCCATTGGAAGGCAGAAAAGTGGAACGGATTCGGGAAAAGGAAAATGAGGTAAATCCATCATCGGATATCTGCTTAAAACGTCAGGTTTATATGTTATAAGAGTGGCTCGGTTCATAGATTTTTTATAACACAAATATACATTACTTCCGACAATTCCTTTGTTTAAATTTTTGTTGATACAGCAAAAAGCGTGCGGTGGTGATTCTCCTTTACTTGCTATAACTACACAAATATCTGTTACAACAAGTGCATTACAGGGCATAGTTTCGTGACCCCTTCTGTATGTTATAAAAGTATTTGCTGTTGAGTTGTTTACATTTGCTACACGATTTCCTACGCTTTCTTTAACAACTGAGGCATCTGACATTAAAAATTCTTTCCCTTCATACATTACACCTATTAAAAAAGTTAAATAATTAAACTCTTAATATAAAAATATTATAAATTATACCTATATCGACTAAAGGTGGTTTATCCCTTCCTCTACGAAAACATACATAACACTCTGTACTTCTTAAACTTCCATGATTTAAATCTGCACTTAGACCCGTTGGTGTATATTCGATAATTTCATAATTTTCAGGTACAGTTTCTCCCAATGTGGGGAAAATGATCCCAATGTCAGTAATAGGTGCCTTATTATGTCCATCTTTTAAATTACCAGACTCTGAAAGTATACTGTCATCCAATAATTCAGGATCATCGGGGAGGCCCGCAATAACAAAGTAATCAGCTACTCTTCGTTCATCCATTATTAATAACTTATTAATGTTATGACTTTAATATTATTCTCTTCATCTTGTCACCAAAGGATACCTAAGGCACATCTGCTCCAGTTTTTTCACAATAAACACAAAAAGGTGGTTAAAAAAAGGTTAATAGCGGTATAGAAACCGTCTGGTGAGTCATGCCGCGGTAAGTTTTTTTCTTTCGCATTTAGTTTACCTGGGGGCCGGCGATTTCTTATACCTACGAAGACAGAGGCATTTATGTAGTGGGGGATAACACTCAAAAATCAACTTTCAATACCATTACTTCCCGATTTCGGCGGCGAGTTTGTTGTATTCTCTGTTGTTGATAATTAATTAACTTTTTGACGTTTGTATCCTGTCACACCGACAACAAATACACTAAAATTGATCAAAATACACTAAATAACACAGGGTGACGAGATACTTTTTTAACAAATCAAAAATCCCTGCCACATTTTTTTCTTATTTGAGCCCTTGAACCTAATTTTAATTTCAACCACGAGCAAATTAACCCACTTATCTCATCTACGTGAGTATTTGTGCGTATCAGATTTGTTGTTACTATTGGAGCGTAGATAATTCCTTAAGTAAAATGTAATTCGATGCTATTATTGACTTTAGACGTGTTCAAGGTTAGGTTTTTTTTGCATATTGAAACATGTTGGAATACAGGTTTCTATAATATATGGTGAAATGTCAAGATTGGAGATAATAAATATGGTGTTTATAATCGTTAATAGATGGGGTAATACAAGTTTAATTCAAAATTTTAATTTTTGCTTACACACTTTTTACTATTTACTTTTTACTACTTTATTTAATCGAAATAATGATATTAAGAATAAATATTTGAAATCAAATACCGGAAGTCGCCTTCAATTTGAGTTGAGTACGTGTGACGTTTAAACGAAATGTCAAATTTTTAAACTGTCAACTAATACAGTCTGTCCTAAAAGTAAATAAAACTTTTTTTTTAAATAGTTATAATTATTCATTTTAAACAGTTATATTACTCGAGAAAATAGCAAAATTGTTCCATTGCAATCTCACAAAAGTAATCGTACAGTTCCAAATGTTGCAATGAACGATAATCAAATAATCAAAATGCAATTTTGGCCCGTACGTCTTCAATATTTCCAGTATCTACAAACTTTTTAATTATGTACTGAATAGTAGAAGCACTTTTGTTAAGTATTTTTCTAACTTGTACGCCTGTTTTCGTTCTTTGGGATGGCATGGCGTTAGGAAATAAGGCTTAAATTTAAAAGACAGGAGTGGATATGTTAATAAAGAAATAAATCCATAATAAAAATTATTAAATAATGAAAAAAGTTTATTCAATATAATATTATTATCATATAACTATTCTACGGTATCCGTTAAAAATGAAACAGCATTTTCAACATTTTCAATATTATTGATTCATCAAGTACATAACAAAAACAATTCTATGTTAATGATTATCATCGATTATCGCAATTGAGTAGTGGTGGTTTCGTTTTCCTCCTGTTTACGATACTTGTTATTAAAAATTGTTTTATATTTTTTCGGCCTCGGGTCGAGTTTTTTGTTTATTTTTTAATTTCATTTGTTGTTTAATTTTATTATCTTTTTATTTCATTTTTTAAGTTATTTTCGTTAATGATGTATAACAATTAACACGCAAATTGCCACACGGATTATATTACAGTTCCTCGGGGTCCATCTTGAGCAGAGCCATTTTTTTCTTCGCGACCTTCGATATTAATATATCAATCGGTTTCGTAGTGTCGTACAAAGACGGCGCTTTGAGGATTATGAGGGCTGTACCCGTTATGCAAGCTATTGTGAAGATCCACAAGAATAAACGGTCGAGGACCATAGCTACATATTTCCAATCCTCCTCCACCTAAGAAATAAGTTAATAATAATAACAATATAAATAAATTAACGAATAGGGTGGGAAAAATTAAAAAGAAATTTACATTTTCAAATTTATCCTTATTCTTAACATGTTGAGCAATGAATCTTGAGTCGGCGATCGTTTTTTCGATCTCGCTAAGCCCTATCTTTTCAAAGGACGGGCTGTTGTCCATTCCACTGGCATCCATTCCATCGCCTCCTCGACAACTGGCAGGACTGTAAAGTTCTTCATCTCCTCCGGCGAGAGGCATAGGTGGAAATGGAGCTTCACCAAAACACGGCCCCATTCCTCCTGAAGCCGCAACATCAAATCTCGACGGAGGAGGCAACGACAAATCGAAACTATCGAAAGAACTTTTACATTTGTCGAGCATCGAGGGCACATGAATGACGTCAGTGAGGAGCGCTTCGTTGCCATTTTTACTACCATCACTGCCGTCATCATCTTTTTTTGGGCGCTCGATGAACAGGAACTTGGGAAGCACATCGATGAAGATCACCCGGACCCACGGAGCTAATTTGTGAGTCACCGGCGATCGAAAATTTACGTTTAAAACGGCGATCGTGATCACCACCGATAATGTGCAGAGCAACATTGTGAAAAGAAGATATTTTCCAAGTAAAGGGACCGTTATTGAAGTTGGCGGAATGATTTCTACAAGTAAAAGGAAGAAAACGGTGAGCGATAAAAGGATCGAAATGGACAAAGAAACTTTTTCACCGGAATCGGAGGGAAGGTAGAAAACGAGAATCGAAAGAAATGAGATTCCAACGCAGGGAATGATTAGATTTACGGTGTAGAAGAGGGTTTTTCTTCTTAGGGTGATATTGAAGATGATGTCCGGGTATGGTTCTTCGCAGCAACTGTAAAACTTTTCGTTTCTTACTGCGGGGACTCTCATTATGTCCCATTCTACTGATATGTAGTAGTCCTGCAGGTCGATACCTACGTCTATGTTATTTGAATCTTGAACTTGAGATAAATGTCTTAAATCCACCTAAAAACAAATACAAAATAATTAATATATTGTAAAATAAAAATTGATATTGAACAATTTTAATCCTAAACAATATAGATGGAATGTTGTCATCATTAAACAAAATATCTTGCATCATCACGGACTAGAATATAAGATTAAATAGAGTCAAGCTACATCAAGAGTCTCCATATCAGTGGTGAATAACCCTCCAACACATTAATCAAGACACATTAGTGTTCACACTTTTCTAAACTCCCAGGAAATTTGTCAAGTGTATGAGGAAAGACTCATGTTGACATCATCATTGATAATGATGATCTAGAAAGAAGGCTCAAGAAGCGATTTGGATTAGTGTAGTTGCTGTTAGCATTACTATTCAAATATTATAATAGATATAATAGAAAATTCACAAAACGGGATTGATGTTAACCATAACCGGAACACAATCCTTCTCTCCCAGGAGATTATTAATTGGCGTACGATTGTGTTTCCAAATTGCACGCATTCACCATTGTCTTTGACATTAGATTCATGCTATCATAACGATCTCTCTCTCGCTTTATGCCGGTTTCCGGCGGCACTGATTCTGATTAATAACGCGTTCCATTTAACGAACGTACATATACACAGACCGGCCGGGTATAATCTCAATAATCAAAATGACGCTCGACGAAGATTAAATTAAATTTATGTTTACACGAGTAATATACTTAATGCATTGGAACGATTGTTATAATATAATACGGCTATAGGAGGGAAGAGTTTTCGGGAGTTCGTAAAAAGTTATTGGGGTAAAAGTTTTCTTTCGGAATCGAGAGGGAGAAAATAGTCTTTGGGTAAGTTTACGACAAAGTTATGGACCATCTCTGTAGTATAACAAGAAAAATATAAAAAGATACTATGTATAGGTAAGTCAATTTTATAAATTAACTAAAATCGCATAGCGCTTTTTTTTTGTATTTTGGGAGAGTAGCACTTGATCGTGAGATGTTGGAGATGAGTGCAGAGCGCGTTTGTACGATGCAAAGCTCGTAATTGAATTGGGTACTTGAACGCGTTAGCAGCACATATTGCGTCCCAACAAAATTGCATTATTTTTTTGCTCCCGTGTTTGTAAAATTTGGAAAATTGAAAAAGCGAACGCTCTTCTTTTTCCATAAAGGATCAAAATAGTCGGAGAAAATTTATACAGAAGTATCGATTTCGTATTACCCTACATACTTGAGATATCTTGACGGAATACGTATAAGTAATCCCTGTATTTATAGGTTATTTCACAAATATAAAAAGAAAGAACATCATTTTGAAGCCATTTTTAAAACTAGAATACTTATAAAGGTTTTTTGGTATTTTGAAGCACAAGATAAAGACATCATCCCATTCTTAACGCAAAAACTGGGTCATTCGACATCGCGGACGCATTAGTTACTGTCCGCCGGGGGATTGTTTTAAGGACCTAATGTCCTAGAACGCAATTTCTCTTCGCCCAGACGCTCGAGGATTTCTCTTTAATTCGAATTTAAAACGTTTCTCTATTTTCGAGCGAGACACACTGGTGGACGGTGTACTCGATTTTCAACTCAAAACCTAATTCGAAACGTTTTGTCCAATTTGTCGATAAAACGACCGGATTCTTGGTTATAAATAGTTTTCTGGATCGGTCACCAACCGGAAACCATCCATCAATCAAGAACGATCGGAAACACCGACGTATGTCTCACGCTTGGATGCTTATCTTTTAAATAATAACGATGAAAAAATCGTGTTATCTCCATGTTATTGGAAATTATTTCTTTTTATACCAAGTCTAAACAATAATCTTGTTGTAGCGCCTCGGCCGCAAGCGACCTTAACTTAATTTAGGACAATTAAGCTATAACTACGCCTGATTAACCCGTGCGACAATAGCAACAAACTTTTACCCGTAATTTCCTATCTACTTTCTTAGCTGATATCTTCCTTATAATTAGGGATAGCGAAAAACTAAATGCACCACTTGAAAGCTTGAATCTTTCTCTATCTAAAACCGGGTTTTCGTCTGCCGATAAGTTGATATTAAGATCAATAAAAAATGAAGAACACCGCGCTGTACTTAAAATAGCTCAAAATTATCTAACTTCAAGGCCTTGTGCAATTGTTACGAAACCGAATTTTAAAAAACTGTTATCACAGTCAGAAAGGGCGCTCCTTCAGCTATCTCAATCCGGGTTTTCGTCGGTCAATATCTATCGGCGTCATGCTTAAATCACCCTTAATGTCCATCCCTACACGCAGAAACGCTTAAATACTCTTCCTCTAAACAACTTTCTTATTTGATAGGGAGAAAACTATAGAAACATATCTATCTTATTGAAAATTTTCTGCTCTTTCTAGTGGTGTATAACACGCGGCGATCACGCGCTTGCACACGTACATTTTTGGCCAAAAACTGCTAAATTCACACGTTTTAGCCATTCTTAAACCCTGTTGGGGTCGATAACTTTCTTATATGAGCAGGAGAAAACTCTAGAACCATATCTATCTTATCGGAAATTTCCTGCTCTTTCTAGTG